CAGCCACCCCCGCCCCCACACTCGCAGATGATGTCCACTCAGGTAAGCCTCATTCAACACATACACTATCACTCATGAAAAATCACTCGATCCACTATCATTACACCGTATCATTCTGTACCTATGATTGTTTGCTCAAAGTTGCTTTTTTTCCTATTCAAATTACTTCTACTTCACAATGTTCAACCCATATATTTAAAGTCCACCACAGAACTTACATATGGTGCGGTCAAAGTACTTAAATGAATATAATGTCTTAATATATTTGTACAATTTGAACACTTGATACATTGAAAATTAAAACAATATCTTACAATCACATATTTGTTATATATAAAAAACACCTAGAGTTTAATAAAAATATAACATCAAAAGTGTACGGTAAGCAAAGGATTTTCTAACGTTGTAACTATGTAAAGGTTAGTTATGTTTCTATTACAATGGCTTATTTTAAGGTAAGATTTGTTGTAAATGTACATCATAATTTACTTTAACTTATTGTTGAATATGAGCCCTTATTGTTTACAATCCTATTTGCACACCAATATCTCACACATTTATAATATGCACTATGATGACTTTCATCAAAGCGCATACGTTATATGGCCAAATGTAACAAAATGCTTGTTGTGGCTGCCTGGTGTGTTAATTACGTGATAATAACAAAAAGCTACGATCTAATATTCGTCGTTTTTACCTATGCAATTCGTCTTGAGTCATCATTTACTTAATGTATTACTTTCCTAACTTGTTGCAGTTCTTGGGTCCCCGGTATCCAGCTGGTCCAAGGCCTGGAGTACGTATGCCACAAATGGGGAATGATTTCAATGGGGTATGTATAATAATTTTGAAAGTGCAAACATTGTACATGTACTTTGAACAAAATTATTTACATATTTGTGTTTGTATAGCCGCCAGGGCAACCAATGATGCCAAATAGTATGGATCCAACTAGGCAAGGTAAGAGCTCCATTATATGCTAGATTCATATTGATTTTTTTTCTGGCATTGATAATAATTGCGAGAGGAGAATGGCATAGACGCATGCATACCAAAAACCACACAGCAATAAATAAATAAGTAATTATTTAAAGTGGATTGGATTGCTGTGATGTGGAGTGGATTGGTTTTTGAATTGTCTAGTTACATGCAGTGGTGTAGTTTTTTTAAATTAAACAATTATAATTAGAACTCCATATTTGATATAATTCGATGCATAAGCTAAATATTCCTGTTCTCCTTATTACATTAACAAACATATATATTTCTACATAAATATATAATTTTTTAGATAGCTTAAACATTTTAAAAATAATATAAAATGAAAATTTTTTTATATAATGATTTCTCCGTGTTATTTCAATCATTGAGAATTTTCTACTTCTGTTCTTCTACAGTTCATTGTTGTACAGCATTGTATATAACATCAGAAATGAAATTATTCAGTTAGTTTTTAAGCGCTTTAAATAATCTTTATTTGATGAAATAAATTAAAAGGAAATATAATATAGAGTAATAGAAAGTTGTTTTGGCTCAACTTGCATTCCTATGTAAGATTTGTTAGTACATGCTGTAAACATGTATTTTCACAGTTAAAATATATTTACAACTGTATTCACTATGCGACCGCAAAGTAACTAGACCTTACCGCCATCAACCTGACCTTACCTACCTGCCGTACTAATGTGTGCTCTTGTGTTCCTCAGGCGAAGCTGGAGAATTTGTAGGGTGGCAAGGTAGGAAGCAACCCAGCAACCAAATCACACTCACATGACTTAGTCAAGCCTAACTTTTATTTTTTCTCCTGCTCGTTTAAGAAATTTTTGTTTTCACATATATGAATAATTGCACTAGCTTTGTTTCTTTGTATAATACTTGCTCACCCGATCTTGCATCCAGTTTGTCAATTACAATATAGTGCGTTAGAAAACGTGTTTAATTTTTAACAAGAATATATTAAGAGCCAAAGTTTCACAGTTTTCATGTAAATAATTAATAAGTAATCCAAAGTATATCTTCAATAATACCGTTAACATATAACTGTTTATTACTACGTGCAATGTATTGAACATGTGGCTAACAAAATTTATCAACTTTTTTTTATGTGATAAAACACTAAACAGTTGCTTCCTTTCATGTGAAATATTATGTCAGTATAAATTCTCTACAACACTAGTACCTAACAATGTCAAATTATTAATTGAGATTTTATATCATTTATATGGAAGTAATTTCATAATCAGTCAAATACCAATTCAGTACCAGTATCGCTGTATAATATTCTTTGTCTAAATAGGTAATAATTGAATGATTGTCTTGTTTGTTATGTATTTGTCATACATTGTGCTGTTGTATATTGTGTCTTTGAAGCACAGAGACTTGTAAAAGTTACTTGGTAGCACTGTCTTTATCCTTCGCATGGGCTTTTCACTTCATTACTTCGTGTAGATGCACATTACCAATTCAGCATGATATCCACTCGCTTTACTATATATTTGACTTCGGCAAAGCATGATTTGAAGTTAAAGAACTTCAGAATAAGCAAGCAAATATTGCAATATTATCAAATATCATGATAATTTAGAATTACATGATTTGCCGTTCGTCCAAAGATTCACGATTAGCATTTAGTATTAACATGAAACTAGAACAGTATTAATATTAATGTGTTCAGAGACATATAAATCAAAAAGTGTTTTTGTTAATAGCTCCACCAGGTATGAATCCCATGAATCCAAGAATGAATCCTCCACGAGGTCCAGGAATGGCTCCAATGGGACCAGGAAGTTATGGGCCAGGAATGAGGGGACCACCGCCTAACAGTAGTTTAGGTCCAGGAGGTCCGGGAGGTCCAGGAATGCCACCAATGAGTATGGCAGGTGGCAGACAACAGTGGCAACCTAACACATCCACGGTACGTTTCAAATTATTTATTAAAATACGTTTAGTTTTTTAAAGTATATAATCTTGGCAAATATATCAAAATAAATATTGGCATTGTGACGAGAATTTTACTTTTATTCTAGCCAATGAATTATTCATCATCATCGCCGGGTAATTATGGAGGCCCACCCGGTTCAACGGGTCCTCCAGGCCCAGGTACACCAATTATGCCCAGCCCACAAGATAGTAGTAATAGCGGCGGCGAAAATATGTATACCATGATGAAACCTGTACCTGGAGGAAATATGCCTGGTGTAAGTATATCTTGTACTTATTATTTTATACTGTCATAATTAATTGATGTTTCAATGAATATTTAATGAAAGGATATTGAATTAAAAAAATGTAATTCGTGTTATGTATCAGGATTTTCCAATGAGTGGGGGACCAGAAGGAGGTCCAATGGGCCCTATGGGCCCAAACACAATGGGTCCTGTTCTCAATGGTGATGGTCTTGATGGAATGAAAAATAGTCCGGCTAATGGTGGCCCTGGAACACCACGAGAAGACAGTGGAAGTGGAATGGGTGACTATAATCTGGGTGGTTTTGGAGGTCCTGGTGAAAATGTAAGTATTAGTAGGTTTTTTAACAATTCTCAAATCTATGGCAGTTACTCGACGTGTTAGTATGGACTTATATGTATTAATTTCTGTTAAATATTTAATAAATAATCAACTTTTATAAATTTTTGAATTAACTGTTGTTTATAGTTTACTTCCTAACGCTTTGATTCTGTTTTTAAAAGAGTTAGATTTATTACCTGAAACGTATATCTTTAAATACACCTTATTGCAAAACTTAAAAAGCAGTAATAGTTTCAAAATAATATCGTGTATTATGTTCATAACATGGGCTTATTTGATATTGATCATTAACTTAAATATTAAGACTTCAAAGTTGCATAAAAGACTTGTTCCTAACACATGTTTGTCTGAAATGGTTAAATGGCGATCGAAAACCATATAAGTCCATATCGGAACCTACCTTTCTTCTAATTATTCGGCAATTAACAGATTCAGGTGCTTCCATCAGTACGTCAATTACTTATATATCTCATTAAAAATAATTTGGGTTTTATTACATTAGAGGGCTTATCCACAAGCTTGTTTCAACAATCTGGTTAATGCTTATCTAAAGTATCAACATTTTTACAAAAATTCGACATGTCGTGTTTAATAATATAGGCTTTTTGGGAAATTTAATTTAGATTACCCACTTGCATCTAATGTTGTAACTGTTTGGCTCAAATTGTATCTAACTATTATCATACTAACAGTATGGCTAATGATGCAAACGCAAAGTGGGCACAAAAATCATGGAACGTTTAAGTACAATACAAGTTTCCGTAATTATATAAAAAGAATATAGTTTATTGTGGCAACAAATCTCAATCTTTTCTTTGTTCAAAGTAATGTTGCTAAATAGTGTCCACGCTTAAAATGTTTCAAGGTTTTTCTACTCACTTTATATTTAAAGAACAATACGGAACAACTTTCGTCTAATGATATGCAAAACTTCATAAAGTGTATTGTGTACGATAACAAAGAGATTCTTAAATTAAGCAATGATTTTTGACAACTGATTTTGAATTACAAATTGAAAGATACAATCTTAGATTTAAAGTTAAATAACCTGTGATAACTGGTGAGGTTATAGTTACAATAAAGAGCTGAAGTCAAAAATCGTTTCAGAGAATCTTTTTGTTTGTTTTGAAGTACGATACGCTTTACGGGAAACCTCATATAATATAGTATAATCGACTTCTTTAACGAGCGCGCAAATACGGTGTTCTTTTGTAATCGTTATTTCGGATAATGAGTAGGTTTTTAAATCGAAAGAGTAATCAGTAATCTCGCACGTGCGCCTTCTGTATTCCCGACAGTTTTTTTAAAAAGTCAAGTCGCCTTGGATCCAGCCTCGAGTTCGTAGATGCCGTAGATTTCCGGTTAATCACACGCAATGTGGAAAAGGATCATACGCAAACCCTGAATTTTAAGTGCGCGTACGTCATCACGTGGTACGCGATTCGTAAACGATTTCGTCAATGGCTCAAGCACAATTTTCGCTCGTAGCAACATAGAGAACGAAAGAGAAAAGAAAAAACAACACATAGACTATTCGCGACTACGCATTATTCACTCCTAATCAATTAGGTTAGCATTTAAGTGCTCATTACGTTACTATTAACAGAACTATAATACTTGAATCATCATCATTACATGCGCGCGCGCAACATACACTATATAAATATTTAAAAGTATATATATACACGTTACATATATATATGCTTTGCTAAATACTCACAAGGTTGCAGATTAGGATTTTTATTAATTTCTTTCTTTATTTTATTTTATTATTTTTTTTTTATACGAATATTTCTATACATTTTATTATTGACAGTACGATATCATTTTTTTTTGTATCGATTCGTGTCAATGCTAACGTTTATTATTTATATTTATTTGAACATTAGCTTGTAAGCAAAGGTGCCTGAAAAACACGAACTACTGTGATTATCAATCGCATAATTGTTAATCAATTTCTAATACTGTTTTCTATCCTATCCTTTTTCTTTTTTCTTTTTTTTTTTCTTCCTTTTTTTTATGCTTTTGGTTTACTGTCTTTCTATTAATCGCACCGCTAGCTTGCCGGCTAGCAACCGGCTTATTTTTCATCCCATTATAGAGTTAGAATTCTGTCAGTATTAGGTCAGAAAATGGTACAATACGAATCCATGACAGGTAAGAGGTTGTAAAAAGGTTTCGAATCACGCATATACAGATGTTTACCTATGAAGGTGATTTTAAATTGTTTATTTATTCGAATAGAATTTGAACGAATTGCAAAACTCTGTAATGAGGTGATCAAATTTGCCGAACTCATACCGAGTCCCTCCACTGTTTGCTCAGAAAATTCACTACTGATAGAAGCAAGTTCGCGCACTATCGATTCGCAGCCATTAACATCGCAATACTTTGCGGACATGATCAACGACACGTTAGATTTAACAGGCGCATTTCCGCTAGTGCCTTGGTTGAAAAAGTATAAACATCCTTTACTTTTTCCAATTGAGAAAAAAAAAATAGTAAAGTACGCACATCGATGTAAAATGTTAAAGTTAACGAACGCATACCAATCTAGTCATACGATTACACGATCGATTACTATCGAACCTAACCATAAAACGATGGTTCTTGATAGAGCTGAATCGAATTGAAAAGAGGTTGACATAGTCAAAATGCATTTGTATGTACCGTTTGCTTTTGACACATTGTTTCAGCAATGAATATAATAAAAATCTAGTAAATAGAATAACGAAAGCATATATTAGTAATTAAAAGCAACGAATTTGTCAAGTTCCTAGAAAATTTTCATTGTAAAAAGTTCCTCTTTTAATCGACTTCTCTTTTATAAAGAACAGCAATATAAATTTTTTTTCTTTTAAATAATAATACTAATTTCGTTGAGTATTGCGAAGCGAATGGTCATGCGATTAACTTAACAAAAAAGTACTTGGAAAAAACTTATAAAGAAAATGTTATATATATAACGTGCGCATGATATACGCATATATATATAGACACTATATATATAACGTAACCTATTTTTGTATGGAATAAGAGTCGTAGACGGTATAAGTACTGAACCTAAATGAATGAGTGTGAAAAAAGAAAGAATAAAAATATACGGGCCGATAATCGAAGAGAATAGATAATATATCGTGCGAACCTCCCGGAATCCATCCGTCCGTAATGGTTATAGGTCAGTACCGGACTATGATGTGCTGCTGTTAGTTACGTTAAAAATTAACTTAAAATATTTAAAGAAAAGTATTGATCGAATTATGTAAACACAAAGAGAAAGAAAAAGCGAGAGAGGGAGGCAGAGAAAGCGCCCATTGCGAGTGCATGCTCTGAGAGCACCGGCAAGATCGATGATGGTTCCGAAGATTAATCGATAGTGTATTGTGACTTTCACGAAAACGATTTTCTTGGCGCCAAGGTGCCGCATCTCAAGCTGGGTGTACACGCTCATGTAATTTGCACTGACCACAATTTAATACCAATTTATCCGGATTAATTTTTCCATTCGTTTCACTTCTAAAATACTTTTTATTTTTTCCAACGTCGCTCGTTCGATTTACGGCGCGTTTACATTAGGCGAACACGTGTTCGTTCTTCCCCCATTTCGTCTAAATTCAACGTGTTTGTTTCCCATCTATACTTGAATTTTTCCGAGGTCGGCGAAAGACGAACGTTTGTTTGTTTAGTATAAACCCTTATACCGTCTATCTAACGTTGACTTTATTTTTATTGGTTAAAATATAGATAAAAGTTGAAGGTGTAGCGTGTGTTGAATATTTGACCGCGTTCTGATTATGTGGCACAATAGTTCTTCGGACGTAATACTTGGACAGTTTCGATTGCACAAGTAATTTTCTGCAAATTGCACAAACATGTAAACCCAGTTTATTATGCTGGGATCTTCAGTTACGTATATTTCTCTCTTTCGCACGTACACGCGTAACACAAATTTTCGAAATATACATTTTTAACGATACTATATAATTGAATAAGAACTTTTTTGTAAAAAAAACAAATATCACTGTACTGAAACATATAAGAATTAGACGATATTCGCGATTCTTCGGTATTACTAATATACAGTTAGTCACGGGAAAACTATTTGAGGTTAACGACAGGAAATGATCGGTAAACTAGTCGGACAATGTATGTATATTCTACTGCTTCTTTTGCCAAATTTAACGAGTAAAAGAAGACTTTCAGCTTTCGATATTTTGTAATTATTGATATTATTAATATTATTATTTTTATTATTATTAATATAATTATTATTATTATTACTATTATTATTATTATCGTAAAAACAATGTGAATGCTTGCCGTTGTTCCGGGGTGTTCACCGTGCCAATTGAATGCGTATTTTTAATCGGAGAAACTAAATAGGAAACATATACACGAAAGAGATAACTTACATTCGTTTGTATCGACTTAGTACATTTAATTGGTGTAAGATGTCCCATTACGTTTTAAAGTTAAAAAGAAAAGCACTATATTAATGGGATCATGTATATACATAATAATTTCTCTCAGAGTACAGAGAAATACGTTTATCGCGAGGAAATGAAACGTTCGAGATAAGACACGTTCACGGGTTCGAAGTTCGAACGACGAAAGCCAAAATAGGAGAGACAGACAGACAGACAGAGAAAGAGTGAGAGTGAGAGAGAGAGAGGGAGAGAGAGAAAGAAAGAGAAAATTGTTAACGATGATAAAAGCAGTAGTCCTTTTTTGTTGCTTTGTAACACGACTCGTCGTGAGCTATATTCAGAGAGGTTAATTTCGAAGTAATTCGAGAGAGCGTGCTTCGATCAAATTATGCGTAAAAGCGCACCATGGGTATACTCGTCGATTTACTTTTTAACAGAGGCCCAAGTTGTAAGCCACACGCACACACGGATATACATACACACACATACAGACACACGATACACACATCAAGTGAATACGGCGATAAATATTACATTTATTAATATATGCCTAAGCCAGGGGAGATCGAGACAATAAATGTAAACCTGTTACACTGAGAATACTGCGTTTTTCTTTTTTATTTGCGTTCAATTTGCAGGGTGCTGGCTACTAGATTATTTATATATAACTATCATCCGTTTCCATACATTTTCTTTTTACGTAAGCATTCTGTCCGTGGCACTCTAGTAATCACATGTCATTTGTGTTTCACATTGCTTGTGTTATCCTGACGTTTTCACGTGGATGTCACGGGAATAACGACGCTTCGACAAAGAGATTCAAAGATTCACTAGATTCACGGTGTATAGCTTTCATCATGAAAAGGACTAAATCTTATAACCTATTACGTATACAGGGTGTCCCGCAATTCTTAATTAATATTTCAGCAACTGGAAAGGGATTTGATACTGAAAATTCCTTCTGATTTAACCTCGATTAGCAGTTGTCCAATGGTATACGAATTGGTTCCTCCACTGTCTTTCACTCCCCTGAAACATTAATTAAGAGTTACATCCTGTTTTTTGTTAACACGATACATAAATGCTGTACAATATGTGTCATAACACCGTATAACGATGAGTGTAACTTCTCTTGCTTCGTAAAGCAACTGTGTATGTGCAATTGAAATACTTGTTTTTAATTGTGCTTCGTCTACGTCATAATATAAAATATCACTAATATTAACACCGGCACTTGCTTGAAGTTAGCAACCACACGTGAAGAGAAACTAACACGAAGCACGTGCGAATAAAAAGCGTTAGGATTTTAGCCCAGGTGTTTCGATTGAAAGATGAATTATAAAGGTGTACTGTGGAACACAATGACTGTGATGTTCTAAAATGATTACGATCAAACGATTAATATAATTTGAACGTTAAACGTTGCTTTCAAACGAGTCGCTTAGAAACACGAAAGAAAAACAGTGAAATCTGATAGCTGTATATAGTACTAGCCTGTACTGACCTGTAGCACATGGATGCGTGAGCGCAAAGCGGTTGGTGGATTGCGAGGTCGTATCGAGACACGATTCAAACGAAAAATTATTTAATCTGCCAAGAGTTAAAAAGATAGTTAAGAACCCGTGATGGATGACACGTCGAGTTTCTCTAATTACAGTTTTTTCTTATCTAATAATATTTTAATTGTTGTTGTTTATTCGGTGAGGTGTGCGTGAGTAGGGGGCAGGCGGCGCACACGGTATGCGCAACAATTTTTTTTTTTATTCGTTTTGTTTCTATTGTTTGTTTAATTTATTTATTCATTTTTTTTGCTCGATACGGGCTTCACTTTTTTTACGTAACGTCCATGTGTTGTGGGTCAGAGCGCCCTGGAGATGTGGAACCATACTTGTCTCTTACGGTTCCTGAATCAAAACCGTTTCTTCCTAGTTCTTTCATATCCTGTCTTTAAGTTTTGTGTTTCACGAGCCCAGCCCCTTCACGACGCACCGTCACCGCGCTGCGCTATCTTCTTTACGCAGCATCAGCATCTTAGCGATTCTTACCCCGAGTTTTACTTGGGATCAGCGAACTACGATGAATTTCCTTTGCACGATTCTGGGTTCGAGTAATTGTCTTCTTTTTTATCATAGTACTTTATCCATATTATCGACATTAATATCTGAAAACACATTACTTTGATAATATGTACGTTAACTTGTTTATCGAGTAAAAAGCCTAACTCAATTTATACATGGCAAAGATGATGTGATAAAAGTGCAAGTGGCAATCTCACGAAAGATCTCGACCCTGACACGTTGTCGAGGACACAACTGAACTCATAAATTAATTGGCAGTTTATTAAAAAATTATCAACAGAGTTTGTGAAATATACTAGCTATTTTGAGTATCATATTGAGAGATAAAGGAAAAAGTTTTTAATTATCCTTTTGCCCATGCATGTACAAAACTTTAATGCTTCATAATTTTTTAATGAACGATGACCGATTAATTTATAAGTAAAAGATTATTCAGAATGTCCCCGACACATGTCAAAGGTTGCCCATTATGCACATTTATTTTTAAAATACTTGTGGAGGAAATTTATTCGGCTCGCTGATTAGACGCTGAGAAAAAAACAAGTGAAGGCAAGATATCACCAATGGTGAACTTGCCTAACCTCTTACGTGTAACCGGCCTGGTGTTGGTTGATTCGCAGGATCAGACTGAGTCAGCGGCCATACTCAAGATCAAGGAGAGCATGCAGGAAGAGGCGAAGAGGTTTGAAAAGGACTCAGATCATCCCGATTATTTCATACAATAACTCCTCACAAGTCGTTGGGTCCCAAAAACCAAACTAACCTTTTAAATCAAGTCACAAATCAATCCTCTCTTCTTCCTTTATCCAGAACTCGCTGCACTTGTATTACATGATAATCTCCTTCATCTCCCCCTTATCCATCTTCGAATCGAGACGCTAAAAGAAACAAAAAAGAGTTAAAACTAACCAAAAAAAAAACAAACGAACGAACAAAGTTGAACTCCGTGAGAGAAGTGCACACGAGATAAGGTCGAAGAAATGTTTTTTCTCCCTCAGCGAAGTGAGGCGGCCTCGTCCATCATTTTTTCGTCCTCTTCGGAGATATGGAAAGGACTTACCATTTAAAGTAAGAGTTAAAAAATCTTCGAGAGCACATCTTTCGTATTTCGCGTTGACGTACATTCTTAGATACACGGCTGTACATACGATCATCTCGAATCGTCGTCGATCGATGACGTCCTTCAAATGACGACGGTTTTCAGCGACTTTGAATATTACTCGACAAGCATTACGATACGTTGAAAATATGAAAACACTGGAATGAATTTATTACATGTTGGTTGTATATTTCCGTCTAGACGATACAGTTTTCATGTTTTCAATTGTTTCGAGTAACGTTCAAATTCGTCAGAAAATTATTACTAAACACAGAACACCCGTTACTGTTTGCAAAGGACACAGAGAATCCGTTTCGACGTCGCTTTTATTTTGTTTCTTTGCCATAAGGAGAGTGCACTTCTTCCAGATTTCAGACCCTACAATAATCCAAGATTAATTCTTAATTTTCAGATATAATTTAACCTAACTTTACCGTCAAAGTCTTGAGCGAGTGGTTCTTGCAAATTTTTGGGACCCACCATGATAAATTTTAGACCAAATTGAAGCTGGTGCACTCCCCTTGTAAGTCACTTTCCTTATTCTTGTATCCTTGTCTTCTACTCTCTTGGTTTAATTTAATAAAAAGATAAGTGCTTCCTTATTGGCTCTAAGTTGAAAGAAAACTCTATATTTTTGGTACAGTTCGACGAACATTATACGGTATGCGTGATTTATATACGAGAGTAGTAGCTTACCTTCTCTTTCTTTCCTTCCCCTGTTCTTCGACTCGTTGATTCGGACGTTTTCATGGAGTCGACTGTTCGCGACGTTTCATCGGTTTCCTCGATTGTCGGTGCACGGCGAATAGTTTCAGCAAAGTTAACCAAAAATGAAGAACGCGTGACTGTGATATGATAAACGTAACACGAAAGATAATGAAAATTGCATAATATACTTTTTGATATCATTAGAGTGGTACCTTTAAAGTCAACGAATTTGATCCTGGTAAATTAAGTACACTCGGAAGGGACGCCGTTTCCACTTGTTTTTTACGCGTAGCTCTGAATTCCAGTCAGTTCCGAAAATTCTACGTGTCGAATCTTCGATGTTTCGAAACTGTCGAAACTTTTCGCATGCGCCTTTCGTGGAACGATTTTCAAAGTCGATCGATAAAATATGGCGCGAGATCGATATTCAAAGACACTCGTGATTCTAGTAATAAAATTTTCAAATCATCTTAAAAAAATATAGTAAACTGAAACAATATAAGAAAAAAAAGATTGTAAAAAATATAAATTTGAAATACCTTGAATACGAGTTTCTTTACTTCACTCCGATAGATCGATCTTGCGTAAGATTGTACGTCAGCGCATCGATTCACGAGTATCGGTAACGTAATACCTGTACTCGTCACCGGGATGTCAATTTACGATCAGTTTATCGGTTATTCCTTCCGAGATAAAAAAGCGACGATATCTTCCACGATCTTGCATTATAACGATCCACAAGAATGCGTCTCTGTGCTTCTCTGTCAATGAATGCGATTTTAAAGAGGTTCCGATAGATGCCAGTGTAAGATTGATCAACGTTATCGATATTATCGCACGCGAGACAGAGAATAAGTTCTTAACTGATTTACAAGATGGAGTCAGAAATATATATCGAGGCGGTAAAAAATCGATCGCGAAGAACAATTCGATAACGTTGTCCGTATCGATACTTACATTCGTGTTTACAGAGGACTTCAAGGGCATTGTTAATGTTCAAAAAACGTTGCAACTTCAGTCGTATGCTGCACGGTGGATCGATTTTTATTTAACTTCGAGAAGCGCACAGTATTGAATAAAAAAGGCTGCAATAACATTATTCCAAAGTCGGATCGCAGACATTCGATTATTCGTTTATAGCTGTAAAAGAACGAGAATCACTTTATCTGTGTCCGAACGAGGGGAATCCGACGAAACGGTTCTCGAACGTACATTGAGCAGCATAGCCTTCCGCGAAGAAAATGGCGATGTAGGGGAAAAAGACCCCGACACTTGTTGATTTTTCATTAGCAAAATTTTCAAGTTTGTACATTTGATTTTCGACAATTGAAAATCGAGTGGTGGATGTCTTCTTCTCGTACACTGGTTATTGTCCGACGGAAGCTTGCGTTGCACCCAAGTGTACATTATATTCCGTAAGATTTAATCCGCTACTGCGGAAATCCGGCCAGTGTGCGTCGATAAGTGTACACGTTAGACGAATTTTCATTCGAGACGATCGTCGTTTGTCGATTACGGATAGTAACAAATTATGTATATTTTTTTTCATTATTTTTCCTTTTTTTTTTTCTTCGTTTTAATTTTCTTTAATTTAGCATTATAATAACAAAGCTACGTTTATGTTCCTCAGAGATTTTGGAAGATTTGATATCTGTATAGATAGAATAGATAAAATCAATTTTTATCGAACTGGTGCACGGTTCGGACATCCTTCGAGTACGAGTGCGTGTACCGAAGTGATATACGCGAACACGAATTCGTAACAAAAAGCCAACCAATTTACGCGAGGGACAAACGCGCGACCGTTAAAACGACAAAATAATATAAGAAAAAAAATTTAACCTTCTATCGTTATCGTTGAAATCCATCCCTCGTTCGACGGGAATTCGGCGAAGCGCGATCGTTGCCTCGTTTTAAAATTCATGGAAATTCGGCAAACCGTGAATTTTTTGTTCGCTGTTTATTTCCTGGTTGTGCCTCGAATTCGGGAATGGCGGCATGTACATGCACACATGTATACTATTTCGGCGTATTATTGTAAATGTATAAGTTGTACAAACTGTCGAGTGCAATTCGGATTAAATAACCTATATGTTGGAATGCGGTGTTCCTACTATGTGCAGAACGTTAAAAGGTATCGATATTCGTGTACCGCTTCATGGCGTTTCCAATTTCGATTATCGTACTTGCGATGGAAGATTCGAGATGAAAAGAAAAAAAGCGCGAAATACAAATTGATGGATATGATATGACACAAATAGTATTAAATAAAAATTATGGTTGTTGAGTCTGTGGAAACTTTTTTTTATAAATTATTTCATTGTAATTATTGTGCTATGTAATTCGTTCATGAAAATATATGTATATATATATACGTACATATACAAACTCGAAGTTGTTTTCACTACACGTTCGAATTTCGATATCTTTGAAGACGTTCAGCGATTACTTTTAATATATATATTATATATATGTTTTGCGAATCGCGTATTCGCAGATAATTCGTACGTTCTTTAATTCCCTGTTGTTTCGTTTGTCTTTCGAAAACGGTCGTTCGAAAATTTCACGATTTCGCGCCACATATTCCACGACAAACGAAATGACAAATTATTTTTTTTTGTACGAAATAATTTTGAAAAGTAATTATATACTTTCGGTCGAAATTTTCGTATGAAATTAAAGAGAGAACGTTGCGTTAAGGTTAGACCAAAAAACTTTTCAATGAAATTAGTGCGTAGCGTGTATCGATTGTTTTTTAACGCAGAGTCGATTAGGAACAGATCGCGATTTTATCGATTATATCGAGCATAAGGAGAAAATTGTATATTGTTTAAAACGTGAGTTAAACTCATTAGAACGAAAAAGATGCACGGTATCTCCTGTACCGATATTGTGCGTTGCGATTTCATATGTTAATTAGGAGTTTATTGTAAGTGAAGGTGTTAGGTTGGCAAGAAAATAGTGATCGAGAAATCTTTTCAATCGGACATTAGAAAAGAAACAACCTAACCACCGATTCGATACGATAAATCGATAGGGAAAAATTAGGAATTAAAAAGGAATTGGATGAGCCGCCATCGCCCCCTCTTTACGAGTGTTTGCATTGGAAATTGAAACGTAATTTCATTCTGTAATTATTTACTTATACAATCATTGTAACACTGACACGGGCTGTAAATCTCTGCGGCTGACCTCACGTATTCTTTAAATTCACGCATAATTATCGACATAATTATAGATACCTATTACGAGTATAGCATTCAAGTAGCAAGTAATAACGATAAAATAATGGAATAAATGTCATCTATCCTATCAACTTGTCAGAAATGTTTTCTCTACCATACCTTTCGTTCCCCTTACGAAGAATGCGCCGTAATTTACGCTCGAAGAGGCAAAAACAGTACTTTGCTTTGTTCTGTTTCATTCATGGGTAAGTTGAATGACTTTTCTATAAAAATTCGACATCGATTCACATTGGCATAACTAGGTGTTATAAGACACGCTATTAGTTTACCTATTTCCGTATTCAAGGGTTTGTCAACCTGCATTTTAAGGGCCCATGCCTACTTATGCCAATGTCAAGTGTTCCTAATTTCAGTTTAAACGATCTAAACAATGACGCGACGTAATAAAATTAATTGCATTGTAGAGGTGTTTCCACTGGTGCGAAAGTTAAGCGCGTGAGGATTTCAAATTGTAAGATACAGGTTTCGTTAGATTACTTAAACTTTCTAGACTACATTCAGTAGGTCGTTTGCTGTTTCTTTTTTTTTCTAAATAATCATCACCTCTTTATGCGAGTCTACTGCACCACGAATCACTGACCTGCAGCGCCCCAAGCGGTAAATCTGATACATTCGTTCGCCAATGTCGTAAACACGCATGAATGTATTTGACTTCGATGCAGCCCATTTTCAGCTAGTTTCTTAGGTGCAGAAAATGTAAGTATAACAAGGAATGATTAAATATGAGTCATATAGTATTTAACTGATTGTTTTATTATGCTTAGATACTTTTTAAATAAAATTTGAACGAGAGACAATTTGTATTTGAACGTACAGTTTTGCGCTAAAGAGTCGTACGCCAATGCTTAGATCGACAGGCTGTCGTTCCATATTCTTCTTTGTACTCGCCGTGGAAGGATGTTCAATGAGCTGATGGCCTTGACCAACTACTATAGCGTGCATTTCCGGAAATGCCCTGATCTCGCTTCTCCAGATCTTTCTTCCACGTTAGAGGTCACCTAACCGCTAGAAAATGTTAGAAATCTCTACAAAAATCTAGGATAGATAAATTGATTATAATAATTGCAAGTAAGTTACATAATTTCATACGAATGATTAGGGACAAATATCTCTGAGAAACCTTTGATTAGTTTTTTCTACTTATTAACATAACTATCTACGTTTTCCCAGCCATATAATGACAAAACCTGTTCTGGAAATTACACTGGAAAGTGACAATTGTGTCGGAATGTCGCGACAGCAACAAACGATCATCACCCGTTTGAAGAAAAGGATAGAAGTTATTGTCATCTTTGTCCGTTATGATTCGTTTCCCGCTATCTTCACTTCTGTCCTGAGTATGTTGCTTCTGCGCATGCGCAACAATTCGCGGCGCGCCATAATGTGAATATTTTTTCTTTCTTACTACTTTCATATCTTTTTCTATTTTAATCTTTAGTGAACAATAGACATCTCATAATGAAGAACAATAAAATTATTTAATAACTTAAATTAAACTTGCTATGCTTTTTCAGAGTGATATAATACAAGAAGCTATTTAGATAAATTATATAGAAGAAATTAACGCTAGAATGTTCTGGATAAATAGTTAAGTATTGGAGGAGGAGGATGGAAGGTGTGTCGGGGCAAGATTTAACGAGGTTCGTGCGTACCTTCGATGGTGATGAGTACGGGGCCGAAGGCAGGTGGCTCCTTATACCATAGCGCGGGTTCAATGTGTTCAGTTTTGCTATGACCGCCGACTGGTCACATCTCTGGATCGGTCCTGTCTTAAACCCTGTACATTTGTTTGCAAGAAAAACCACGATGGAATTCCGTACATTTATTGTAAGTTAAACCGAGTGTATTTTTCAAACAAAATATTTTTCCAAATTTAGAAACAATTTATTTTTCAATATTGTACAAACTTTTGCATTGTGTCGTAGGTGAGAGTGATTGATTTTGTACAAATTTTATTGGACTCAAATGACATGAAGCTATCGAAGAATGAGAAATTACAGTTATTTTTATAGAACATTCGAGCATCATAGATAAAAGCGGGAAGAATAAATTCATCGCTAAGTCGATACTTATAGAAATGTCCCGTATTCAGTAATCGCTGGAACCGGTATAAAGTAATACCGTTATGCAAATGTGTAATAAATGTCGCGGCGAGAAAAACAAGCTTTTTCATCGTTTTGAGTATTGAGAAGAAACGTCAAACCAATTGGAACCAGCAGAGCATGCGCGAACTGCACGTTTCCTTTAAATTCTATTCGACTTACAGTGACAGTAGTCTATCAAGATTGATTCGAATCAAAGTTTTCATTAAAGTATCTTGTAACGAGATAAAACTTGATATGTTACAGACAAAACATATCACATTTTGTCATCTGACCACAAATGTGATAAATTAGACCAATTAATATTGTTTGATAAACTAGTATTTGAAAAACTAGACCAGGTATTAATATTGTTTATGAAAGGTCAAAGCTTTCTCACTGTATACTTTTTTATCATTCATTGCTCCCTGGTAATTCATCTGCACTCCAGGTGAACAAACAATTGTAAACTTATTAAAGATCTTATCGCTAAGACTGCAATCACTGTACATGGGAACAAACAATGTTGTTTGTGCCGATCTGTCGATGATCCTTCAGTTGTACGAGTATCCGATCTTACAAGGCATTCCCCGTTAGTAAGATACGCGTGGTATCGTATTCGGTCTTAACGGTACTCGGTCCACGCTCCGTGGACTATTAATACTCGGGACTATAGGCTTGTACACTGACTGCCCCACTAAGCGTGCACGTCGCTCACTTGGCCGTTACATTCTTTCGGCTATTTAACGTTCAGGAATTCCGATATGATTCTATCTCATTGTTATTCCTCTTCAAACTTTAATGAACCAGTTAGATAACTGAATAATTAGACCGCTTATTGCACTCCAAAACCGCATAAGTCAATGTTTGCGAATCGAAAGCTCTATTAGCGTTTGTTAGCAGATTTTGTTTAACGAGAATCTGATATTTATTTGCCTTGATCTTAGCGGATGATCAACACTGTAAAAATAAGAGTAAACATAGAAAATGCAGAGTGTAATTTAGATTTTCCTAGTCTCTAGGATTTCTTAGTCTCTTGAGATTATCTGTAATCAGAGGAATCACTAAGATAAATATTTGCTCCAGGCAAACAGATAACATCACTGTAATTTCATAATCGGCACAAGTATGATTTGTATGTTAATTATCGTAAAACAATGCAAAAAGAATTGTGAGAGATCTGTACAAAAAGAATTGTGCATCATAAAAATACTTAAATGTTACACTGTTCAATTTAACAAGTTAATAATTTTTCAGATGTTACTTTTGTGTGCTTCGTGTTACGCGAACGAGTACCAGATGAAACCATCAAAAGCGAACAACAGCGATCCGTCCACGGAGTCGGACGAGCCTCCAGAAGGATATTACGCCTTCGTGAAGTCACCGAACGCTGAACCGCCTAAAGTTAGGCCACCACCTTATATAGACAGTGACAAAGAGTGCTATGGTATGCATATTAATCTCGTGCTACTTATTTATGTAATAACACATTTTATATCAGTCAAACAGTATCTTGTCAAAGTTAATTACTCATTGAAATTATATCTATAATTAAATTTATAACTGACAAATATAATTTCAGATACCGGTAAACAAGGAAAAGGTTTCGTCTCCGTGCACAACATCTGTGGAGACCTGAATAAAGGTTACATTCCTAGAAACCCGATGAATCAGTATTTTAACGGCACGTCGTATCCTTTGTAAGTGGGACAAATCATGTTTAGAAAGGTTGATCATAGTTATGATGTTCATAAAATGTTCACAGTGCTCTCTTGAAAAATCACACGCTGAAATTTTTGAGTAAAGCCTTGCCCATACTCAAGGCGGACGACTCCTTGCCAAAAGTCGCCACAGTACAAGCTTATTCTCAAAACTCGTAAGTAAGCGTTAATCTGCTGCTGAACTAAAGAGAAATGTGGGTGCCCTCATATTATAATCTATCTACGAATTGTAGCGTCGACACTGACGAGAAACGAAGCAGAAGTAAACGGTCCGACCCGAGTCAGGATATTAATCGAAATGGTCGCAAGTTTTGCGAGAATGGCGGAGGAGTGTGAGTCATCAAAAAAGATCACATAACAGAATATAGACAATGCATTAGAATTATTGTATGACAGTAGTTTATGTAATGAGACTATTATTACATAAACCGTTATCACACAATTCTTATCTAGCATCTATAAATTCAAGGGTCTGCATGCTGTACAAAGCGATACAGGGAGAGCCACTAGCTCCGTCAGCAGCCGAGCGTCGCGACGAGCCCTCCACCCCCGAATATCGTCAGCGAACACCACCACAAGAAAAGCCGGAATACACTGGCCCGCCCACTCCGTGCCCCGCCAAAGTAGAATACGCGACACCTGTTTTTGCTAAGAACTATCAAGGAGTTTGGCGCTACGTGGTCCAAATACCTTACGAGGGTTACTTCACGCAAACTATTGAAGTTACCAGATGCATGTAAGAACGTCTTTATTAAGTTCTTAGATAACTTATTGAATACGCTAACTTTTAATTGTTCATTGTATTTTTTCCAATAGGCAGTCAAGGTGTCATTATCTAGACGGTGGCTGTCTATCATCGCCAAGATGGACGAGTCTCCTCGTCGCAGAAATTTTCTATCCGGACACCTTCCTAGAAGAGAATCAAAACTCTCGGATCAGTGGCCTTAGGGAGAACGCTGATTCACCGCCACCTGTCCATGATTTCCAAAACTACCAGCAGTACTTGCAGAAACGTGCCGGGGAAAACGAGGCTCGCAACAGCGGCTCACAACATCATTGCGACGGCGTTGATGAAATGGGATGCTTCCAGGTAATCTAAGAGAGTTTTAAACAGTGTCGTAATCTTCTATTTTTAGGTCTTTATTCTAACATCCTATTTGTGATACAGGTAAGATTGTATTACGATTGGTTCCTGGTGCCAGGTAGCTGCAAATGTTGGCGCCCCGACTACTTCAACCGTTACGTTCGTCGAAGTGGGAGCAACATTGAATTGTGATCAAAGCAGCGTGTTTGAAGTATATGAACGGACTCCTGATACGCTTGAATCAATAATCTTTTCAGATTGGAGATTTTCTAGCTAATATTTGCGATCGTATCGATTCTGATAGTTATACACAGATAAAAAGATTGATTTTTTAATTCTGTACGCGGTACAGAATGATTGATACGATTCGTCGTTAGCTTTAATATATAATTGTATTGGATTTGCAACAATGTGCACCTTAAGACTGAACTGTTGTCACAAACGCGTGTTACTGCTAAGTTTTCTTTCTTCTTTTTAATCCATGCTTCTCGATTTCGCATGGCAATGTACAGTTGTTAATTCGGAATTAACCGTAAACCAGTCCGAATGTTTACCATAAGATATAAGTATTTAAAACATTCAATTTAAAGACGACAATCATAAACCACCTGTTTCTAGATAATACTTTTATTAATTAACAAACAAGAGTACACCTGGTTAAAATTTGTCTTCTCAGGGCTAAGTACAATTCATATGTGTTCTTTTTATGTTGAAGGTTATGGAGCCAGATGTACGTAAAATTATACCTTACCTTTTCTTTAATACTCTATTTATAAAGATATTTAAATAACAGAGACCAATAAATTATTACGATACGTTATAACAACAAAGTGGATATAATTTGTTATTTCGCTCTTGCGCAACTGCATGCAAAAATGCGTTAACTGAAACGAGTTCATTGTACAATTAAAAACAGTGCGTACAAGTCCTTTACGGTTCCTCGGGAGATCCGTAAGCAATCGTGGTCGTTTACAACATTATACACCGTATGTAGGTATTGCACAGTTGGATCAATACTCCGGCCATTGAAAGACAAGGCAAGAAGTAGAAGTAACAGCAGCGGCACGAGAGAGAAGGGGAACCGCATGGTGTCTGTGGAGCATGGTTATCGAGCGATTCCACTTGTTATAGGATTGTTGAATCGAAATAAGTAGAATAGTTCGTGTCGGTTCCGGTTCACTGTTCAAGATAAATAGTGAGAAGTAACTAGATCGTTCGAATCTAAAAAAACTTACCGTACGATTAATTTCCATCCCACCCTTATTCATCTTTTGTTTTAATATCTATTTAGGTTGACATGTTCCAGCAAATTGTCACTCATATTATTTGATCGCTTTTGTGTAGTCTAAATGTGAATTGGATTATAATTATATTCATATATGGGTAATTTCCAACCTGCAAAGGATTAATGTTTGTAACGTTTATTCATTTGCAATGCAAAATCCGCTTACTTATTTATTCCTAATTTTATATGGAGATTATAAAGTTAACAGTATTACAGGGTGCTTAAGCTGACCGAGCGAATGCTCATTGATTCACTGCTCTGCTAAAACTCGACATGATTTAATTCGGCTGAATTCAATTTGGCGCGATTTAATTCGGTGCTATTCGACTCGTACGAGTCAACTTGACACGATTCGATTCGATGCGATTTAATAATTGTGTTAAACGCATAGAATGTTCTCGGTCGTTTAAATTTAAACACACCCTTATAACTTGTGTACTTCGATACACTTGTATAAAATCGCAACGCGGTCGAGGAATCGATACCTAAATACGATTGACCGTATGATCGTGCGATCAACGGTAGTCGCACGCACTTGTTTTTAAGATCGATAAAATCACCTACCTACTTTGCGTCAAATACATTCTCCCACGTGATTCGATGCAGCGTATATATTGCAATGCATGCATATACGTACAAAAGCAATGACGGCGTCGGCTGCTGCGCCAGCTGAAATGAAATAGGTGGGGGTATGCGAACGTAGACGGATCATGGGGGAATGCGACGAAGAAGCAGTTTAGTATCGTCCGACGAAGGGAAGTTGCCGTATCGTCTTTCGATCGGTTTTTCCGTCAGGTGTGCCATTTCCGTTTCTCGCTGACAGAACTCGAACGAAACGCACGGCAACGAGACACGCGACAAGGGAAACAATCGACGAAGTCTCGTCACGAAACGCGCGGTCGTCAAAGAAAGAAACCGTTGGTGGTCCGTGCACGACATGTGGCCAATATTTCGAAGCGGTGCTAAGCCGTTCGCTAAAAATACATTTTCCGAACGGTCAGCACGTTACGGGCTCAGTAAAAAGGAATATCAGTGATGTTCAAGTGCCGGTAAGTTTGCACAATAATGCCACCAATAACGTGCGTCTATCGCCGTGTATTTCGGACACGATCGTAATCACCGCAACGATTTTTCAATTCGCATAAACACAATAAATAATTTTGGGACTATTCGTGTACACGCATAAGCCGCCTATCGTTGTACTCGCGCATATATTTCTTGTAAGAAATATTATCGCGCATCGATGGAGAGACCGACTGTTACGGTTATTAAATGGACCTTTTTCTGACAAATAACTGTGTCATAAAATCGATGGTAAATTTTAAACAAACGATGCATCATTGAAAAGCGTGAGGATGCAACATCGATTCTACTGATGTGCAAACGTAAACCGTGCACTTTATCGAGCACGGTAAGTTTGATACACAAACGATGAGCCACCAACCAAGAAACATTAGAAGCGTTAAATTTCAATTGAGTTTCATCGGAATTCGTCATTAATGACAACGATACGTTAGTCGACGTAAAAGTGCTGTTCGTGCAAAACGCGTAAAATATTGACACGCATGAAAATCTGTGCCCTTAGCGAGCTGCGTGAACAAAGCAAAACTGTCACAGTTCGTAAGCGGAATATGAACACCGGTTATCAGGTGAGTTCTAATTGTTCGATGTGAATAGAGAGCATTCAGTGTTCATTAGATCGATATTAGCATCGAATACCAATCGATTACCTCAAATTTTCAAATCGAGTTTTATTTGCGTTCGTTAAAAAGACGAAAAGGTTATGACCATCGTGGTGGTTTTCATTCGCGAGTTTTTTTCGATTCTGCTTTCGATTTGCAATCGATAATTGTATCGTTATCGAATCCAGAAAAGGAGGGAAATGAATTTCGGAGGCGGAGTGCATGGCAATATTTCGTTACAAATAAATGAAAAGCGGAATCGCGTGGCGCCACTAAATTGAAAATATTAACGAAGAATTGCAAGTTTTTGTGACCTACATACACGACGAAATTGATGTTACGGCAAGTGACTCACATCTGTCACAATGCTAAATTAAGTCTAATCAGTCTTTTACTAGACTATTTGCAATTCCTTGATTCTATTATGTAATGTCAAGCGTTAGAATTTCACCATACGTGTAATTCAATATTTGAGCGCGCCATTGATACTTTTTCGATTTATTTTAACATTTTATTCCCATTTTAGTTAACCCGTTCACGCATGCAGTGACTGTTGGAATCTATGTAAAGATTTACACTAATTACACACCGATTCTCTCGTAATACGTGCACGAAGAAACTTCGACTAACACAGTTAAAAAACACATTTCGTTCTGCCCGAAAAATTGGCTCTCAATTGTTACGCTTCTGGCGCGAAAATTCGTTGAACCGCCGCCATAGTGTCGTTGTATTTAAACAAAAAGGTAACACAAGTCGTGAGACAATACTGTTCTATTATCATACAAAACAATTAGCAAGTAAAATACTTGCAGGAAAAATTACTGACAACGCAATAATGTTTCAGTTTATCCTCGACATGTTAGCACTAGTATTTGAATTTTATCAGGACTAATTCTTCAATTTACAATTATGAATATACTATATCCACGTGCGTCGCAGGGTTTGAAAAATATTAGTCACAAACGAATTTACCAATGAAGGACGTAAGAAGAAGATTTACGATTTAATTATATTTTTAATGCACTATGTATTTAGGTAATGACTTTTAATGAACCTTATCTATTCTTCTCACAATATTTCATTACGTCAATTGTTTAGTACAGGTGTCTAATGCAAATATGCTTAATTAGGTAAATAAAAGATTTCGCAATAAAGTATGGGTTACTACACACGCTCAAGGTTCGCCCACAAAATGGATGACGTGGCAGTCAACATGTTAATGATTTATCAGATTAATAAACACATAAATTATACTTTTTGGCTTTCGGATTATTAGCTAATAACACGAAATAGCCGATCTAGCAGAAGACATCCCAAATTTCGTTATCAACTTCGCTGACGATAATGTGCATGCAAACCCATAAATTTTCACGTGTCTTGTCATTAGTGTGTAGACTTGCTTTGGACAAGAAGGTAGGGTACTCCGTCCGTTTTCGATTTTAAAACTTTTTGACGTTAGTTCATAGAAAATAATCATAACTGTTGCATCTTGTCTGTACAAATATTTTGATTCACAGTTATTCGCGGAAGTCTATAAATCATAGAAAATGATTTGCGTCTTTGAAAAGAAGATGTAGTCAAACGTTTACCGGTTGCAGACGTTTCATATCCGTTATTCTGCAGTACCAAAGTTGAGTTACCATTTTATCTCAAATTTTGTTATGAAAATATATAAAGATTATAAATTATTTTCGTTCTCGACGTGAACTAAGTATGTAATTAAACAACAATTTGAATTGTAGGTTGTGCAAGAACGGGTTTAAGCCAGGCCACTAGTTGAATTGATAATATGAACAGGATGTTAGATAAAAGTACATATCACGAAATTCTGAGGTAGTGCTTTCGTGTAGATATCGCTGTACTTTCACTGAACTATATCAGCCGTCGGAACGTCAAAATATAAAGCGCATTTCCAGCTTTTGTGAAGCAGTTGTGAAATTTATTTACACAATGACAAATAATAGTTTTGGTAAATGACGTATCGATTCTTTTAAAGATAGTCGCAAGAGAATAGATATTTGGAATCAAAAATTTATTAAATTATCATATCATTGTGTAAAGAATTCGCAACGGATTAAAATACTTCTATGTTCTCAAAATTTTTTAAGAAAAAATATTGCACAAGGTAAACCTATAAACATGTTCAGATTAACTCAGTTGAGATAAGAATTCATAAATTAAAATGTTATCTCTGTAGAGAAGAGACTAGTTTAGGAAAAAATAGAAACTATGCAGATTCTAAGAAGAGTTTTATTATTATACAGAGACTAATAGACACTTGTACAAATTTAGAATCTAGTGTTTGAGAACCTAGAAAGAATATAAAAAAAGGTGTAGTTTTTTAAGGAATTCGGTTATCTTCTTACCTGTATCTGTTGTAAATTCTTTGAGGCAACATTTAGGATATAAAAGCAACGAATATCACGTAGGAATGAATAACACATTCTTTCACGGTTCGGCGTAAAGAAACGTGCATATCAACGGAAACGCGTATCTTATCGTTTCCCTTCTGGTGCTAGCATGGGCTTCCTAATTCCCCAGCATCCATAACTCAACGGTCCATAATTAGGGGATCAGCATTGTTAGCTACAAACTTGTTTTACTAATTTCTAATCTTTGGACTATGAACAAAGCTATCTCCCCCTGTAATTCCTACTTGAAATTTTCACTTTGACTGTATTATGTTGCTCATAGTTTTCATCATTTGTATAATATATTAATGTATTAATTAATACATAGTTTTCACCATTTGTGTAATATATTAATGTATTAATTAATACATAGTTTTCACAATTTGTGTAATATATTAATGTATTAATTAATACATAGTTTTCACCATTTGTATAATATATTAATGTATTGATTTACATTAACACACAATGTATTAATTAATGTATTTGTGCAATGTATTAAGATGTACTAAACTGTATTAATTGAATTACAATTATCTTGTCGTGATTGCAGGTTCCAGTATAATGAGGCCATCCATGAAAATGGGGATGATCGCGTTGATAGGCGTGTTCGTGGTGTTCTATCAGTATCATCTATCAACCGGCGTGCGATTCGATCAGATGATCAACTTCAACACGGACGGATCCGTAGATGTGCCGGTTCTGTCTCAGGAGGAAGTTGAAAATTATGTAAGAACGTCCAAGTTCACGGAACAAATGGTGAACACTTTAAGATGAAATTAAGACATGAAACGCTACATCATGACTACCGTTCGTTCTACTCGTTTCTAACCCCCTTCCCGTTTGTCCAGATCAAAAGCGCGGTACGCAGAGTTCAAGAGACGAACGGTCTGAGTCCTGACCTGGCGTCGTTGTTGGTGCAACAGCTAGTGAATCACTTGAGCAAGAATATCTTCGAATCGTCCGAGAATAATTCGAAGATTTTACGATCACCTCCGGTGACGATGGTGACGCTGAATCATCAGTCTCCGACCGGATCGGACGAGACGCTGGAACCGCTCTACATAATAACGCCGACGTACAGGAGGCCTGAACAGATACCGGAACTCACCAGGATGTCGCACACGCTGATGCTGGTGAAGAACGTTCATTGGCTCGTCATCGAAGACGCGACTACCGCTACCAAACAAGTTACCAGGCTGTTGGAACGAACGGGATTAAATTTTGAGCATTTGACTGGTAAATGATGAAGCGAAGGTTAACATAACCTTGCATGTCGATCGCACAACACCCCACAATAGTTTGACGCACTCATGACGCACATTTGGAATGTGATTAAATTCATATTTTCACTGCAATTAAATTTTGGATCTCTCTAATCATAATCTGTATAATCAGGGATCATTGAAGACAAACTATACTTAACATTTAACCTAAAATTTTAACCAGCTACCTAGAAAATTATAGGTTAGGGGGTTAATCACCGAAATTCTGTTATTTTATTATTCTACTATTATTTTATTATTCCAGTAAATACTGGATTTGTATTTTATCAAAGTATTTTATCATTGTATCTTGCTAACCAGTAGAAGTGCAATTATAAATTCTCCACAAATATTTCATACCATAAAATGCGGTTGAATCGCACAACCTGATTGTTACGACATATGAAACGATAAGCAGTAACGAGCTCTGAAACGGTTTTAAAACATGATCAATAAACATTTAACGCGACCAGTGTAAATAAGTTTCAGCGAGATTAATTTCGTTCATCGGCCAACTCGGAGAATTAATTGGAACAGCCGCAAATGTCTCGATGAAAAAGCGTTATATTGATTTTGTAGCTCCACAGTGTACGTTAAATATGTAGCCTTCCAAACGAGAACCGTGTCAGCCTTTGCACGAACTAAACTTATATTGGATGGACAGTGTTCGATGTGGCTCTGACGCTTTTCTAATCTTTTCAGCACCGATGCCCGAGAAATACAAGCAGAAAAAGGGTGCCAAACCACGAGGCGTGTCTAATAGGAATCGTGGCTTACAGTGGATCAGGGCGAACGCGACCAATGGTGTCTTTTATTTTGCGGACGACGATAACACGTATGATATAAGCCTTTTTAACGAGGTACGTTCTGTTATAATACTCTCAATTTTGTCTACAAATTTATTGTAAAAAGTATTGTAAAATATTTCACCACTTGAGACGTACACATACTGTAGAGTTCTGTCTGATAGTAATATTATTTCAGATACGCAAAACGAAGAAAGTATCCATGTTTCCCGTGGGACTGTGCACAAAGTTCGGTTTGAGCTCGCCTATTATCAAGAACGGAAAGTTCGTGGGATTCTACGACGGTTGGATAGCTGGCCGGAAGTTTCCCGTAGATATGGCTGGGTTCGCCGTGAGCGTGAAATTCCTGCATCAACGACCGAATGCCACCATGCCATTTAAGGCCGGCTACGAGGAGGACGGTTTCCTAAAAAGTCTTGCGCCGTTCGAGCCAAAAGATATCGAGTTTTTGGCCGACAATTGCACCAAGGTTCTTGCGTGGCACACGCAGACGAAGAAGAACGAACCTAGTGCACCGTTAGATATGAAACTGTACGGTGAAACGAATCTCGTTAAATTAAAACAGCAGATAGTATGATGAATTCGAAATTTCGAGCTCAATTTTCTTTGAATCATTTACTATGTCTATGAGAAACAAAGTGATTCAGTGCCTGAAGTATTGTAAGGTACGGTTGGTATAGCAATGAGTTCTTTTTATTGTTGAGTTTTAATTCGTAGGACGCTATATATTCAGAATCGTTTGTTCAAAAGATTTCTATGATGTCAGAAGATATAACGCTTTGCACTCGAGAAGTGACTCGGTCACCATTTTATTTTATACAATAATTTGAAATTTTTTAACTGATTCTATATGACACGTGTGATGTGTACACATAGTGAAACAAGAAATGGTGGAAATTATTAGTAGAGAAATAATAACCTCAAAAGAATTAATTTAACTTTTTAACCAAGTTTTAAAGTTGCTGTTTGCAAATTACCTTTGAGTGCAAAGGAATAAAATACTATCAAGTATTAGATTCTAAATTTGGATTATTGCTCAAATGATTCTGAATGAGCTTCCTGTCATAGCTCAAAGTTAATCAAGAAACGTTGAAGGATAAAGAGAGAAATAGAGATATTAAATTTTGTTGCAAAAATCTGTGGCTCTGTAGCATAGCGTTAGTCATTATTTTATACATTAGGTTTTAATTATTACTGTAATATGTAGACCAATGACCAATTAGCGTCAGAATTCGGTTGAGTGGATCCGCAGCAAGAAATAGGAAAATAGAAACTCAATGAAGAGTACAACGTTATCTTCCGTTTCGCTTGAAAACCATTTGCTAGGTTAAATATAATTTCCGAATAATTACAGCGAATGATTTAGTAAGTTTTTAATAGAATAGGTAAATGAGAGTTACTCTTTTGTACTTACAGTTGTACAAATATCGTTTCTAGATACCTTTGCAGTGCAATATTTTCATTATGTGTATGAAGTGTTTTTATGTTTCTCAGTACAGCATTTTTTAGATATATATACAAAATCAGAATTCTTTAAGAATGCCAATTTTAATGAGTAGCTTATGTTTACATCATTGATTTCTCATTCCGTTGAAGATATTATTTCTAATGAAAGGTCGCCTATATATTTATGTATAATACATTAAAGTAACCAATCACTAAAGGGATAAATATGTCGGTGCAAGAAGACATTAAATGCACTAGTTTTTAATGGACTTTGAAATTTCGTAAGAAATAAGGATGATTGTTATACAATTCACGACACGAAACGTTTTAGTCGTGAAGCGTGAATATTCATATCGAATGCATGCGTAGGTAGGGAAAAAGAATGAAATGCAATGTAATGTTTCAAAAGGTCTGCGACAAGATCAAATTGAGAATCTGTTTATTTAAAAATGATAGCCAAAGATAGAATAAAGGCAAAGAATTTATTTTAGAATTGTAACAGACTTTTTGAATCAACGTCTTAATATGCAATATATTGATTACCAAAGTAATGCAAGTGATATAGAACAATTCTTGAACCACAGAAAATTGTGGTTAATTTTTAATTATCGAAAGTCGATCAAAGATTTAATCTCCGCCCTCGTTACTCGAAAGACAAAGTAACCTTCTAGTCCAGCAACATTTATTATTAAAATATGAGGAATGTAACAATTAATTGCATATATTTCTTTAAGTCCAAATTTTAATTATTTTATGTAAATGTTTAAACCAACGTGTAAGTTTAAACTGAAGTAGGGTCAGTCTTCTGTAATTTGTTTGTACGCTAAGCGGAGATATAACGTGAAAGCAATAACCTGTTATTAGATGAAGTTGGCTTATTGCAAATTATGTATTTGCGAGAGTGGGTGCTAAAGACTTTATAAATCATAAAATTCAACGGTACGTTTAATCTTTATCATGCGAAATAAAAAATGAAAATGGCTTTGAAACTAATAATGTTTACGATTATTTGAATTGTGTGATATTGCCGCGCTTGATCGACACGTACTCTTAGTCTCACATATTCCCAACGCGTATCCCAACCGTGAAATTTACTCTTATTTTATCGTGTTCAGAGTCAGCGTGACAAGTTGTTTAACGAGCGGAAAAAGTGTAGCTACCACTTTTGTAAGGCACTAATAGCTAACTTTGACAATATATATTCTTCAATTTTATTCTTCTTTTAATCCTCATAAAATGTAATTCTTACAGTAGTTAATATCTATCATTTCTTCTTCTGAAAATATTTACATAATAGGTATCTGTATATTTTTAAATTAAACGTTTCATCGCTGAAAATAATTCTAATCAATTTTCGTAAGATAAAGATTATGCGGATAATGATGGAATAGTAGGAACGATACTCGTAAACGAACATGGTAAATGATGTAAGACTGAAAGCGTGGGAGAAGTTTTTTGATAAAGATTTTCAAGATAATATTTGAAAGTGTAAGTCAGGAAATGATAAAGATAGTCATGATATAGGAAAAAGTTGAATCCCTCCAAATGTTTTGAAACTTGTAAACATTTAACCGTGTATTTTACGAGCATCGTTACTTCGGTTAATACATATCTTAACTATGGAACTGAATAATTGGATAAAGAAATGTTGCGATACACGAATTCGTTGTTATTTCATTTTCATATTAACTTTTATACATGATACATACAGACAGTTTCTTTCAGTACAAATAACCAATTCATTTTAGTCTAAATATTTGCTAGTCGCGTTACGTTATTCAAATTATCTAGATAATAATGCAAATAGAAAGGACTTCTGCGTGTGAGCAAAGATTCACACTCGTATAGTTACTATTCCTTATAGAAGAATGTAATAAAAGTAATAAATGACAATGTGATATTCTAATTTACATAACACCTACAATTATTTGTTTTCATTTCAAAGGGAAATAATGTAACACCTTTTAAAGTTTTATGATTTATTATGCGCATGACATGGAATCATCAGATTGTGCTACTTTATTTTACCAAGAAATCCTTTGAGGATTAGGAATGTCACTCCAATAAAATACCTTGTTAACAAAAATATAAAACTGCAGGAAATTCACTATTAGTGTGGTCATTGACTCTGCTACAATTTGCCACTTTTTTGGTTTCTGAATAAATAAATGATAAAATACATAAGGAACAATAAAATAACGTGGCTCTATAAGCAACTGAGGTATAAGTATTACAGAAACCATAAAAATATAGTTAATCTGTGACATGAACCTTAAGTGTTTAATCCCACAAAACATTGTATACAAGGTAAATGAGTATACAGGTACTAGCAAATATTTGAACCACCAATATTTTCCCATAAATTTGTTCCACAAATAAAACACATAATGTCTGTTATCAGCCAAAACATATGGATGAACAAGAGTGTTAAAATGAACTATTAAAATTAGAAGTACTAAAAAGAAACTTTCAAGAGCCCAATGTTTACGGATAAACTTAAAATAATCTTTCCAATGAACTATCATATATGGCCACAAGAAACAGGAAAGAAAAGCAGAGAAATATAATAATTGAGGAATGTGAACAGTTGGAGTGTGAGCTGATCTGTCTCCAACTACAATCCCTTTATTCCAAAAAACAAATGCAACGAATGTCAAACATACTGTAACATATGGAAATAATTTGATGAGTATCTCATTCATGAGCATCACAAATGATTTCCATCCACTGAATATTTCATCTATTAGTCTTTTCCACAGCAACTAAAAAGTATATAATATTATGTGCTAATATATTAAATTAATTAAATACATTTATACTCTCCATAATAATGATTTACTCACTTTGACATAAGTTACTGAGTTATACTGTTTGGGTGAAATTGATTTACCTATTTTATTATCTAATATATCAAACAGACATTCCATGGTAAGGAATGCAACCCAAATGATATTTGTTTGCCTTATTATCACAGACAATAAACCTATACAATATTTACTATGATTTCAATGCATCAAGTATCAATTACATTGTTACTTACATACATACCTACAAAAGCTGCCAATTTAAATTGTTTATGCAGATGTAACAGTACCATCAATAATACTGCATTGAGCGAAACAACATCAGTATAATATAAAAAGTGCCAAAAAAATAAGGGTGGAAAGAACGTGATATTACAAGCTACGGAAAGTTTTATCCAATTATCCCATCTTTGCATCCGATGAGTTATTGAAATTTGTTTAAGTATACTGTTAGTAAGATAAAGGTTTAAGAATGTTCCAAGTAAATTTATGCATCTTAGATAGAAAATATTACAAAGTTTTAAAGGTGACAATATTAAAGTTGCAAGGATATATAATCCAGGTAAAGTAGTGATTTTTTGGTCCCACTGAAAATAACATATCCCTCAAAAAAAAAAATGAAATATTTTACAGTTTTAATAATCAAATGTTACTTTCTCATTACTTAAATGAAATAAGAATTAATCAAAAATAAAAACATACCTGAGTAAAGTTGCCATCACAGTATTGTAATGTCTGATTTACGTGGAAAACTTCGTCAATAAAATAATAAGGATGTATACGATTTAAATAAATAAATAAGACTGTGACACTTAAACAAAGTAATGGTATCAATAGTTTTTGCACGTACTGAAATTTCATTGCAGTCATGAATTTCACCATTTCGTTAATGAAAAGAAAAAGTTAAATAAAACAAAGTCTATAAACGTTAGTAAAACAGAAGTTACAGAATTGATACACATTGAACACGTTCATTTATTTCAGGAATTCTTTGGTCTACGCATATCATTGTATAATTATATTTTTTAATATTTTCGTATACATGGAAAGTTAATAATTATATTCTAACCGAGGAAACATGTTGCACCACGTTTACAGAAAATTCTTCAGTCTGTACCTGCGGACATCTGCAATACTACTGAAGTTTTACGTTTTGAAGTTAATCGTATATCGAATCGATTCAAAGCGATCTAACTTATCGACGCGCGTTTGAAATTGAAATTTGAAAAAGGGAGGGAGAAAAGAAATAATTTCAGAAATAATTTTCATTGTAATATTGAAGTAAATAAGTTTATTTCAACTTAATCTCAGATCTGGGGTGTAATATCTGAGTAATCTTGTTTTTCGTTTGTCTGTAAAAACATTGGCAGAATACAAAATTCAATACTTTACAAATAAGTAAATTGCAAGTACTAAGCAAACCTGTTCTAATACATTACGCTTCTTTCTTAAATACTGTGCTTACTTTCTATCTCATTCAACTAAATCTTTCAAAGAAGACCAAATTTGCAATGTTTTTGTCTGTTACATTTTTTTTCATTATGCATACATTGGGTACATGAGTTGGAAAAATAATAAACCAATTTAGTCACGAAATTTTAAATAAAACTAACAATATGCTATAGCACATAAAATTTCAGACCATTATTATAATATAATATATTCATACAAAATCTCTGTAACCATGGTAAATACTTAACAAGAAATTTAAACTAAATTTGATTCACTCTACTATTAAACGCACCTGTAGAGTAGATTAATGTAAACCAGTGAATCAAGTTATGTTTGTTAAGGATTTAGTTTTGTTCAATTATTAAATGATCATTTAATTCATCATGCATCGAAGACTTTTCAGTTACATACTTTGCGTACAATTCTTCTTCGATGTACCATTAGATGGAGTTTATAAATGCTATGATGTATCAGTACAATGCATATCAATGTTTAGTTTGATTCTATTCTATTCGATTATTTCCTGATGTTCAGGACAATCAATCCACATCGTACATATCGAACTTTATGGCATTTTCACCTGAGAATAATTACAGGATAATTGTCCATGCACTAAATGTAAAATAATCGAAGTACAATGCACGAGTGTGTATAAGCGGTTTTTTGCAGTTGTTGTAATCGTATAAAACATGATTCCTTTATACATACAGACATCATCATACATAAAAAAGACATAGGCAAACTGTATATGTATATCACGAGCACGTGCATACATAAATGTAACGTTCACATTTATGTATGCATTTTACAAAGCTGAACATATCTTTGTTGGGATCCTAATGTCGTCTAATTTAAGGGTATCCATTAGTCTCTTTTTGCTTCTTTTTCCGTTTCTTAAGTAGTCTAAATCAAACAAAAAAAATTATGTGGACATTATTTATCACGGTTAAAAGACAATTTCTTAAAAACAATGTAATCTTTGAGCTTATGTACAACTACTGATCACTTATCGTTAACACGTTACAGTGAATCCTAAATAATCTTATGAAATTATCATTTATGAGTTCCTTGCAGTTGCAAAAATTATATGATTTTCAAATTAATAATAAAAAGCTACGATGTACTATTTCAGTTCAGGATGAAAAAGCATGTAATGTACATGACTATAGACAAATAATCTAAGTACAAATTTTCTATATGTGGAATGGATAATAAATGAACAATTTTGATTTATTGCAATGAAGGTAAATTCAGATTCATTTTAAAACTGTTATACAAATGAAATGAAGCCAAATAACAAATTATTCAAATGATGATTGTTACGTTTGAATGATACAAAAGATCAGAAAACTTTTAATTCATTAATTACAGGAAGCATTGGAATAGAGTGCTTTTATTACTTAATATTACCAAACAACATACTATTGTACTCAATATCTCATAAATTGAAGACTTTTCTTTCGTACTTCCTGTTGTAAATGAAACAGTATTTAATATTTCCTATGTTTCTCGATAACTTTTTGTATATCACATATTACAGAAAAACCCTATAAGTTGCAAAAAATAATATCATAAATGTTATCGAGCAACAAATTTTTGACCAACGTACAAATCTCTTGCAATTATCAATTAGAATTAATACGTGTACAGGTATAAAAGCAATGAAAGCAATATAGTAGTTATTAAGTTCAATATCATGAAAAATATACATGTGTAAAAAAGAACTCGTCTTTATGCGAAATCAGAATCTCCAATGAACAAACGCATAATTTAAAAAATAGTGGGAAATGTACAGTGTTTTCTGTTTTAACTCGCATGGACACCTGAGACATTTTGTATCTTTCAGTCGTTAAGAATTTTCTAAAACGAAAAAAGAAAATACATACACACGAACGTACACGCGCCAACATTGAAAGCAATATCTAGAAAAAAATATCAAAAGGTATGCTTAGTTTTATTCAATCTTTTGTCTCTCCTGTAGAAACTTAAAACACGCAGTTAACTAATACTTTTGTAGGCGTTCAATTCTAAATATTGCTTTTAATGTTCCTCAGCTTTTTTGAAGAGAGAAAGAATGAGACTGGAAGAAGCATGTATTTGTTATATAATAACGAATTGTATAATGTTATCAGCACTTGTGGAATGCCTGCAGTCAGATTTCAAATACTAAATACATATGTTCTTAAGCAAACATCAAAGAATATTAGCAAATTATTTACAATTTTAGTGGTGTTTGCTGAAAATTATGTGGAAATATTCAATCGCGAAACCGTTTACAATAATAATGGAATAAATATGGATTCCTAGATAATACTATTACAAGCTGTTTTAATAAAAAACAAATGATTCGCTTCTCTTAAAAACTGTATCTAATTTCATAAGCGAAAAGCAATTTTCTCCAAGTATATAAAATGAGTGGATCATGTAAAAGCATGTTAAAATGAGAAGCAAATTTGTGCAGATAACAAATAAAGAGCACTCCTTAGGAACTAATGAGACTTAAACATTATGTCGAGATCTTGAAAAAATTAAGAATATTATATGTACAATTATTTGAGTAACAGGTAACCCGCCGATAATAGGGGGGTTTGAATTAATTAAAAAAAAATATATATATAAAACAGAACTATATAACAGGGAGCAGAAATTATTTAAAATAGGGATGATATGAAAAGGAATTTAATCAGTTTCAGAGGTTTTATTTTTCTATATATATGTATAAAAAAGAAAAAATCATAAGCTGAACTTTATCATCATAAAGAAGAAACTGGAAATAATTTTTGAAGTTCTGCAAGTTTTAAGTCACATTCTTTATGGACCTTGCAAGCTTGTATCATTATCATTTAAATATTATAAAAGAAATACACCATCAAAATGAATATTGGCTCATGCTTATTACAATTATACAAACGTTACGAGAAAATTTCATTATCAGGAGATTACCTGTACTTTTTATCGAGAAATACATTCTTAGTCATTCGGTAGAATTAAATAAGTGATTATCTCAAAGCTATAAAAAATGGTTTCTTAATTCTACTTCATTGCGTAACTAAATTTCATACGGTCAGATATTGAAATAAACCTGGTAAACCCTAAAATTTCTATTTTATAAAAAAGAACAAAGGGAACATAACTGTACTGAAAAAAAAAACAAAGTTAATGTAACCCGTTTATCTTATGATATTCTCAGTTCTTTATATGCATATCTTATTTCATAAATTTATAAATATTGAAGTATTATGAATGATAATATTTTACAGAAGGAATAAAATCCAATTGATCGTTGACAGGAAAATTTGGTTACTCAATGAAATGACTAATGATTAAGAGACGTACATAGGCGGTAGAATAATTCTACTATAATAGAAGTACATTAAAAGTATAGAATTAATCCTATTGACCGAAGGCCGATATGTAATACAATGTCACAAATTTGAAATTGTGCCTGTACATGCTACTTCTAATATCTGTACATTGCAATAATACAATAATAAATCGTCTAAATATGAACCGCAACTTAAGTTACCATTGTTTTATTGGAATATAATTTTTTTTATTTTTATCATAAATTATATCATTGGATTGGTCAATTTACGTAGTTATTATATACAATTCTTTTTCTTATGGATCATAAATAATAATTGAGAATATTATTAATTAAAAACGGAGACAACGATACAAAAGTTAATTGAGATTAAAGTTGAACATACTATGCGGAATTTTCATGAAAGGATCTATCGTATCTTGAATAAAAAATAAAAAGAAATATGTTAAATGTAATCACGCTAAAAAAAGGGCAGATAAATAACAGGCAATGCCACAGAGTGCTCCATATCGTATCCCTAATGAATTATTGCTTTTTGCACTTTTCGAAATATTCGGAACGTTATACACTATACCCTAGTCATGTAAAAATCACTTAAAGTCGAAAACTTAACCAAGCCTGTGTACAATGTAAAGCTTAGTAGACGCATAATCACCAATAATAAAACCTTAAAAGCACATGAAACGATAAGGGAAAAATTGCGATGTTACTACTGTTGCTCTTGCTATTCGTTCTTGATGTACAAAATGATATCAGGACCCCGTACAATAGTGTCGCATGGAACATTTACGCATAGTAAACTTGTATTGTCGTTAAAAAATATGATTTTCCCGGGTACATTTGGCAAGCATGCATTTCGATCTGGAAGATCAACTCTTCGAGGGATAATTAAATAAACGTAGATAAGAATTAATGACAACTACGAGAGGACGGTTCGCACTCTCCTCCAACGTGCTTCCCATTGTGACTTATTTCTTCTCGTACTCCATCCAAATCCGAATCCAGAACCAATAATAACTTTGTTAAAGTAAGCAAGGTTGTGGTTGTTGTTATTTACGTAGCCAATATTCGAATTAAGATTGGCCAGGTTGACCGCGTTCAAAATTCGAACGGCAGTCGAGAGTCGTAATTTGCTTGCTGGAGAACTAAACACCAACTTGCGGGTTTGCTTATTATTGTTGCTGGTGTCCCCGCTACTGCTAGTGCTATGACGATCATTTAACTGTTTTGCCGTATGGGAATACTCGGTGCAAAATGATTTCGCCATTGATCATTGTCGATACGTTTGAGACGATATGCCGTTACCAGGTGTCACGTAATCCCCGATCATCAAGCTGGGATTCACTGGATAATGTGAGGTATTGCCAAGGACCAGCGATTGCTGGAAAGTAACACCAAGCTGTAGCGCGAAAGACACGCAGGCAGGCGTACACTTTAGTATCCTTTTGCTTTAGATTGAAATCAAATATTTAGCGAGCTCTTGTTTCGGTGTAGGTATTCGCGCACAGGTATACAAATACCGCACGTACTCGTGAATTAGTTGAAAACGGCTCGCTCGAAATCTACAATGTTATTTTGTACACTTACCGTAGCAGGAGATGTGAACATGTTTGGAGTAATTCCACCACCTATTAGTTGTGCCGCTTGCGTACTTGTCGCTGTACCCCCGACTCGTCCTCGTCCTGTGCTCGAGATTGAACCAGGGTGTATATTTGGTTGACCTCCTAAAGCATACATAGAATCAACAGACGGAAAATAAGATCATAATCATTATAATATACGTATTTAAAATACTGAATTGTTAGTTAAGTTTATTCGAGTATGTTCCTAAAATAAAAATTCATATATTAGACAAGTGTTTAATAACACGCATTATTTTATAAATATATAGATTACATATATGTTTCTATGTTCTTACCAATGGCAAGTAAATTGCTAGGATTTACAGCTGCTGTTGCATCCATAGAAACTTCTCCCAAACCATTCACTGACATTCCATTGACCATGTTTACTGCTTGTCTGGCACCTTGCGCATCTAAAGTTGTCCAGTAAGATTCACTAGGCGAGGTGTTATTTAAACCAGGAGGAGGCTGTGCCGCTGCACCGGTATATCTGAAGTACGGATTTTTCAAATCCAAAGTGTTACTACTACTTTCCATATTTGTTCCTTCTAACTTCAGTTCTATTGTCACGTCGTACGATTGTCTAAAAAATAGATGAGTTTCATGTGTAACCGATGTTAACGAATGCTTGTAACTTACAAAAATGACTACTACAATTACGTAGCTTCACCTTTTATTTGCAACAAGAATGACTTTTCCAGACAATAACTGACCGCTTTTACAAAACAAAGGATTTTCCAAAAGACAACGGACTTGATACCAATGAGTAAGCGGTTCCGTGGGAGCTGTACTTAACCAAACCTGTTGCGTGGATCCGATAAATGCAACGTCAAACCAAAATGCAAGCCCATGGCAAGTCGCACTTTCCAATATGTGAAAATCGACATCAATTTCTAAAGAAATTATGAACGATGTGAAATGCCGATAAAGATCTATGATATAAAAATTATATATCATACACAAATTTTTACCTATTTTATGTAAATCAGTCTCATTAGCAGTTTGAAAATCTACTATATGTCTGATAGATTTAGCCATACAAATTCTTATATCAAAGGTATCAACAATTGGTTGTCTGAAGTATTCTTTGATCGCGTTATTTCTCATTGCCGAGAGATCTACGCCGTGAAAACATGTTTGATACCAAAAATTAGCTTTATTAAACTGCTCCATATAAAGATTTTCATCAGAAAATGGTGCAATGTGAAGATCACCTCGAGAAGGAAACATTCTACCACCTATGAAACAATTATTTAATTTCGGTTACAACGATTGAGGGAGATCAACTAAATAAAGACAATGTTTTAAAATCAATTACCTGGGACTAACCACTTTTTTGCATGGAGATAAGTTTCAAGCATTCTTTCATTATACAACATATAACCCATAGGTTCACTTACTATGCAGTCCACTCTTTCAGGTAAATCAATTTCTTCTATTTTACCAGCTATGACAATGATCTTATCCGATAAATTATTGGCAGCAACTAATAATTCTGCATGATTTGCCATGTTACTTGCTTCTACAGCATATACTTTTTTTGCACCTGCTTGAACTGCAAAAAATGATAATATCCCAGAACCAGCACCCACATCTAGAACAACTTTATCTTTAAAATCAGACAAATTTCCCAAAATTGCTCGCTGGTATGTGCTGGTTCTAATATAGTCTTGCATCATATTTTGTTGCTGTGAGAGATAACCATAGAACTGAAAATATTGCATGGCAGAAGATTCTTCAGTTCTTTCATTAAATGCAGATACTCCTTTGCCATTTTTAAGTTTTAGTATTTGTGAATGAAAAGTTCGAAAATCTATATAGAAAAAAATTGTATCATGTCATTAATAGCAAATTCTTCTGGACATTTATAGTCTATAAAAGTATACTTACCTGTTTCATTAGCAAATGTTATGAGTAAACTATCTGTATCAAGCGTGAATACATAACTTTTAGACGATACTCTTGAGCATTCTGTACTAGGAGTTACTGGAAATTCCAATAATGTTGTTTTATCCCTACCCACTGAATCTCCTATTATGACACACAAAAACATAAAAACTTAATACTTGTATTACAGAAAATAAATACATTAAATAATGTACTTTAAAAGATACTTTTCTTATCAAATGCTTTATAGCAAAGCAAAATTACTACTTAATAAGGAGCAGTGAAAGAAATGTTCTATACAAATATCACACTATAAACGTTGTTACAATAAATTCTATTGAATTAAAGATCATTATGTAACAAAAGATAAGTATATCATTTCTTTAAATCTTTTATACGAAAAATCAAAAGACTATTCGTCGAAACATACTTTTTATAACGTGCTAAGAAATCTTCGTTAAATTATAATTAAAAAAAAACTATAAACGCTCATTTAAATGTGGTTATGTTGCCCGACGCTAACATAATCCGTAAAAGATAATTTATCGATAAATCAATACCTGCAAGAAACTCAACACTGAGACCTTGCGGATCATAGTTAATATGGAGTGTGACCGGCTTATTATATTTCGCTGTTGACTGTCCATTGTTTGACAAAGTCGATACTGTCACCGCGCGAAACACCTTCGCCATTTTTAGACACCGCGTGCGTACTGTACGCTACAGTTCTATCGTTGGTTTTCTTACACTTGCTGCTTATCTAAACGTCGTTTCCCAAAAAACTATTAATTAGAAAAAAGTACACGCGATATCGCCTCTTCAGGTACAAATCACACAAACGACATTAAAGGAATCTTTGTTGAAATTGCAATTTTTCACGTTCGTATACCGAACCATCGACTAACCACCCCCGGCGCGTATTACACACGCGCAGAAGGGTTACTAGCACGCTGAATATATAGCTAATTGAACTCCCTAGGTTCACAATGAACATAGAAGATTGTCGGTAAAAATTTTAAACTCCTCCATTGCACCGACGTAAGATAATTTGCATTATTTTATTCCATCTTTTATATCTTCCGTCTAGCACAATAAACAATACGAATTTTCCTATAATACTTATAGAAGACGCAGAAAATTTTGTTATTTACAAAACTTGAAATCAATATGCACTATTTTATTAAATTATTAAATATGTAACAAATTCTAATATTCGAAATTTTAGTGCAATATTGAAATATGTATTTTATAATCATTCAATTTTTGTTGAATCTTTTCAGCAAAATAGTGACCAATCAAATATAATTTCTAAATGCATCGTGTAAAATCTGCGATATTATTGGTTGAAATATAGTATAGTTGAAAGTTTTGTATATTTCCTAGAATGACCTGTGCACTTCCTGTGCAGATCGCACACATATATGCACGGTTAGTAGTGAACGATACTCAGATCGATAAATACGAGTTGGACAATAACTCGAAACTCGAAGACTGGCGGCGTGGCTGATTGCTCTCTCCCATTTTTGACAGTGTTCGTGAAATATTGCACTTTTTCATAAAAATGACTGCTCACGACCAGATGCGAGCTATGCTTGACCAGTTAATGGGCACTGGACGGAATGGTGCGTATTACTGCCTTTTATAATCGATAAAATATTACTTGCAATAACATTATTTACAATTACTTGAAATCTCATACAAAAATACAAGATGGTGGCTTACACTACCATTACACGTATATTTATCCGCCTTAAAGGTAGTATCGTATTGACAAATATTTCATGTTTTTAGGTGAAAATAACAAATTTCAAGTGAAGTACTCGGATCCAAAGGTCTGCAAGAGCTTTTTACTGGCATGCTGTCCACATGAAATTTTATCGTCAACGGTGAGTTTTTTTCAAATTTATCACATATTGAATATCAATGATATACCATTGGCACTTCTGCGCTATTGTAGAGCATTTTATATCCCGTTTTGATATTTCTTCGCATTAACACAGAAGCAATCAGACATCGATACATTCAATGTCACCTTCAGTTTTTCAGTTGTTACCTTTGTATTTTTCCAGTTTACTCTGGTTACACGATTCAGTCGCTTTCATTTTACTAGTAAACTCATTTGCTTTCTATTTTAAGTTCTATCATAAAATAAGCCATATTTTATCAATATTTACATGTAACATTGCTTTTAAGAGAATGTTTTTAACTCATTATGAACATAAACAAAAAACACAACAGAAGATCTTTAGCTGAATTTTTGTACACGTTAAAATAATGCGTCTCAATATATGTTTGTAATGTGTTAAAAATATTTGTTTGATCCTTACTTTGATACAAAGTACAAATGATGTATAACAACAGTATAGAAAAATGCAATTGTCTTAATTATTATTTTACTTACATATACATTGCTTAAATAGCTTTCAATACACATTTCATCATTAAATATGATTCGCTTTTTAGAATTAAATAAAACTGTGTCTAATAATTCACCTATGATGCAAAAGTGGTTGAATCAGTTCATTATTAAGAAGTTCATATTTATTTTTAATTCAAAAAATAATGTAGTACATAAGGTATGCTAAGAATTTTATTTGAAAAGCGAAGATGAATACTGCAGTAGATTTGTAGACATATGTAACTCAATCAATATTGAGGTTTTAAACATAAAATATAAAATGATTATTTTAGGAGATCTTATATGTTTTATATCTGAGAGTTCAATTAATAAAAGTAATATTACTTCTGCATAGGTAGGTGTATATACAACATAAAGATTGAAAAATATCTTATCTGTATATAAAAACACATATGTACATGTACATCCTATAAATTATATTTTAATTTAATATCTTTTATGGATCATCGTACATTCATGAAAAAAGTGTTATGCACTTATTTATGACAGAGTTGTATATTAAAATAAAATTATTTTGTTTAAAATGTTTTATTATTTGTTTTATAGAGTTTTAATTTTATATTAATTTGTATATGTACTTTGGATCGTGTAATCAAAGTAGCCAGTCAAATAGATACAATTAATTTCTTTTGTTGTAGTAAGTCTGGTTGCCTAAATTTTTTAAATTCTTTCTACAAATATCTTTTTATTTCATGTTTTACATTATATACTCTCATAAATTTCCTTTTGCATATATCTTTTTAATCTTACGGAAAACAACAAGAATTTTAAATCAGTGATTACCAACACAAAATACATTGTGCATAGTGCTTTTTTTCATCGGTGCCAACTGGTCTGGTCAATCCTATAATTAAATGATTAAATAATAAAAATCAGTTTTGTAGTCTATGATATACAATAGAGTTATATTTGCGTGATGTGCTTCAAGAATTGATTCTGATCAATTCACACCAGATAGGCGTTGAAGTGCAATACGGGGCAGCAAACCAAGATAAAGAAGGAGTCAACCCTTAAAGTTTTAAAAGAGGAAGAAGTAGGATATGCCTCTGGTAGCCCTTTATATAGAATCATGTCACTATTTTGTATAAACAACTTTATATCTTGTTTATATAAATTGCAAGAAGAAGATTAATAATGGGAATTATTAACAATTCAAAGCCATAAAATACAAATTTTATCCCACTTCTTTCGCGTATGGTACTTGGAAATGTACCGAAACTACGTTTGCGGAAATAGCCCGATATTTTTGCATAATAATACGTGCAGGAAATCGAAACGACATAACCGCAAGGTTGGAGTGGAGACAAATGTTATATTCATACGATAACATACCGTTTCTGTTAATACTGCTTCGCGCATTTCTTTGTCATCTCGTGCGAATTGGTCCAAAGGGTGTTTGTTAAAAAATTAAAAACCTATTCATTGTCGGTCCAAATGGCCCAACTACTTGCAGTAAGGCGACATAATACACGTACATTCTCTCGCGTAGTACAACATCTCGTAAACGTTGAATATAAACTGTAATACATAAATGGATATATTTCGATCATTTCAAGCGGGGTTTTTTCAAACGTGAGAAAAGTGAAAAATATTGTAATACTTATCATATTATTCCATCTCATATATCTCTCTATAAAAACGAATGAAACGTAAATATCATGCAGTAGGAAATTTTGTAATTTCCATACCTATAAGTTTCATTTCGTTTAAACTCTTACTTGAAGACACAAAATATTTCAGTTATCTTACGTGAAACACACGTTTAGCATTTGAGATAGTTAAACTAAAAAAGGAGACTTGCAAACCTAATCTTCAGTGCATAAGGAGGGGGGTCTCTCGTCGCTCTTAGCAAGCACCCTTCTAAATTTCTTCATATTCTGGTTGTTTTTAGTACATTTGTAAGCAACTAAAATGAAAATAAAACATTTAATATGTCGTTGTATTGAATGAAGTAACGAAATGTTGAAAGAAAAATGAAATAAACAAAAATTTACTTCTGGCAAATACTCGCGAGAATGACACGATACACAAGTTCACTAATGCCAATGTACCTACAGTTCTATTTCCAGAGTCTCTGGAAAAAGCAATTCCAATCAGATCCATTGTACAATATTGTTGCGAGTATTGTCCGCTCATATGTCGTGTTGTACTTGTCGCTCTCACATGCGCGTTACTGTAAGTACTGAAAGCGAAGAGGACGTACGTATTACATTCTAACAATTTGATTATCTTAACATAATTCAAGTACATACTAGGTATTAATTTGGTTAATAATAAAGGCGGGCGGTTACCTCAGCCCCTCTACCGGTCAACGGTGGCGAGGCTGAGTGTCGAATATTAATTCCGAGACCCTGAAAGGCCTGTATAAAGTTGGTGAGTAGCGCCATTGCTGATTCATGAGAACGATGTCTTATTGTCGCTTCTTACTAATGATGCCGTTTACGGCAGGTAGAAATGAAGTTTACTTTGAAAGTATGCGTGAAAATCATATTCATCCTCGGAGATATAATGGGTACAGGAAATGAAGCAGTGATCTGTAAGTAAAAGACCATGCGAATTGCCAAGATAAACAAAATTCATTCGGCTATAGGATTGTAAATGTTTCTACTCACGTGTTCTTGACAGTTCTAATTCATTCTACAATCGATGCAGTATGCAATGAAACTTCGATTGGTCATTTCCTGAAATTTTATAATAATTAATAATACTGCTTTCAACAGAAGTCCAGTTTGAAAGATATCACACGATGATTCAAACGGGAACGATCGATTAAAGAAAATGTTCGATCGAGATTTCACTGTACTTCATACTGGTTACTCGAGATCACGCGATAATCGATTCTCGATTTCGATATTCTCATGATACTGTTAAAGCGGTTCGTTTAAATATTAACGAGTAAGAACTCTACAGACAAATTTTGATCGTGTATTATCGTAATACACTTAAATATTAAAAGTGATGAAGTCTTGTTACATGGTTGTCGACAGACCAATTTTAGAGGGGGCCGTATAAATGCAATGATGAAGTAAGGTAAAGCTTGTTTGCTAAAACTTCATTATTACAAGGCTTAAAAATTAAAATTTCAAAATTTGGATATAAGAAGACCAGAGGCCATGTAGCAGGACTGTATTGAATAAACAAATTGAATATCTTTGTGTCCTTTCCAAACAGAGATATTTGAAATAAAAATAATTTTGGCAATTTGCAATGTAATGTCCATGAAAAAAGTGAGAAGTGGCATGAAGCAGAGAAAATGGGGGAGAAAGAGGGGGAGAAAGAGAAAGAAAAAAAATTAGGGAGGACTGTGCAACGCGCCAGTTCTGTTAGAAAAATTTCCTTCAGCATTGGATGTGTACGTATTGAACTCGTTTTCTAAATGGTCTAGAATTGATTCATATAAGGCAATTCGTGCCCTACGTAAATAGTATAATAAACCATTAGGCTGTAAGTTGTTTCATAGACACTGAACATATGAACTTAAGGTGTGTGCTGATTGTAGCTTCATTGCCATCGCATTGTCGTGTCAGGCGGAGAGGTGTTGCCACTCTGTAAGTGAACATAACAAAATTATTATCTGTAAGATTGCATTTTTACTTTGTCCAAAGAACAGAATTAAAAGTCTTGGTTAGTCTATGCATATGTGCATATATATATATGTATATATGTACATGTTGACAAGTAAATATACAAACTTATATTTACTTGCTTGTATATATATATATGTATATATATGTACACACACGTATATATATGCATATACAAAATATCTTGTAAGCGTATACTGGACAAGCTACCATTTTGTAAGTTCTTATATATAAATACGCATCTTTAGACTGTATGTTTCTGGACAATTAGGGGTTTAACTTCTGTCGTTGTTGCGTTCATTAGTTCAAATAATTTGTTTAAGTTTGTCTATTGCAAAAAACAGCGAATTAAGAAACCTTGTTCTCATTGAATAAGATTTCATGAAAACAAAAGTTGGGAGGGACCATTTTAAATAAAACCGATGAAGTTTTTTTCATGTAATTGAAGACAATCTAAGTTAATATTGAAATGATTTGTAAATCGCAGCGCATGGACCTGGGAGAATGCCCCCAGATTCACGACCTGGCCCTACGGGCTGATTATGAGGCTGCACAAAAGAAGAAAGATCACTTTTATGATATTGATGTAAGTATATTTTTGTTCTTCAATTTTTAATTTGTAGTTACATGTATTTCATGAATCATACAAAATCATATTACTTCATTTAAGCATTAATTGCACACATTTTCAATTTAAGGCCATGGAACATTTGCAAAATTTTATTGCTGATTGTGATCGCCGAACGGAACAAGCGAAACAACGGCTAGCAGAAACTCAAGAAGAGCTCAGTGCCGAAGTAGCAGCGAAAGCGAATAACGTTCATGTTCTTGCGGAGGAGATCGGTAAAAAATTGGCCAAAGCAGAACAACTTGGAGAGGAAGGTTTCGTAGAGGAATCAATGAAACTTATGGGTGAAATAGACGAGCTCAGAAAGAAGAAAAATGAAGCTGAACAGGAGTATCGTAACAGTATGCCAGCGTCAAGTTATCAGCAACAGAAATTGAGGGTTTGCGAGGTTTGCAGTGCCTACCTTGGCATTCACGACAACGATAGACGGCTGGCCGACCATTTTGGTGGGAAGTTGCATCTGGGCTTTATCAAGATCCGTGAAAAATTGGCAGAGCTTCAGAAAACTGTTGAAGAAAGACGTAAAGAGAAACGAGAGTCATTGCTCGACAGACGCAGAGATAGAGATGATCGCGACAGAGACCGTGATAGATCAGACAATCGCCGAGGAGGTTTAGGTTACAGAGATAAAGATCGTGATCGTGATCGTGAACGTGAGCGTGAACGTGAACGTGATCGCGATCGCGATCGTGATCGAGAAAGAGAGCGAGAACGAGACCGAGACCGTGATCGTGACCGTGACAGAGACCGTGATCGTGACCGTGACCGTGATCGGGATCGAGATCGAGAACGCAGAGACAGGGATAGGAGAAAGTCACGTTCTCGAAGCCGCAGTCGTGGCAAAAGGTTAGTTGATAATAAGTAAAAAAGATATGTAATAATCGTGTATGAACACACACTTTCTAATGTAGACCTCAGACGATTAGTATCTTTTGTCAGTACTGCAAGATAAATGTTGTTAATAATTCAGTATTGTATAAATCCATAAAGTCCCGAGAAGGGTAGAAATTCTTTCCCTATATTGCCATTTTTCTTATGGCAATCTATAGTACTCAGTACATAATAATTTCTAACTGAGAAATCAATCTGTATTCTATAGAGATCTGAATATCTTTCTCCCCTATTAATGAGAATTGTTTAATATGTTTCAGATCAAAACGTTCCCGCAGTAGTAGCCGTAGCCGTCGATCACGTTCCCGTCGTAGTGGGTCCAATGATCGAAAAAGATAAAACTAATGATCATTTACAATTATGCTCAATCATTTTTCTTCGTATAAATCACGTGCTTAATTGTGCACATTACATGTAAAAACAGAATCGCTCGCTAAACATAATTTTTCAATAGACATTTCTTTGAAAATTAAACTGAGATTTGTACATTGATCGTTCACACCTTATCAAAAACACCAATATTTCGAAATATCTTTGTGTAAAACTAGGCATACTCCTGTACGTATAACAGGATTGAATTTATTAGATATTAATATTACGAATATACTTATTCTATTTGATCTTGATATATTAATATACTTTTAAATCTAGTTACTATTTCGTGTACATAAGAATAGTTCAGATGTAACTCCGTTTGAAGATGTTACATATTTATAATATAATTACTTCGTCTTATGTGAATATTATATGAGCATAAAAATGAAGGTATGTTCAAAAATATATACGTTTAAATAATTATTGTTTAAATCACTAACCATTCATTTTTTCATTTTGCCATTGTTAGAGATACACTAAAAGAAAAAAAGAGAAAGATGTGCGAAGAAAGACATATGCGAGTAATACCATTTAAGAAGGGATATTTATTTCGATAGCCATGTACATAATAATTATTGCAGAGCTATTTGTACATACAAAACTTCGCTTAAATTTATACCAAGGGAAGAAGACAGAACTTTGTTATATACTCGCATTAAGATTATTTACATTTTATTAATTTTAATAGTCCTTGCATTTTATAAGAAGTTAATAATTTCTACACATACTCACGATCTTATAATAAACGAACCTCAATCTACATTATCTTGGAAAATGAGTTTTACGTATCCCGGTGTTCCTTCAAGGGGAACTGCGCAAAATGGACAAATTGCGATATAGCCGTTTGTTCCATGCGGTATTGCGACCTTCTCCCAATATCTGTAATGAATGAGAAACATTTTTACGAAACACTTTGGTGTATATAGAAATAAATGAATATATTTGTACTTCATAGTATTTCTAAATACTAACTTAACAGTTTTCTCTGTAGCCATGTGTCCACAAGGCCTAAATGCATAAGTAGGTGGGCCACAATCGACGTAAAACGCTGGTTCTATTCCCATAGAAAGTTTAACTACTGAACCGGCAACTAAACACATTGGACACCTTCTCGTAGCTTTGTCTTTTTCTTGTCCCCAATCATGGTGACCTTGTACGTGTCCACATTTCAAGTATACGTATGGCTGTTGCTGAGTCGAATCTGTAGCTGCTTTACGTGGTATGACTAAAGTATTTAAACCGACTGGGCACTGTGGTCTTCCAGCATTAATAGCATCAACTAATTCTTCCAAATCGTGTTTCGTCTATACAAAATGCACACGATAATTTACTTCGCTGTCGATCATTATACATAACTATGAGTTACAGTTATAGCAACATTAATTTGTAGATTAAAAAATTGTAGATTCTGTATATTTACCGGAGACTTAGCAAGACCTTCAGCTGATCTCCAAAGTAACGTAGCACCACAGAGATCAATGAGAGTTCCATCTTGTAAGATATTGTTCTCATCTTCCACGACGTTTCCTTTTTGTTGGGCACTTCGGCTTTCTCTTAAGGAGAACACTCCACCGCCCACGCTTACTTCTCTCCAAAAGCCACACTGTGCCTCTCCACCGCAAAACTGACCTCGTGGATGCATTATCAAAACGCCGTTTGTTGTGAGTCCATCGATTTCCCGGTTCTCTTGCCACTTAGTTGCTTTTTCCTGAAACAAATAGTTTCTTCCTTTTTAAATTTGTTTCATGCTAAATGCTATCTGAAGAAAAAGACATTGGATTTGGAATAAAGACAAATATAATGCACGCTATGTTACCCCTAAGAAGATATTCCTTGAACTGTCGAAACCCGCAGCATATATTCTTGCAATTCTAGGATCTGATCGATCAGCTAGAATTCGGCATGCAAATCTACTGATTGTACTTTGAGCGACGCGCCCCTCGTTAGAACTGTCGCTGCCGCCGGCACAAGTATCCATGACGACGAAATCAATTGGAGATTCGGAAGAACGTCCGACCTACGCAAATGAGTATTAACGAAACAGCAGAATACTTAACAAACCCAAAAAGGTGTATATCTTACCTGAAACATATCAGTTCCTTCATCTTCAGTATATTCTACGATAACGGCTTGTGTTCGAGAAAGAGTGTACGATATCGAATGTTGTTTCGTGTTAAGGATAGCTTGTGAACTGTGAGGCGTTTTAACAATATAATGTTTACTGCGTTTTACGCCATTTGGTACTGGCCTCTTAAAAAGAACAAACTTACTCCTCCTTCTTCCCCGATCTCCCGGCGGAAGGAATCCATTGTATCTACATAAATTTATTTAAAAAATTTATATACTTTTTTTAAAGTAAATTATTATATTGGTTTCTTACCCAAGAATGACTAACTCTCCATATTTTACTAATTGTTTTGGTTTTTCATGGCGGTAACTATGGGACCTATGAGGATTAGCATGTGAATGACTATGATTATGTTTGGCGTGTGGACTGTGAGGTGCACCAACTGTTTCTCCTTCTTCCACAAGTAATGGACTTTCACTACTACCACCGTCAGATCTAAAAAGATATAATTCAATAATAGCAATTAATATCATGCAGAATTGAAACAAAAGCAAAGGCAATATTATTTCTGAAACTTTTATTCCTCTTTTACTTCTTACCAAATTGCAGGTGAAATATACCTATATAGCTGTTTCCTATAATATTTAATGATGCTTTGAATATATTAATTATATTTTTTAAAAGGAGAAAGTGTTCATGTTTATGCAACCATGTAGTGGAAGTATCTAAATTTCTAGTTATTTTATAACAAATGCACTCTTTATGTTTCATAACTTACTACATTCTAAAATGAATTTGTATTTGGAAATGTTTTAATACTAAAAAGGTGGATGTCAGTAACATGTTTTTTATAAGCCACAGATGCAATTGTACATAAAAATGTAAAAAACAATATTTTATTTTAGTTTGGAAATACAAAAATCAGAATTTATGTTTCAGATACACAGGTATGATAATTAATACTATATACTAACTTAAGAGGAGAAGCATTTTCAAGAACAAAACTATCATAAAGATACATGTTTGTTCTTGACTGTCTATTTACAGGTGTCTTTTTCCTTGGCCTATAATAGGTAATACGTAAACCACTTACTTACCGCGAAGGGCATGGAATACGTTTAGTTACTGGCATCCTCCTTTCAGTAAAATTTACAGATTACTACTTCCACTGTATTTCAAAAGATACTCATAAGGATAGACAATCTTAAGTATCTTTGTAAAGTTGAACAAACATGAGCAAGTACAACGCGGGATGCTGTGAATTGGTAATTATAATCTGCAATAAGAAATATTCAGTGTAATGATCATTACTAAGTTGTTACATAATACAACATTTTTCTACTTTATTTCTTGATGCACAAAGGAATTAATGCAATTGTAATTAATATCTGATTAATTTTCATATCAGCTTCTACAAAAAACATACATAACATTAAACATTGATACAATATAGTAAAAAGCAATTGGCAATAGCTAAAATGTATCATAAAATGTCTTTATATTGGTAACATTATCATAATTTAAAACAAATATATTTTTGTTTTATAAAGAGAGTAAGGAGAAATTGTATCAGCTTATATTTACTTATTTTTGATCTTGTCTTACTGCATTGGTACAACAGCTGATTCTTTATCTTATCTTGGTATTTATTTTTGTCAACATATTGCACCAATTAATCATATCACTGTGCATAAGATACAGATTATATTAAAAAAGAATTATAATTTATAATCAATATGTGCCAGATTTTTTCAGATATTTGGCAAATCAGTGCATGCTTCATATATATAAATAAAGTAAATAAACATACAAATAATTAATTATGAATTCTATCATTAAAATATGGAGATATTCAATTCACCTTGTTTCATCCAACATTGTGTATGAATATAAAGTGTATTGAATTAAATTAAGTAAACATGTGTCCATTATGAATTATAACTATATATTTTATTACCACCAAATAATTTGTGTTTATTGAAAATAAAATAAGAAGACAATTCTTTTTAGAAGACAAAAATATTTATTGTGTACCACTGAATTTTCATAAAATATTTTAAAAACATGTTTGTCTATTTGTTTATTTTATTAATATCAACATTATTTTCTTTCCTAATAAAAATCGTTTATAAATACTTTCATTACATGCACAAATTAATAATAAACAAATAGAATTTAATGTGTTTAGTTTTGCGTAATAAGATTAACATTATCGTCTATCAAAATATTAGAAATGAATATTAAATCCTGCGATGAGAATTTCGATAGAATGTATTTTAAATGAAGAAAAGTAACTTGTGGAGATGTTTACGGTTGACCGATAAATTAAAAATGTTTGAAAAGTCGATCGGCTTGGAAGAAAAAAAAGAATGTTAAATGATAAGAATTGAACGGTACGGGAATCGCAATGTACAAACAACGTTAATTAACCTAGGCATCCAGAAACGATAGATTATTTACCGTATCACCATGCTGAGATCTGCGTTCAGAAACGGTTTCGCTGCACGTTCGAGACACGCAATTATAATAAGCCGATCGTTTGCACAATAACTAACGAAGTATAAAAATCATTTGTCCACTGTTATGCCTTAATTTAATTTTCCATCTCTAAATTACACTGTTACTATGTTCATGATATTCCAATAGTTTCGCGCTGACGACCCTCATATTCATGATTACAGTACACACGGGTGTCACGGCCAGTAATTAACGAAAAGAAAACCACCCTGTTAAAAATGACAGTATCATAAATTCTTGCGTTAAACAAAGCACTGGTATTTTTCTTTCGATAATCATTCGACGTACCGATTATTTGTGTGTATCTCGCATAAACTATACTCATCGAGACAATCGCAAGCGAAGAATATACGACGAATAGAAGCCGTCATAGGCGCCAATATAGAAAAAGAAAGTCCCTTCTCAGCTAATCCATTTACCTCTAGAAATCGATGCAGTGCCAATTTTTAATGTTACGGGGTAAAGTTGTACACTGCTTTGCAAGAGAATCGGAGCATCTCAGCTGAGTTCACGGCATAGTTTTCAATTAGTATGATACCAATCTATTGTCTACTTAGCATTTCGTGGCCGGTCATATACAGGGCCATATAAAAGAATAAGAATATGCGGGTATACAATGTCCCCTTCCTTTAAAAAAATGTATTATAGGCGAATAAAAGTTTGGGAGGTCTTGGTAAAAAGCGTGGAATATAATACATTATATTAGTTCTCTAGTAATTGATTCATTCAACGAGAACTGTAGTTATAATTGCATTTCTTAAACCTTTATTTACATTACATGTTGGAGTGTATGACCCATTGTTCATACTACGATATTCTGTTCAAAAAAATTTTTAAAGATGGATAAATAATATCGATATTTACATCAACGTGAGATAAACTGCGGTACGAAATGTTTAACATTTACACATTAATGTTGTATCACAATTCACATGATTATTATGCTGAAAATTAATGAACCGTTACGTTATCTCTAGAAATATGCCATAACGTACAATTTTTTTTCTAGCTGCAAATTTGTCACTTGCTTTATAAAAGAACCATGATTGTATACTCATAGATGAATATGTGAAATACTTAAGAATGGGAAATGAAATCCTACTCTCCTGTCAACTTAAGTTACAGTTTACATAATAAAATGGTTATTATAAAAAATAACACTCATGCCCGAAGGGAAACAAACTGATGGAAAACATCTAAGATGTGTGGATCCAAATCTGGTGTAAAAAGTAACGTTTCTAATGTTGATGAATACTTTTGAACTTGTTCATGATGCTGTAAAAAAGAAAAAAATACAAAATTATATACTGAAAATAAAATAACACATTATTTTTATTGCTTGATAGAACTTACAGTTAAAAACACCTGTTGTAATCTTCCAATAGTCCATTTGTACCAGTGAGTATTATAATCTATACCATCGGTATCGCAGCGTACTAAATGTTCAGAGAGAATCATTATAAAACGCTAAAAAAAAGAGGAATTATTAATTTAATATTTTTAAACATTTGTATAGAAGCATCAATAAATCGAATGTACCTGGAAAATAATAAGAAATAAATTCTTTTGGTCTGCTTGCGCCGCCTCCAATTTCTCTTCCATTCTTTCTACGACGTCTTCTGATGGTTTTTCTCTGTTTCTGTCTTTGTTATTATCTTCATCATCCGACGATGATCCAGATCTGCTTTCTGCCCTTCTTAATTTCTCTCGTGCTTCTGCTAGTTCAGTACTCAATTTCGTCACGTGTTTGTTCTTCTTTCGAATCGTTAAATGAAGTATTTCCCATATGTATAATCTACACAAATGGATTATCATCAAATACATAAAATACTATGACACATAATATTATTAATGAAAAGTGTGGTAAATACTTGGTAAATTCCGAGGCCATCTCTTTAGAAAATATCCAATTCGCGATAGCACTACATTCAATGATACCAGTCTTCAACAACTTATCTGTTAAAACCACCATCATTTGATAATGATTTTTCCACAATGCATACATATTTCTTAAAATGCATATTTGGGCTTCTTCCGTTTCTGCGAGAACCTAATAAATACAAAATTTCGAACAATCATGTTTAATTCGACAAAGTGAAATTCGAATATTTAAAATCTTACTTTAAAAACATAATGGAATTTCCCTATTGCTGCAAAACTATGACTAAAACTTTTAGACCCTAGATTCAGTAATGTCTGTACAAAAACATCGATTTTCAAAGGATTAAAGTTATTAGTTTCTTCGTTTTCTCTAGGACCTGGTAAAGTGTTTAGTACGTTCAATACTTCTTCCGGTGTACATTTTCGTCTAATTGAAACAACTAGTTCGTGAGCTGCGGCTGTACCAGGAAGTGAACCTAAAATAAATAAAAATTGGTCGGTTTAGTTAAATTATATTTAATTTTTTCGATAAATAATTATATACATACTTGCTCCTTCAGAAGTATATTTGTAAATGGGTTCTGGAGGTGCTGGTATCAATTCAGCGTATGATTCTGGCATCATATCCCGTATTCTTTGGTAATATGATAATCTGAACACAGATTCAAACGAAATTATGATTTCTTGATATTTGTAACTTAAAAGACATATTGTAATTGAATGAAATTTTATACCGTAAGGCCTTAAGAAGTACTTCTCGAATAAACTTTGGACGTGGATGTTCTGGATCACGTTGTAAACAAGAATCCCAATCTTCCCACGACCAACGAAACTGGAAATTGCTCAAATGATACGCAAACCACCATACAAAACGATCAAATGCAGTAGCAGCCATGCTATCTATACGACGAAATAAAATCTCGGTTGCTTGAGCCAAAACCTGCGATATAACATTATGCATTCAATGAAAAATTTGTCTATACATAATTCATATATTACACTATTGTATTATAATCTCACTTGCGGCATAGTTGATGGCTGCAATTTACAGAGTTCAATTAAAATTGATCCATAGCATATTTCTAAATTTTTTGGCGCTGGCAGTCTAAATAGTTCACCAAATATTACTTCTACAATGCAATAGTCTAACGGTATCTTTGCCTTATATGGAAAATTCAATAGCTGGGCTGCACTGTAATTATTATTATGATCACATTATTTTTTATATAAGGAATAATACATAAATAACATGTAATATACATACCAATCTTTCCTTTCAAAAAAATAATTGTTAATAATCTGTCTTAAATGTTCTTCTATGAGAAATCGTTCTATAGCATGACTTCCAGGTAACAATGGTCCTTCGGCCGGACAATCTGTATAATCAAACATACGGAAAACTACCGTAGGTAATGGATAAGAATAAGATTCATGATGCGGTGGTGCCATTATAGTGGGTAAGTTATGCTGTAATGCTTCGCATAAGATAGAGTCAAATGCAAGGTATGGTCTAGGAATATGTTTCTCTGCCCAATTATCCTGTCTAAGTTTGCGAACTTGTGCCCATAAACAATCAAGGTATTCTTCTTGAGGATGAGGAGTATCACTTGACCAGACTCTCAGTGCTGGCTGATGCTTTTTACTTCGTTTATTTAAAAATATTTCTATTGTCACCATCAGATGATCTAATTCCTGCTCCTTTTTTTCATATAATTCTCTTCCAACCCATGGCAATGTTGATAATACAGCATAGACATACCTAAAAAGAACGATAATGAAGTAAAATTGCTTATTTATCTATATTTATATGATTATACATAATCTTACATACCAATCACGTCTTACTTGAGGTACTCCATCTTCATTAGCAGCATCTAACATGTTATCAAATAGCTGCATTAAAGAACCACATGATAAAACATGGCAGTTTACTAAATCTGCGAGAAATCTTAATGAATATCTAGCTACATCCCATTTACAAGCTTTCAATGCATCTTTAAAGTTCTTCACCATATAATCAACAAATTCACCACCAAAATTAAAGTTCTTTGCATTCAATAAGCCAACAAGTGTAGTATAAATTGTACATTTTTCAGGCATTTTTATAGCACAATCAGTTAAAATTCGAAGTATTTTACTTCGAAACAATCCAAGATCAGCTTCTAATACAGAAGCCAAACCTTCAAGATTGCTCTCCAGAGAAGATGTGGACTTCTCTCCAACCCGTAAAATAAGGGATTCAAGTCTATCTTCAATTTCTTGATTCTCTGATACCCTTCTACGTTTCTTATATGCACGTTCTAAAAAAATGTATGATTCAAATTAATTCAACTTGGTAATATTATAAACTACACACAGATAAACACTAATACATCAAAATATTAACTAAGATCTCAAAAATTATATAAAATATAAAAATTTACCATATCCATCTTCTTCCTCGTGAACTCTTCTACGACTCATTTTTGAAAAATTGAATATATCCTGTCAACCAATTGCAATATTTTCAATGTAAATTCACAAATATAATTACACAGAGTAGAATATTATGCTCTGCCAGATTGTAAAAGAGTATTCAAGTTTTTATAGAATAGAGAGATCAAAATTGGTACTTTGACAACATACAACTTATTGCTTTTTGCACATGTCTTATTAACAAATTTATAAAAATAAAGCACAAATCTGTGGAAAGATTTTTGTACCCAGTTTGAGGTCACTCTCAAACCCTCTGATTCTTTTGGATTCAGATAAAAGAAAAAGCCTACATATACCAATTATGAACTTCTATTCTACTAACTGTTGTGCACCAACAGATTGCAACAGTACTGTTGAAAATAGTCACTTAAGTAATGTAAAACTTTCGAAATTGGTTATGACTGTATTATCAATGAAGGCTACTGTTTGGACGACATAATTCTCAAACCCAAATGAAACTAAACGGTATTTTATACACTTTCATATTGTACAATCAAATTTTTGAAAGCGTATATTATATTTTTCTCATTAACTTAAAAATAGAGAAATTATTCAGCCGTAACCTGTATCTTCAAAAGTTTATGCATTAAAGACTGTTTTACTGTAAAACATCATAAGAAAACCTAACCCTTCAATCCAACATAACCAGATCAGCTTCAATCAACTTCGTCCAAGTCCTCGTGAAGTGGAGCAGAAGCGAAGCGTTGGTTTAGAAAACACGGAATATAAAATAATTTAGACGATTCATCTAATTTACGTTTATTTACTAGCTAGTAAAATTGGGCGCGTTTGCATGATTTCCTGTATTCATTTTCTTAGTTTTATTTCTCCACAAAAACGGAAGATGGCATTGAAAGTTCACTCGAGTGCAAACCTTCCTGCATTCAATGCACTTCTTATAAATACGCTACTGATGACAAAAAGCGGTGACTCGCAAATAAGTACTACAATTATTCTAACCTAAAACATATAAGCAGTTGCTCAAAAGAAATTAGATCTTCTGTTTTGTATTCGTTGCATGAAATAATTAAAACAAAATGCCAGAAAGCGTAAAAGTGGAGACGAAGACGAGTAAGGAACTCAGAAGCGGAAAGGAGGAGGATAAAAATGAATTGGTGAGTTTAAAATACTACGTAAATTTTCGTACTTAAAGATAAAAGCTTCACAGTAAGAGGTACTAACATTTTCTTTTAAATTCGATATATTTTTAGTCAGAAGAAGATAAACTCTTGCAAGAGGAATTAACTCACTTGGTTGAACGCCTGCAAGATTCTAATACTAGTTTACATTATCCTGCTTTAGAATCACTTCGTAATCATATTCGTGCATCTACTACTTCAATGACTAGTGTTCCAAAACCACTTAAGTTCATGAGACCTCATTATGATACTATGAAAGCCATATATGATAAAATGACAGATCAAAAATCAAAAGAACTTTGTTCTGATGTTATTTCTGTCCTTGCTATGACAATGGGTGAGGGCCGGGAATGTTTAAAATACAGACTTACCGGATCTGCTTTAGCTATTGGAGAATGGGGACATGAATATGTTAGACATTTATCAGGAGAATTAGCAGGAGAATGGGATGAGCTTACAGATAATGCAGAAGCTACAAAAAAATTAATTTCTCTGGTACACGAGATTGTACCTTATAACATGGCTCATAATGCAGAAACTGAAGCCTGTGATTTGTTAATGGAAATCGAAAAATTGGATCTGCTGGAGCAATATGTAGATGAAAGTGCATATCAAAGAGTTTGTTTGTATCTAACAAGTTGTGTACCATATGTAGCAGACCCAGAAAATAGTACACTCCTTCATGCTGCTGCTAAATTATATAGGAAGTTTGGTCAATACCCACAAGCTATAAGATTGGCTATGCAGCTTAATGATTTGCCACTTATTGAGGACATATTTACAAAATGCACAGACCTGTGAGTTAAATTAATGTTGAAATTAATATTGTATAACAAAAATTCTGATTGTTATTTTTCTTTTCTCTTTCAGTTCAGTGCAAAAGCAGTTAGCATTCATGCTTGGAAGACAACAAATTTTCTTAGAATTACCTGAATCAACTGAAGAATATGATGATTTGGTAGAAATAATGTCCAATTCTTTATTAAATTATCATTTCTTGAACTTGGCACGAGAATTAGATATAATGGAACCAAAAACACCAGAGGATGTGTACAAGTCTCATTTAGAAAACTCCAGACCTGCATTTGGTGGTGGTCAAGCAGACTCTGCAAGACAGAACCTTGCTGCTAGCTTTGTTAACGGATTTGTAAATGCAGCCTTTGCTCAGGACAAATTATTAATAGAAGATGGAAATAAATGGTTGTATAAGAATAAAGAGCATGGAATGTTGAGTGCAACAGCATCCCTTGGTCTTGTATTGTTATGGGACGTTGATGGTGGCTTAGTACCAATCGACAAATTTCTATACTCTTCAGAGGACTACATAAAATCTGGTGCATTATTAGCTTGCGGTCTTGTCAATTGTCGCGTCAAAATCGAATGCGATCCTGCTTTAGCTCTTCTTTCTGATTACGTTTTACATAGCAGTAACATTATGCGTATCGGTGCAATCGTTGGTCTTGGATTGGCGTACGCTGGTTCGAATCGAGAGGCTGTTCTGAGTCTTTTAGTCCCTGTACTCAGCGATCCCATATCTAATTGGGAAGTGATAGGAGTAGCAGGTCTTGCATTAGGAATGATAGCCGTAGGTTCTTGCAACGCTTACGTTACCACCACGATAATGCACACTTTGATGGAGAAATCAGAGGCAGATCTTAAAGATACGTACGCACGATTTCTACCTCTAGGTCTTGGGTTATGTTTCTTGGGGAAACAAGAAGCAGCAGAAGCTATCATTGCAGCTTTAGAAGTAGTACCTGAACCTTTCAAATCTATGTCTACCACCCTGGTAGAAGTGTGCGCATATGCTGGTACCGGAAACGTCCTTAAAATTCAACATCTGTTGCATATTTGTTCCGAGCATTATGAGCCATCCAACGAAAAAGAGGATAAGAGCGACCGTAAGGATAAAGATAAGAAAGAAGAGAAGAAAGAGGACAAGCCGAAAGACCTTAGTTCTAGGCAAGCAATTGCTGTACTTGGCATTGCATTAATTGCAATGGGAGAGGAAATTGGTGCTGAAATGGCGTACAGAACTTTTGGCCATTTATTACGTTATTGTGAGCCTGTCATACGACGATCGGTTCCTCTCGCACTTGGACTCATATCTGTCTCTAATCCGAAACTGAATATACTAGATACGTTGTCTAAGTTTTCTCACGATAGCGACCCTGAGGTAGCGCATAATGCAATCTTTGCAATGGGCTTAGTTGGAGCAGGAACTAACAATGCTCGTCTAGCTGCCATGTTGAGACAGTTGGCTCAGTTCCACGCTAAAGATCCAAACAATTTGTTCATGGTTCGCATTGCGCAGGGTTTAACACATCTTGGAAAAGGTACATTAACTTTGTCTCCTTATCATAGCGACAGACAGGTATTAAGTCCTGTAGCATTAGCTGGACTTCTAGCTACACTTATTGGATTCCTTGATGTAAAAAATAGTAAGTATTTAAGAACCATTGAAGTACAGTGTCGTTTAGGGTTCGTTAAATAAATATTGTTTTTTTTTTACAGTCATTCTTGGTCGTTCACATTATTTGCTATACACGTTAGCAGTTGCGATGCAGCCAAGGATGTTGGTTACATTCGATGAAAAGCTAAATCCACTTGCTGTGCCGGTGAGAGTTGGTCTTGCTGTTGATGTCGTAGGCCAAGCAGGAAAACCAAAAACTATTACTGGTTTCCAAACACATACAACCCCTGTTCTGTTAGCGTATGGCGAACGAGCTGAATTGGCAACAGAAGAATATATTCCTTTAACCCCAATTATGGAAGGTTTTGTAATTTTGAGGAAAAATCCGGATTTTGTACCTTAAGTGAAAATCATATTTCATATTACATAAGTTTTAGTATAAAATCAAATAAAACTGATTGTGTATACAGAATTTTTCTGGTATATAATTTATAACATAACAAAACAAGGTAAATTTATTTTTCACAAGTCGCCGGAACATTTGAATAAATAAAATAGAAAATTTTTATAATTTTTTGTATCTTTCATCTATGATAATAATAAAACTACACATTTCAACGACAATTATATTTTAATAATTAAAATACTGATACAACGTGTAAATTATTAAAAAAGTAACTATTCTAAATTTACGTTATAAAAATAGTAAAATTTTCATATACAACAAGTCGCATTTTGCTTAAGGTAAACAGTAAAATAGTGGCAAGATGATGTCATAAGTAGTCAGTCACGTATACACGAAATGTAGATCCTTACAAAATTGTCTCTTAAGTCGTTACATGCTTTGATATAAAATTAATGTATCTAATACATATAAAACTGTACATCTTTTCCAAAACAGTATCTCAATGTATAAAAATGTAAATATCTAATAATCATATGATTTTATATCGATCAATAATCTATCGCAAATCTTAAAACTACACAGTTTACACTTACAAAATATATAAATAATTCATCTGTATCGCTTACTTTTGAAATATGTATCTAATAAAAACAAACCGTATAATAAAGTATCCCTAAAATGTAGTATTTTAATGTAAGTTAAAATGATATGTAAGTTATGAAAATTTGGATGGATTAATTTCAGTAATATGGGATACTTCACTTACATCATTTGTTTTTCATTTATATCAAAAATATATGATCGTTTTAAGTAATATTCGAACACATTTAAATTTATCGAGTCATTCTTAAGTATAAACACATGATGTAAAAAGGAATAGTATTTTCAGTTACATTACTTATTGCAACATGATTAAAATTAAAATTGTCATCTTTAATATTATTGTTTTTAAACCTATTATAGCTTAAAAACATTTTTCTTTTAATAAAACTTCGAGTATTTACTAACAAAAATTTGCTTCCATATTATAGTGAACAGTGACAGGCGCTAAAACATGATGAGAAGGTTCTAAATGAGTTGTTGGAGATGGAAGACAAATTGATCGCCTTCTAAGATCAGGCTCAGTGTTATTACCAACTACTAGTAATGGTTCAGCAAATGTTTGTTGTTCAGAATCATCATAAGGTGTCATTGTACTATATCCATGATCGCTATCACCACCAGGTGGTTTTCTATAGTTCGTGGATACCTTATATGGCGATATAGGAGGTATACTATCTCTTATAAAAGAATCCAAATTATTTTTCGTTTGTTCTAACTCCATCGGTTCTGCGTCTCCTTCTAAATGTGTCATACGCAACATATCAGGCGAAGTGTGGATATGTAAGCATTGATGTTCCAAACCGGATTGTACCGAATTAAGTCTATAACAAAACAGCATAACTCCTAGTATTAAAAGAAACGCTAGTATTCCACCAGCTACTGGTCCAACTGATGGCCATTCATGCACTGCAATTTCTTCAGTTGACTGCGAATCTAAAAATAAATAAAACACGTCTTTAAAAATGGAACATGTGAACATTTAAGAAGAATTTATTTCTTAAAACGTTTACATACTATATATACCATCACTAAGGGGTATATAAGATCCAAGAATGCCTCTGAAGCATCGAGACATATCGCTACAAAACGGAGTTTGTAAAACTGTTTCTCCGTCGCTATCTACATGGCACCATTGGCAGCCTACAATTCCCAGACACTCATTTTGAGTTTTAAATGTCTTACAATCAATGGACGGACAGACTTTCAAATTTGTAGATTGTATCCACGACATTTGTGAATTTCCTCCGTGTTCGTACAATACTGGACAAGGTTCGAGATCGTGCATATCATGCATGTTATACTCTGCACAACTTGAAAAATATAAAGCACATTCACAGGGGCATTCGCATTCTGTTTGCTCCATTCTCTTACAATTCAAACACGAACGATCCATCTATAACATTTCATCGAAACACGTTAAACATTAAGAATATCAATGTTTATAAGGAGTAACAGTATTATTACTCACCGTACTACACGGACAGAAAGCTCTTAATAAATTACAAGTTATGTTAACTACTCCCAAAAATACATTTGTTCCGGGTATTGCTGCTACTTGGTATTTAACGCAGTGTTCACCGTGAACTATATTTGTAAGTACTTCGTTTAGAGAAATATTAAATTGATAATATCTTTGTATAGTGCCATCTAAATAATTTGCGCAAGCTTTTTTTTTGACAAAAAATTCATGATTCAATATGTCATTTGCAACTAACAATTCTTTATGAGTTAAATGTTGTTGTTCAATTTTTCCTATTGGCTCCAATAATGCTGGATGCGATACTAAATATCCTTTGTCATCCATTAAAAAACATTTCACAGTCGCATTACTGCAAAATGGAAACATTTCTTTTAACAGTCTTGAAATAAAACCCATTGTTATATCCATACTTAGAACTGCTACAGCAATATCGTTTGTACTTGATTTCGATTTAAGATGAACTGTGCGACTTAGAGTAACAACGTATCCTGAACCACCAGCGCTCAAATATGGAGGCGTGAAAACTAATTTTCCGGGGTATTCCAATGCTTTTCCATACCATATTCGTCTTTTAGGATCAAAACTAGAGTCTAGCATAATCCCTGGATATACTTCTAAGACTCCACTCACAGTTCCAGTAACATATCTTCTTATTATAAATTTATTTAAAGTACTTTCTGCGTGTTTGTTTTTAAAGTGTCCTAAGATTTGAGTTAACATGGCTACATCTGGTCTAACAGACTGATGAAGACCAGGATTAGCTAAAAGACCAGTTACATCTTTTAAGTATGCCATGTAACTTTGAATAGTTACTGCTGGTCCAGTTTCTAATAATTTCAACTGTTCTACTGGAGATTGAAAACACCATGGAGAAAGATAAACCACTCCTGTTGCTAAAAAATAAATATACGTTATTTCTCTAAAATCTGAAATCACAATTTTTGCTCAATTATTAACTTACATAAAGTTAAAAGTTTGTTATGGTAAGTACATAAAATACTTTTATCAGTAATGCTATGTAATAGTAGGTCAAGACGATGATGTAAAAGATTTGATGATGATGTAGGCACTAGTTTTGCGACGGATATTGTACTTTCATTAGTTACAGACACCAAACATACTATCAGGTCTTTGTAGGTCAAATGTTTCCATCTGTACCATTTCTAAAATATAAAATTTAAATCAATATAAATTGTATATATATTTACAAACATTAATATACCTGTTCTCCTAATTTTGTTTTCACATTTAAAACACCTTCATGTTGTTCAATCATTATATTCACAGTTTCAGGATTAATATTTTCGATATGATGCAAGTTAACTTTAAACGGTTGATCCATCATCACTTCCATTCGCGGAAAATCTTTATGGATCCAAACTGTACCTTTGCTATCAAATAATATAGCATATACATATAATCCAGCATTAAAGTATGTTATATCATCAACAAAATTTCGTAATTTAATATCTAAAGATATTAATGCTTTGTTTGTAATATGTCCAATAGACAAAGTCATTGTCTTACTATACAAATCAAAATATGGATCAGACAAATAATAATCTTTCTTATGTTCTTCTGAACATTTCAAATCAGAAAACAATTTTGATATTTCATAACCCAGTATATTTTGGGTTGGAAGAGTTACAATACTATCATTGTATTTTTTATTATTTGTATGTGCTTCTTGATCTATAAAGGAAAACATTGTATATTAATAATATGTGTAATAATAAAACACATGTAGCAAATCATTTAAATGTACCTGAAAGGATTAGAACTGTCTTCAAATAACCATTCACTTTTCCCACAGATATCATGTTTCTTATCTGTTTCACAGGTGGAGTATCTTTAAGTGTATTAGTTAAATGTATGAATACCACTTCACCTTTCACATTTTGTAGTAATTTGTTAAAATCAAATTCAAATGTGTCATTTGTTTCTAAAAATGAAACAAATCAGTGTTATGAAAATGAATGTATCAAAGCAGACTAAATGTAAAGTAAATTATACCTGTTCTGGTTAAGCTATGAATGTAACGTGCTAATTGAAACTTATTGACATCTGTTGCTTTCAGTAAACCATCTTTACAATATATAGAATTATTGCTGGAAAGACCAATGACATTGATATAATCTGTTTGAGATAACATATCAATTATTGTTTCTGTAGTTATTTGAGCCAAAGTAATATCTCCTTCAGACATGAACATGCCATGCTCAAGCAGTAATAACACCTTTTTGTTTGGACAATACTGAGACAATAAAAGAGGTCCAATGTTATGGCCTGCACTGAGAGGGCCACACATAGTAACAGGATACATAAAAGGCAATAGATGCAAATTCTTCCATTCCTGACTTCTTATATTCATTGCCAAAGCTGAGAAACATACAAACAAATTCAAACTTGTATGAATGAAAAATATGTTTTTGACTTGATGGCACAGTGTTAAATACCTTGAACAATTTGTGAACAGAAATCAGACAACCCACTTGATATATCTAATCCATTTATAGATCCAGAATGAATGAACTGTTCTTCATTCTTTGCTAAAATTGGCTGTACAATGTGATAACTTTGCTTCAGAAGTTCCGCGTAAGACGAGAGTTTATTGTTCAACTTATCGACCAATACATTTAGCTTTACGTTCAAGCTATTCGAAATATTTACAAATTCCATTTCATCGAGTATCTTTTCAAAGGATTTAAAACCAAGTTCCGAGTCTGTGATCGATCGAAACTCGTTTGACAGTCGAATCACGATGTCTCGTAAACATGTTCCATTCAATGGTTCTGCATTCACTTGTTTTCGTAACGTTTTGCCAAATTGACATTTCGCGTCAGTGGTTGATTCTTCTTCGGCTACACCGTATAAATTAAGAAACACGGTCACAATCAATCCCAAATGTAAAATCTTTTTTACAATCATTCTTTAATAGTATTTTTGCACCGCCGATTTAAGAGCAGCGTCTGTTATCAACATCAACGAATCACCCCTTCCCTAAAATCACAGATCAATGTTAACAGACACGGTATTTGGACAATATTCAACACGATATTATTTAAAATAATATTAATACTCGTGGAGGTAATGCGAATCCGCGGTATACACAATGTGTTAACCTAGTAATTTCGACAGTAATTTCCCTAATATTAGTTTGAATGTTAGCGATATTAATTGAGCGTAACGTGAACAGCAAACGTGTTAAACAAACAGAAAAACAATCATTAGATTTGTTAAGTTTACGTGTGTTTTTCTGTAACCTTAAAAATTCGTTATACCGCCATACCGACGCGACCACCACAAACAAGGTTGACAAGTGTACAACTGGAAATATTACTTTCCTAGTCCTATTACTTTCTAACTGAAACCTAACCGATATGTCCTTATATCCTGAATGTATCTTGCGGTTTTACAAACCTTCAATTCTTACTTATTTTTAATTTTTGTCCTAACTATTGTTTGTATTAATATGTTGATAATACAAATATTTTGTTTCATAAATGAAAAATACTTTTGAATTTATAGATAATGTCAAATCATACATATAGGACTTATTTACATCATTTTTGAACTTACTAATTTGAATTTAATAAATGAACAATAAGATTTGTATTTTTACCGAACTTCTTTTTGTCAAACCAATAGATGGTGTTAAAGAATAAAATGTTCCTGCTTCACCCCGCATGTATCGTTTGACGCAAGAGAGAATCATAAATGGATTTCAATTATTATGGATTTAACGAGCTTACATGATTTGTGTTTTCGTCACGAAAAGAAAATATTTTACCATGACTATATTATTGCAATATGAGAATCGAATATAAGAATTGATATTCTTATCGTGGGATGAAAAATATACAGAAAGTAACGATTTATAAAATTCTTTATTGTAACAGTGACACGAGGTAAAAATAAATTTTGTTACGTATTATTTGTTTTTCACATGAATTAACTAATTGTAGTCGTTCGTTTTTTATAACAAGAACTTATTTCTTTCTCATGTCATATGTGCCTTAGAAAACCAATTTGTGTATAAATAATAAAAATATAAAATTTAATACTTCTTTTTTTCATTTTATTTATTATATTTTCAAACTAAAGCTACTGCATGGTTGTAGTTACTGTTATTTTCTAATGTTTATAATTAATGCATTAGTGTATGTTTTATGTATTACTTTTTAAATAAATACATTTTAGAAGTAATAAAATTAAACTTATTCTTTACTTTTATCATTTTGTGTGATAAATAGGTATATCTTGCACAAATAGTTCATTGCTTTGCTATCATAAAACAATTAAAGTATATCAGTAATGATTAATGATAGAATAACATTGATAAGGATTGAATGTTTGTAATTGCATATCTGAAACATTCAATGATATTAATATGTTTTACCTAGGTCATAGCAGAAGAATGGCATTTAAATGATTGTTTTGTTATACATAATGAAGAATAAGTGCATTGGACATGGATATAATTAATATAGAAGACATAGAAACTGGTGTGCGACCAACAAAAAATTCTACTCCCATACAATGCAACTGCATTCATTCAAATTCAATATGTTACATTATTGTAACAATTACTACCCTAGCTCTTTTGGGAGCAATTGTATTCATCTGTAGAGACTATATTAAAGTCCTACTTTATTGGATTGAACATCAAAACATATGGATTGTTACTGTAATATTCATTGCACTGTTTAGTGTGGTTTCATTTCCAATTGTAATTGGTTATTTATTCCTTATCATTGCCAGTGGTTACCTCTTTGGTATATTGAAAGGTATTGTAATGGTAGTGTTATCTGCCAATTTGGGAATAGCTATAGCACATGTTACTCTCAGTGCATTGTCATCAAAACTGCCTATTGGAGCACTTCTACAAAATAATACTGCAAGAGCAATTCTTAGGGTTATTTCTGGACCACAAACTTTTAAAGTTGTGTTGTTTGCAAGATTAACTCCTATTCCCTTTGGTCTACAGAACACTATTTTTGCGGTATGTACCTTTTAATAAATGTACCTCATATTTATGAAGGTTTATACTAAAAGCAGCAATACATCTAGGTTAGTAACATGGGTGGTATTCAATACCATATAGCTAGTGCATTAGGCTTACTACCTGCTCAGATCATCAACATTTATCTTGGTAGTAGTTTACGATCTATGCAAGATGTTCTTGAGGATAAATCAACAGCAGCAACTGGTTACATTGTCTTCTGTTTTCAGGTCAGTTTCTTTTTTCTTATTGTGAATATTCAGATCTTTTTAATAATTTAAAAATTATGTACATTTCATGTATTCTTTTATTTCACTTTCAGATTTTAATAGGCATATCATTAATGGTATATGTTGTACAGAAAGCACGAAGAGAACTTCAACTAGCATTGTTGGAGGCTGATCTTGCTTCAATGACAGATTCTTCTCATTATCTTCTTGACACACTACCAGATTCTAAAATAGTTTTAACTAATTTGATTGCCTAATGATATGAAAGAAAACTTTACTCTTTCAATAGGTACCTGCATGTTTCATACCTAACAATATAATTCATATTATTTATTACTAATGATAAAATTCTATATTTTTTTTTAATTCAAAATACTCTTCAAGGACTAATATCATTTCGAAAAATAAGTTCTACATAAATTTAGTATAAAATACGAAGTCATTTATTCATTAACTAGAGAGATAACTATAGACATTTTTTTAATATCAAGTTATTCTAAAAGAACTGAATATTTTGTAATACAAGCAATAATGGGAAACTGTAGTTTGAATGTAATTCAGCAGAGTTTTTAGACAATAGCAGGAACAATAGAGTTTCGTTTCCATATTATTCCTTTTGATACTATAATTTTGTGCCAAATCTCATTTCCATTTATTAAAAGTTTTCATATTATATCTTAATTCATTTTAAGAAATTTGACTGCATTTATATTTGTTAATATATTTTAATTTTTATGTTCCGTCGGCATCTTTATGCTTTTTTATTTACAGAAGTATATATACATATTATGATACTTTTATAAACAGGTCTTCCAATTGAGAAAAATTTAAATGAGTTATGTACACAAAACGCGGATGTTCTTAAATGTCCGTAATAAAACCAATTATTTATTTACTTCAAAATAAATGCAATTTATTGCTTTGCTTTGCTTTATCTACATATGATTTTAGATATTAATTTAACTTAGAATACGTGATTGAAAAATGAGATGAGTGAAAAAAATTTGCCATGACAATTGCATTTGTATAAAAATAATTACCAAGAAAATTATTAAATGAACTTACGCATTTTATTAGGAAGACTGAAACTATAGTATGAAGCATAAAATGGTCACATTAATCTGTTACCAATGCAATAGAATTATGTTTCAAAAGTAATATGTATCACTTTGTTAAGTTTTTGAATACAATTTTTCAATTTGTATTATTTACCAGTATAAAGTTGAAATTTAATTTCGATCTGTTTGTCAAATTTTATAAAATATGAAATATATTTTTCTTGCAATAAGAATAAATATATATGTAAATAATGGATAATCTTTGTTGTCTATGGACATTGTGAATCATTAGTATCATGTACAAAATACTGTAATGACTTCAGTGTAATCACAAAATTTGTTAAATTAAGGTATAATAACACAAAGAATGGAATTATATTGTACAAATGTAATATATAATTGACCATACCAAATAAAAAGGATTGTATTCGCTTAATGTATTAAATTATTCTTTGATCTATTTATTGTATTTTTCTTTGTGAATTTCTAAGGCTTTTTTTATGACAGAAAATGTAAAATCTGCGTCTTCCTTTGTTATACATAAGGGTGGTTTTATTCTTAGTACCTGTGTATAAACAAAGGTTACTAGTAAATAAATACTCATCCATATGTTATATAAGTACATAATTACATATAAACGTTTTGTTCACTTAGATACTTACATTTCCGTACACTCCTCCTTTTCCAAGGAGAACTTTCATATTTTTAATATCTTCAAAAATTTCAAGCATATGTTCAGTTTCTAAAGGACTTCTTGTTTCAGGATTTGCAATAAGTTCCACTCCAATCATCAGTCCTTTTCCTCTAACATCTCCAACAATGTTAGGAAATTCTGATAACAAACTACTTAAGTGGTTAATCAAGTAGGTACCAACTATATGTGCATTCTCTTGAAGACATTCTTCTTCAATAATCTGAAATACCACTATCTATATTCTCACAATATGTTAAATAATTAATATTTTACATAAGTAATACTTACATCAAGCACTGTTATTCCTACAGCACATGCAAGTGGATTTCCTCCAAATGTATTGAAATGTAATGCAGTATTTAGACTCTCAGCAATTTCATTACTTGTTATTACTGCACCTAGAGGAAATCCATTACCTATACCTTTTGCTAATGTTACTATATCTGGTTCAACACAGTGGCTTTCAAATCCCCAAAAATGTTCTCCTGTTCTACCAAAACCAGTTTGAACTTCATCTGCTATACACAAGCCACCTTTTTCATGAATATAATCATATACTTTCTTCAGAAAGTATTTAGGATATTGTACTGTTCCTCCTATTCCCTAAAAATTATATAACACTTTCAAGTTTTATACCTGAACATGTACAATTATTCATAAGGTACCTGAATACTCTCAGCTACAAATGCTGCTATGCTTTGTTTAGATGGCAAACTATAACAGAACACCTCTTTAAAATCGCTAAAATATTTTTCTGAAGCTAGACATTCCTGCTCTCCACAGTCACAATTCTTTGCAGTCACTTGTACAGGAGAATCTCTGCATTTAGAACCTCCCCAATTACCCTTGTACACATCTGGATATACCATCTAAAATGCGGTATCTATTGTAAAAGCAAGATATGTGTTGGGTGATTCTTAGATCCCTTTCCTTCTAGTTCCACTAAAATGATAAAGAGAATGCACAATATTGCCCTTACATGCATGTATCCTGCCGGTTGTGCAATAAATGGATATTTCCAATTGCTTAGTGCAGTAGATGCTGAGGTGCCATAAGTTGCTCCATGATAACCGTTTTTTAAAGAAACAATATTTTGGCTGCGAGTATAAAGTCTAGCCATTAAAAATGCTAATTCATTAGCTTCAGATCCGCTGTTTGTTAAATAAGCTACTTTCAACTTCCCTGAAAATTTACTGATTAATTTAGTCACATATTCGTGTAGACGAGGTTGCATATAGACAGAAGATACATGATTTAATTTTGATGCTTGTTCAGATATAGCAGCTACTATTTTTCTGAAAAATAAAAGGTATTATTCAACATTTGAATTTGAATTGTATCGTTACCAACAGTTGGTAAGATTACACTCACGGATGAGAGTGTCCAACAGATACGGTAGCGACACCTCCAAACATGTCCAAATACCGTTCTCCTCGATGATCCCACAACCATTGTCCTCGGCCCTCGTATATAATTAATGGTTCTTTATAAAATGGTTTCAAAGAAGGTGACACAATTGACTCGTGTGCCCTTTTCACTTCTTCATAGCTTTTGCCCTATGTTGAAGACATTCGATAATATGAAATATAATAATTTCTACAATATGTACTGAAGCTAGCAAATCTGGCCTCTCTTGAGACTATAGTCAATGTTTATACTAGGGAATCGTTTCCCCTAGGCTGTCATTTTCCCCAGGGAAGCTAGATTTGCTTTTGAATATATATATTACGTCAATAATTTTTTTAAATAATTATATTACCATATATGTCGAAGGCACATGTTTGCAGTTGGGCATTCTTAAATAATTTCTTGCATTATGTACAAACGTTTTATTTTGCAAGATCATCCCTAAAATAGCAATTCACATTTTATGAAAAAATGTATATGAACTAAAACTGATGACGAACTTTTATTATGTAAAATTTTGAATGTCAGGTGATACTTACGCCTGGAGTAGATTGCGGAGATGTTTTTAAATTTATCTGCTAACATATTTAAACGTTACTTTGTATTTGTTACGTTGCAAATTATTTTTTACTTTATAAAAAATTAGTGATCAGTATCCACTTTAGTACTAGTACTGGAGAATGTTTTAACTGTATAAAGATTGAATAATTACTGACAATACACAATTTTATATGCACGGCTTTGAACATGGAACGAATTCATTTTCATGTATAAATGTAGATACGTTAAGTTATTCGCTTCCGAAGGAGGTCAAAAAATTCGCTTCAGAATGCTGATAGATGCGCATTAACGCTCCCTTGCGAATTAAATGTTCTCCATAAACAACAATGCCGATTTTGTTTTGTATGAAATTTTAATTCGTTTCCTGCAAATGTAGACAATCTAAATTATTCAAGCTTCATGTTATAAAAATAAATCATGTAGGAAAAATAAAGATTGTGTATATGTCTTCTTCTATATATTTACTTTGCCATTAATTACAAATAATTAATTAGTCTTAAGTAAATATATTTTCTGAAGAAATGTCTAATATCTGGATAAGGAAGGTACATAATAAACACAAAGAAATGTTTTATTTTTACATTTTATGCTATTTACATAAACAATTGAACTATTTTTTCACTATATTTGCATTAGAAGCTACCTGCTTTAATTCAAGATTTTGTTCATTTGATTCAATTTGTAATTTTTCTGTTGATGATTTCAATTTGAATACTATTGGTATATGTTCAAGAACAGGATTTGTTTTCTGTAAGCATCTTATCCAGGATAATAGAGAATCTTTAGAAGATGTACCAGTTGCACACATTGCATAATACACACCATCATCTTGTTCATGAATAGTAACAGGTATACCAAAGTTATGCTTTTCCCAAAATGGAATTTTTACATTAGAAATATCTGAAAGAACATATTATTAATTAAATAACAAGATGTGTAACTCAAACTTTTTGCAGACTGATGCAAGCAATGTGTAAGTCTCAATTATTTCTTACCATCATAATCAACATAAACAATATCTCTTTTTATTGGGTCTCCTTTGAGTACGAAATAATCCAAGCAACTTCTCCCAACCCAAATCATAAAAGGACCTTCTATAGTTAATGGTTTATCAGTTGGTTGTACAGCAAGTAATTCTTGTTGAGATGAGCTCATAGTAGACATGATCCATGTATCATCAATAGCATCTGGTACATCTTTTGTCCTGAACTCAGTAACTTTAGCTTGAAAATCTATATTAGATAATTTATGCATAGCTATGTGTGCTAGTTCACGAGGGTCAGTAGGTGGAGGTTCAGGAACTGGCCATGGATTTAAATGAACAAATTTTGGCATCCAATACATCATACGCCAAAATCTTTTTATAACTAGGCTTCTTACACCAAAAATATTTAATATCATTTCTTGCATTTCATAATCGGGCATTACATAATTATCTTCCATTTTTATAAGCAATTTTATTGCTGTATCTTGTTGTTTTGGATAATGGTGCAACATAGCTTGATATATATTTTCTGGTATGTATTTTCCTTTTGGAAATATATCCAATAATGCCTTATAAGTTTCCAAATCTCTATTTACACCAAAGTCATCCATGCACTTTAAGGCTTTTAATATAAATTGTATATGATTTCTTAGCTGAGCATTTTCTTTCACATATATACGTATTATTTCTAAAAAAACTTCTTTTTCCTTTCTCTCTGCCCTATTAAAATAAGAAAGTGCAATATCGTTTGCTGGTTTTTTCCTTCTGTTGTATAAAATTTGATAACTGTGAAAGCTGTTAACAGTCTTCATTTGTGCATTGAAATGTTCCTTCATCATTAATGACCTATTTGCCAAAGTAAAAATTCTCCTCATAAGAAAATTCATATTAATAAGTTATCGGAGTTTCGTTAATAAATAAATTGAATATGATTTGCAAATATATATACACATTTCATATATTATCTTCAATCTCCTTTATAACCTCTCTTCTTTAATGTCAATAAATATTGCAATGGATGTATGTATATACATGTGTAACTAACATTTTTTGTATGTTACAGGTCCTACACATTTTAGGATCATTGTTCCATTTCAAATATTAAAGTGTCTTTTGCTATAATTAATATAATTTAATTGCACAGTTCAAAACATATATAAATCACAACGTCGTCAAAGCCATCTATTGTAGCACCTACGTACTAAACTTATGCGTTTAGTGGTCAATGGGAAATGCATTCTTTTAAAACACCATATTGGCATATCCGTCAGACATTATACTGTAGATAGTCCATCTATATTTAATACAGACTCTATGATAATACTTAAATATTCCTTGATATTCTTCTAGTGCTGTGGAAAGTTAATTTTCGCTGAATACAGAAAACGTTCACTACAATGCTGTTACTCAGAATTCGTGAACAGATTAATTGTCGCATATCTTAAGTGTGATCAAATTAACGAGACACTTCGCAGTTACAATTAAATTTTATAATACATTCTCGAATTATCAGATGTATAAACCATAAGTGTGGATCTTCATGAGTGCAGATATCTGAATTAACTAGGTCAACGAATTGTATTGTGTGAGCTGTGATTTTTCGTTCGATTTTTCTATATCGTATTACTTTGATGATCATTAATATACAAATTAATGATAATCGTTTCCATATACGTAACAAATCGAACAAATAAGTAGATTGTAACAGTATAAACGAAGCAATTTTCGAAGCAGCTGTTACTGAGAAACGCAAGTGCGCGTGTCTGCCATATTTTGGCAGGAATAATTAGTAAAGCGTACGGCACTTAATTTATCTGTCAATTTTTTGTGGCTCTAGCACATTATATATTCACGGTATCTAAAAGTGGTGAATAAAAGTGTAACCAATGAAATCAGTCACTTCTGTTCCTGAAACAAATTTCCAAGGTATCGGGCGTGACATGGCAGAGCGCCTTGGTTTGGGCCCTGAGATTCGCGAACTCAAACTCGGACCAACTTTTACGAACAATAGGTCGACAGCTTTTCATACGTTAAAATGTTAGTATATGAATTTATCAAACTTATGAATGTACTTGATGAAAACTCTACTGTGCGTTAACACAATGAAAAGTCAGCAATGAACAATGTTGACAAAGTTTTGAACAGTAACTGTGAAATGAACCTTTTAATTTCAGATGATTTTAAACCAGCAAGCGTAGATGTTTCTAAAGTGGCAAGAGTTGACGTTGGAGCAAACAACACAATGACAGTTACTGTCCCACATTTAGATGGTGCTGGAATTCCTCACACGGTATTTAGAGGTTCACAAAGACCTTATCACAAAGAATGCGTTTTAATAATTGATAGAGTTACTGGAGAAATTACTTTAGAAAAGTTGACAGCAAACATACAAGTTAAAAAAACTCGGTATGGTTGAGTATAATTTATGAATTGTATTAAATTATAGCATATACATGTATGATTTTTTAGAACGGAACCGAAGTCTCAGTCACATTTAGGAGTGTCTGGAAGCAATAGACCTATAACTCCAGTTGAAACCAAAAGAAGTCCTACACATGGAAGGGCAACTGGAAGAACAAAAGTTACAAGTGGAAAGAAGAGGGAACCTAGTGTTCAACTACATCCAAAACAGTATAGTCCACTTAGAGTTTCTCCTTATCATGGGAAAAGTCCACCTTCTACTTCAACTAATTGGTACTAATTATTATTTCATTTGAATAATATTTTATTTGAACTTTGTTTGTTTAAACTCTGCAGTAATGTTATAATAATATATTAAGATTTTTTTCTAAACGTACTAAAAACACACAGAACTTTAGTTCACCAGTGCAACCATCAGTGCAACCGTCGACTTTGGCAAGTTTGCCGATGATTGGTTCTGATAATGATGACTGTCCTTTACCGTCGTCTGGATCATTCCCGACTGTAAACTCTTCTGCACCTTCAAGGTCATCTCCTGCAGCAAATACTCAGCCTACCACAAAACCTTCTGTAACTGTAGACAGTGATGAAGGAGCTCTCAGTGATTCTACATCAAGTAGCTCGAGTTCAGATAGTTCAGACAGTGATTCTGATGCTGAGAATGTCCCAGTGTTGGGAACCAATGGTATTTTTTTTAAACAACTTACTATTTCTATCAGGTCTTACTTGTTTTTCTTGTACTTTAATTTAAAGCTACTGAATATGTATTTTTCTAGGACATTTTAATAGTACAACTTCATCTCCCACCCTCATTATGCCACCAAATAATCTTTTAAATGATGATTTGCAACTATCAGAATCAGAATCTGATAGTGATTAATGGTAAAGTATATTATAAATTTGATATAATAATATTATTTATTTTAATAATTGTATTTCCACTAAAACAATACTTTTCAGGGAAGAAACGAATGGTCTGTTTAAAGTCTTTTTCGTTGAAATGTTATATTTTTTCCAAGATTTTGTTTACTATGGTATACTGAAAAATCAAGGAAACTTATTTCTGTTGCATATTACAAAAGGAAATGTCCATAGTACATACGAAAACATGCTCCACATATTTTATATGTACCACAGTAAGTTATGTTATATATTATACATACACAATTCTTCGCTTTTTGTGCAGTAAATATATGCAACACATAATGAATACAAGTGGTAATGTAGTGTATGTACATTTATTTATAAGGTATTAGGGATTGTACAGTTACTACTGACTAATATTTAGTGTAATTATATGATCTTTATTTTCTTATATATTTTAAAGGTAGAAATCTTGCCGAAATCTTCTACATACTTCCTAAGAAAGTGGCAAATGCTTTAATTTTAAATTGATTCTTCATAGTTTTAAAACCTTTAAAATATTTAAATGCCATATCAACCAATTGATTTTTCACAGCTTCCTTATAAATTACAGAATATTATATGTGCTGTGTTAAGAAAAATAATTAAATGACTGTATTACTTACGAAATATTTATTTAAATGAAATGTATAAATTTAATAAAGTATTCATTATAATATGTATTTTCTTACATACATGCATTAAAAAGAGGTAACATTTCATATCAAATTTCTGGTCAAATATAAAACTTCACGCTGTCATTTAATAATCTCATCTAAAATTATTTTAACTTTTGTACTATATAAACTATATAATTATTTTCAATTTGACAATAATATATGTTTCAACATTTGATAATAGTTCTTGTAATAAATATAATTTATACTAATAAACTATTTTTATAATTCTGATAATCTAATATCAATCTGGCAAGTTGACTATGTCGGCCTAAATAAAGATTTTTTGACCGACTACAGGTTTTATAGATACTGTTTGTGGTATCAGTACAATTAATATTTTTATATTTTATTTTGAGAGCTGGCTCTACTGCACGTAATACGTGAACATTACTAAAAGAAACAAACATTTCGAATAAAGATGTAACGGGTATCTTCTGTGAAAGCTTTAATAAGGACGCAATGTCTCGATCAGAGTGTATTATTGGAATACTAGTCTCAACGGTTTTTCGCACTATAATAAAAATGTAAAATAATTAGTTCTAACAAATATTCAGTAGGAGAGTATACAAAAAAAAATTGGACACATACTTGCGTTATAGTCCCTGGCATAGAATGCAATGTTATTGTAATTGTATTCATCGTATCTGCCATGATTTCGATTAATATCTGTGTCTTGTTTCACGTCGTTCATGTGAGCTATATCAGGATGGAATTCCATGAACGGAATTGGACTAAATATTTGATACTGACTGATGGTATTCATACGGACCTAAATATTTAAACGTAAATAATTAATTTGCAAATTTTTAGAATTATCCACAAACTGTTTCTATCGAAGCTAGCAATATACATTACTCTATTCAAATAATCCAGTCGAAGCTGTATTTCCATTTCAACGAAAAGTATTAAACTTTCGAGTGAAAATTTCCTGACGCATAAATCTGTGATAGCGATTTTTAATAATTGATTAGATTCTATGGATCCTATATTATTAGGCAAACGTACAGATAGCCAAGTAATTTTGGATTGATGCTTCTTGTATTTTTCAGCCAACAGCAAAGCATAACGTTTAATGTCATAATATGTATCTTCTTTACCTTTTGAAGCAGAATCAAAATTGTATAGAAGTACCTGTGCATGAGCAAACGTTAACAAACAAATACCTTGAAAATAATTAACAAAATGTAAAAAATACTAACCACCATCAGGAAAGTTTTGTACTTTTTCTCCATACAGTCTAAAGCATACTGTTCTAAAAACTTTAATGCAGCATGTTTGTTTGATGAATCCACAGTCAATATTATATTTATCCTTGTGTTTTCTGTTACATATGGCACAGGTAGAATTTCAACTTTGCCAAGCGGCTTGCACACTTCGACTCTTTTTATCAATTCTTTTCCAGTACCAGTATCAATAAATTCTAAATCTAATATATAATCCATTCCTCGAGACGCATCAAACTTCTGATATCCATTCAGTAATCTTTTAAACTTCAATTTTTCATTATAACCAGCGATAATACTAGAGGCCGTAATATTTATAATTCGATCTATATCAAACTTTGCGTCGGTTTTTAATTCCTGAACACTGGAGAAATCAGTATTAAAAAACGCATGAGATTCATTGAAATATGTCCATCGTAAAATATCGAAACGTCCAGTAGCTTTGTTTCCTGGCTGATTACCAATAGGCCAAGAAACATTCTGATTTTGCAGTGGTCCCAAAGGTGCCATAGTTAAAATGGCCTTTCGTATGTTAGAAATTTTCTCCTGAATTTCCACAGACCTTGTCTACAATTAATATATAGTATGAATTACAATAATTAAGTAACTTGAAATTTATTTAACAAACTTACTGCTGCAAAGTAGGTATTAAATTTATAGATAAGATGATGATCGTATATCGGATATATTACAAGCGAACGTAAAAATTCTTCATTCTCAGTCAAATCCTTGAAATTTCGTTCAAATAAAAAAGTAGGTTTCAATTTTGTGTATAAAAATTGTTGTCCTTGTATGCTGTTGGAACAAGGCGTTGACGTGGAATGAACGATACATCGTCCAAAATTTACGTCATCCGAATCTGAATAAGAATTCTTCACACACCAATCTAAATTGCTCTTTAATTCTTGTATCAATGAATTACTCAAGAGAATTCCTGAATCTGCAAATAGAGTATGAGTCATTACAATTCATGGAATCATATTAGAGTGACCTTTTAATATATTAATTACTTTACCCAAAGAGCAATAAGTTGGTATGTCACTGGGAACACCCACGTGAACATTCTGACTTACACTAATCTTGGAAACAAAATTCTGTAATTGTTTAACATTGATATAGCTTGTATCTTTAATTAAAAGATAATAATCATAGTTTTCTAAGTAATTATCAATTATATACTTCATAGTATGAAATGGTTTCAAAATGCTTCTAGTGTCAGTAAATCCAACAATACCAGGAAGACTAACATTGGGTTTTGTCCCTTCTGGTATGGAAATAAAGTAACGTATTTTATCCACAATATGAGCAACTGTTTTATTAATTGCTGTGTCTCTACTGTGCAAATACTGCTGGCTCGTTATCACCCCTATGAAGAGCTTTTCTCTAATTCCAAGTTCTGTAGAATAATACCTCGGACGTATAAGTGTTTTAGAAACTTTTTGTGCTTGTTGCGGTTTATTGTTAATGTTTATCTTTGGTTCATATTCATCCAACTCGTCTTGATAGTTCGAGTAATGTAATAAATTCTCTGTTTTACTATCATGATCATTAATATCAAGCGGTATTAATATTATGCTGAGACTTAAACCCATACTTAATCCAGTTATTAAATACATATTTGTCCAACAATAGGACAAAAGTATTTTTAATACTAAATTCATTTTTAGTGGTACTTAACAATATATCAATATGTATCACAGAAAAAAGGCAGATTCTTTAGTTATTGTACTGTTTTTAATTATCATCACATTCAAATTTTTCTTTCATTTTTGGTAGTATAAAATTTAAACATAACCATGTTTATTTAGAATCCATAACAATCATCACCAACAATATACCTCTTAAATTTTATTTACTAAATGCACATAACTTATAAAATTGTCTTTGCAAAGTATTCGCTAACTTATTGTGAATCAACAAAACACTGGCAAAACTTTTAGCGTTCTGCCAGCGCTATCTAACGATAAAGTTCTAAACTATATTTAAAAAACCAAATTGAGAAAATAGACATTACTATAGACGATAATGTTAATAAACAAATGTAACTTGATCAAAACGAAAAATCTTAGCGCTTACTTTAATATTATTTTTTAAAGATTACTTTTTGCAATGATTTTCCAAGTCGTACGTATTGCATGGAACGACGTTAAGCTAATACGTATTTATTAATTGTCTAATAGAAAACTGTGAAAATGAGCCGCAAGGTCCTAGCGGATCGCATTGCGAAACACTTGTGTTAGAGGGGGCACGGCTCGCCGTCGTGCACGATACATACGATATGTGTATATATAATATATATAAGTGTATATATATATATGTATATATATGTCAGCACGATAGTGTGTTCGCGGATCGTGTATGCAGAAGCGTTTAAATATTAATCACATTACGGATGTTTTTGCTCGTGTGACGCGCGCGTAATAGACGAAACGGTTATCAAGATGTCACGGATGTACAGACATAACGAGAATGGAAATCCGTGCTAAATACGGATCGCACAACTTGCAAATAAGCAGCGCCGATGGACGCGGCCATGTTTTCTGGTAGCAGAAATCTTACCCATTAATAATTCGTTAATCGTCGACCACGAAGTGGAGTGTGCAGAATGCCGAAATGCAGTGTGAAGACAAGGTATCTACCAGCTACGTTTGCCTGGACAGTCCTACTCAGCAGCACGACACTTTTCTTCTGTTTTCCGTAAGTTGTGCACACATGTCTGCTCTTTTCTTCTGATGAGAGACTATAATATTTGGGCTCTTGTTTTCATAATTTGAAGTTAACGTTAATGTGTGAAAATGAATGTTGCAACATTTATTGTGTGAATCTTTTAGGTGCCAGTATTATGTGTTTCGATGGGGAACATGGGTGCCTGTACTTCAAGGAGTCATTACCTTTTTTGTTTTGGCAAATTTCACATTAGCGACATTCATGGATCCAGGAGTTATACCAAAAGGTATGTTCCTGCATAGAATTAAGGTATTACTGAATGTACAAGTGAAAAGTAGTTTCTTAGAAAATATATTCTTTTTTTTGAAGCACCTCCTGACGAAGACCGAGAGGATGACTTTCATGCTCCCTTATATAAAAGTGTAGAAATCAATGGGATAACAGTTCGTATGAAATGGTGTGTCACATGCAAGTTTTATAGACCTCCACGTTGTTCACATTGTAGTGTTTGCAATCAGTGTATCGAGGTTCGTACTAAATGTAATTAAATTTTGTTTGTTCAAAATTTAATGTTCTTTTATCTTGTATATTTGCAGACATTCGATCATCACTGCCCATGGGTAAATAACTGCATTGGAAGGAGGAATTATAGATTCTTTTTTTTCTTTCTATTGTCCCTAAGTCTTCACATGCTCAGTATATTTGGGCTCTGCCTATATTTTGTATTGGAGCGTAAACAACAGTTGGGTGAAGTGGATACAATTGTTGCGTATCCTTTTTTCATAACTTAATATCCACTGCAGTAAAATTTTCTTTAGTCTAAGTTCGAATAATGCACCTCTTTGTTACAGTATATAATTTTGTACCTTATAATCCTTAAATCTGAAATAGACTCGTACTCATGGGAGTGGTTATACTTTTGTTCATTCCAATTTTTGGACTGACTGGCTTTCATGTAATACTTGTTTCTAGAGGACGTACAACAAATGAACAGGTAACGGGTAAATTTAATGGAGGCTACAATCCTTTTTCTCATGGTTGCTTACACAATTGCTGTTATACGCAATTTGGACCACAATACCCCAGGTACCGTGCTAGTCAATTAAAAATTGGTATTAGGAGTGAAAATAATTGGTAATCAGGAAATTATGGTGTTTCAGTTTAATTAAGCCTGAAAAGTATTCAGGAAAACGACGAGGAGTTTCGACGTCTGAGATATCGACTATAGGCAGTGAGAACCAGGTAAAAACCTACATGGATAGCAGCAATGGTGTTAGAAATGCCAGTTCAAATGCTTACAATAAGGTAAGAGCTAGTGCAACTTCGCTTCTGACACTACATACAAGAAGACTTTACAACTGTAAATAGTACTTCCTCTTTAGCATGCAATTTTAATGCTTCTTCAATGTACCAGTTGTATGCAGTTTCACCATAAACATGTAATTTATTTTGCTTTAGAAAATTTACAAATTCGCACTATTTTACCGTGCTTCAAAGCTTAACCACAACATATATTGCTAGTTACAAATTGTAGTGCACATTAATGCGTTCTAAAAGGCATTTCTTGCACGGTTTTTGGAGTTTTCTGCCTTTGTTCGTTAATTTTCCATTTGTTTCTTTAGAGTGCGTTTTCGAGCTGCGATTCTTCCTGTCAGTAAAATCCTATTTACAGCGTTGGAAAATGCAGTTATCTACTTATTTAGTTCCTTGATCCTTCCCCATCCCTGGTTGAACGTCAGTATTTCCAAAAAGAAACGTGCGTTATTACTGTACAATAGCGTGCTACAATGATCTAATAACGAATGTTAAACGCTTGTTCCGATGAAAATAGTTATCAAATGTATTATTGTTTGTAGTTGTCTCCTGGACGAGATGGGTCGGATACAGACATGGAACCCACTGCATCTCAGTCTGCGGATTGCGAACCCACACCTCCACTACAGAGACATGGCTCCAAAAGCAATTTCTTCCTGCCACCTGTGGAGAACAGTGAATCTCCCAGGCATCCACCGCCATCGCAACATCGCCATCCAATGCATTACACTAGAGGCAGTCCCCATACAAGGCCAAGGTACAATAAATAATAACAATAAATGATGTTTCGTGCTTTAATACTTTTTCTAATATACATAAGGTACGTTGTCAATACCTATAGGGGAATGAACGGCTCTCGAAGCCATACACCTGATCCATTATCGCCAGAAGCAAGCGGATCACCTGCCACAGCTTCCCAAAGAGGTCAAGGACAAGGAGGTGCTAGTCCAACAACACAACGGATTAAAGCTATCGGAGTACCTACTCCACTTGCCATTTCCAGTCCCATTCGCAGGTATGTTTTATTTGCTTACCGTTTACGAACGAAAATAGAACAATTACGAATCTAAACTGAATATATTTTGAAAAATATATGAAGTCTGCAAGCGAATAGTGTGATACGACCTTGCGTGATACAAAGATAATGAAATATTTGTTCTATTCCGTGGATACTTAAAGTATTTTTTGAAATATTATGTATTTAATGTACATTTTTTTTCCTTTAATTGTACGTCGCGGCGTTTCACATTGCACAAAATTTATCTCGATGTAGAGAGCAAGAGGGAAGCGCCACATTTAGTAATTAGTTACATTGCATTTCTTGAGCACGCTAACCAATACGAATTGAACAATTTCCTTTTATTCGATGTCCTGTTTGCAACCTTTCAACATGATGTGAAGCCTGTTTATTTTCAGATTCCCTATCCTTCACTAAGAACACCTCACTCTTGCTCTTATTCTTTCTTCCCTATTTTCTCACCACTATTCTCGCCTTCTGAATGACGAAGGAACGTGATAAAAAAATAATAATAAAACGTTGCGCGATTGTAGATCACGATAATATAGTAGAGAATTAGTTTCTCTGCATGTACATATTACAAGATGTATGGTATATAGATAAGTTTGTGTCCCACTGCAGGGGGTGGTAACTGCAAGGAGCTGCTTTCTACCATCATGTTGCGACCTACTGCAGGTAAACACGAACTTCATCCTACGAGGACATACCGTAGTTTAAAGTTATGCTTTCTTGCATATATTTCATACGTATCTATATATATATATTTAAGAGAAAAAGCAGATTCTAAATACATACATGTATATGTACTACATATGCATATATATGTATATATTTTACACACATATCAGTCGACAAACACGCAAGTAAATGTCCATATATGTATTTCCTAGGTTCGCTACCTTTTTACTTTTCTTGGATAGATGCTAATTTTATAACAGGAATGATGCGCTGTTCTCTCTCTCTTGTATGTTCCGCCAGAGCCGTATTTGTATGGCTACAATGCTCAGCACTTGCATATTCATCTTGGTTCACTGTATTATTGTGCATTTGTCGGTTATTGAAACATCAGACTGATCGTGTCTAAGTTTGGAAGTCAAAGTATCGTGTCTCTGTTACAGATCGAACCCAGGTACGCCGACGCAGGTTCGTCGGCCAGATTTTATAGGAGTGAACGACACACCAACGTATTATGATGTACAGCAAGGGAATAATACCGGTGTTGGTGCTGCTAGCGGTGCCGTAGTAGCCGGTTACAGTCCACAGCGTCGTTTTTTGTCGGAAAGTGAGCTCGTTCGTCAAGGTACCGATCATTCGTACTCAAGAACTAACAATACCGTTGACAACATTCGAGAGTTAGCGGGTTCACCTCAGCGTGGTGTCTACATGTGGAAAGATAATTCACCCGGCAGCTATCCAGCTCCAGCTGGTACGACGGCAAACTCAACGACGCATCAGTCGCCGTCGCAAAGACCTCCACCGTCGTCGTACGATTATTATCGTTCCAACCCAACAAGTCCCACTCAACAATTATACGCCAATGCTCCTAGAGCAGCTTATCATCCTGCGATGAGGGGTGGAGTGCCAGTCTTCCCACCACATCAACAGTCACCTCAGGTGAAACGAAAAGCCACCATGGCGACACCGACCACACCTACGTCGGGCGATACGCGTCGCAGACCAATGTCGTTTGTTAGAGCCTTAGAGATGACCGATTCCATGGAAATGGTCTCAGCACCTAACGATAACAGATCACAGCGACCCACCACGCCGACGCCGGATCGTGCTAGTGTCTACGATATGAACTACGAAATATCTGTATAGCCCAGCTTTACGGTCTCCGCACCAACCTGCGGCTGGACGGAGATTGTACAAGAATTGCCGGCAACGTTACGCGTTTCCTGTCCCAAAGAGGAAAGAACGTACGCCGCCTACGAGATATCCGTCTGAATTATCGTATCGAAGCAGCTAAACATTCTATGTCAAATGATATTAATCCGGTCGAGGTATCGTAAGTTCTTCCGGTCCAAGCATTGATCCATTATCGATACTTTATTGAAACGGAGCCGATTATTTTCCTGATCGAACGATGGACTTTGATACGACGTATCATTCGTTACTACTTGTGGAACGATTACCGACAAATCTGGAGAGTTTCCGTGGAAAGAAGATATCGGTGTTCAATTATTTTTCATCAGAAACTGGCTAATATAGGAAAAGTGTTATTAGGTCTTATTTCGCGTTGGACGAACGACGATGCATAAGATTAATATAAAGTTTCGGTTCAACGCGAAGTTTACCGTCAACGTAAGACTGTTGTGTCATGTTACTAGCAATATTTTTGATTTAACCGTTGTTTAACGATGAACATTCGATCCGACGTGTACACGAGACGAAACGTGTTCATTTATCCGAGGGAAATAATAAGAGAAGCGTTCGGACCGATTGACGATCGAAGTAATCGAGTCACGAAAAGCGTCAACGAAAGTAATTCCGAACGCTTAGAGATAATTCGCTAAGCGAAACCCTTGCTAAAGATCGAGCTTGTCTCGCTTAGCAGCAAATAATTCTATTTTTTAGTACACAGTAAGGTCAGTTTAGATTTTTATACCATGATGTCGTGACTCAATTTCTAGAAACGCAGCATCGGTTGATTCCCGTTCCTTCCGTTTTCCTCTTCTTTGTCTATCGTATACATACGAGTAAACTAGTAACAAAAAACATAGGGATTATTCTTGCGTGCATTCTTTGGGCTCGATTTTGATCGCGCGTGTGTTCTTTGTTTCTCTGAGAGAAGAACGGAGATCAAAATCGAGTCTGCCCGGTGTAGTCTCCTATCTTCGTTGATGCGAGAGCGATTTGTGTCCATTTAACAAAAGGTTACTTAATCGACTTAAGTCATTATCAGGATAGAATAACAAATTCTGTGTAAAATAATCGTGAAATGTGTAGTAAATTTTTAATATACATATTTAACAATATTTATACGTAAATAATAAGACTTTACAATGATTTCATTTGTTTGTTATAAATGATAATTTTATCGATGTGACCACTAATACGATCAATTGGATTTTTACAAGTAAAAGAGAATAGTTAACGAAAAATATATGAGAGAGAAGAATGTGTGAATGAGTGAAAAAAACTAGTTGTATGAATGAATGTATACCAGGAAAACATTAGAGTATTATATGAAAGAAGAAAGAAGAAGAGTGACAGATCGGCGTGTTTCAAATGTTTACAATGATGGGTGATCTACTCGATGGAAAAAAAAGAAGAAAATATACAAAATCTCGCCAACAGACTTTGTTAAAAAAGAAAAAAGGAAAAAGGCAAATAGGGGAATACAATTTTGTAATATATACATATTGCATAAATTTATTGGTATATCTACTGCTATTACTAAGTTTGTAATATACCCCGCTTTTAAAAAGTTGCATGCCGGTTTCTGTATTATGTATTTGTATGCGAGACCAATATTACTATTTATGCAGGCTTAATGAATAACTGCGAACCGTGTATGCGTAAGGTAATCGTGAAATATGGCGTGTCCGTTTACCTTACGACGAATTGATAATCGAATTATTATTGTTAAAATAGCACATATCGTTCAGCTAAAGGGCTTATCGAACATCGAATATTTCCAGGCTAAAGGGGCGTTTTCTCGACAAATATCCTATATTTGGTAAAACAGAAAAAGGAAAAAGAAATGGATATACTGCGATTATTAGTCATATTTCTTCCAATGTTGGCGCTACTGTTAAAAAGAAACGCGTTACTCATTCCTTCTCTATTTGAGTTACATATATTGTTGTTTTACTTTACAATGAGCTGTGCCAAAATAAGGAAACATACGATTTTCCATATTCCACATTAATTACGTAGTTTTTACACACAGAGGGCACTCGAAGAAAAAGAGCAAAAAGAAAAAAGGAACAAGAAGCAAACAAAAAACTGGTACAACAATAAAACGAATTGGTTTAGAGGATTATGTGTAAGGTGTGACGAATGTTTAGTGTTTATAATTCGGTGTACTTGTACATAAATATTGCTCGTTATTATCACTTAAATGTACATACATATACATTTCGGTACTTACGTATCGCTGCAGCAATTTACAAAAATAAATCCATGAAATATAAGCTAATCGTATTAGAAAGTTTATTTTATTTGATTTGAAAATTACTCTTTTAAGGATCTTATATCAAACTGCGCGCCATATTAGAGTAGATACATATTCTTACATGAGCGTTCGTAAAAGAGATTAGCAACAGCCTTATCCATTTCCGAATTTCGCATTTATATGTATAAATAAACTCATCCACTAAATAATTTGTATATAAATAAACGAAGTTATCATTAGGTAATGTAAAATTATTTTAAATTTTGAAGAATTACAAGTATAAAGTTAACATAAAAGTTGAGTACTATATTCAATTCAATATGACCGTAATACGCTGTACTTTGCGGTAACTTTAAAAATGTATTTAATGAGAAAGAAGTTAATAATCATATTTATGTGCTGAATATTCCGACATTTTTCAAAATGGATACTGTGTATATATACATATACGATCAAATTTTTATAACTTTATGGTGTGACATGACCGTAACCCGGCGGGAATAACGATGCGAGCGCCGCGTCATTTTATTGGTAATTTTGCATCGTTCCTTCGTAAACTTCGTATGTTGTTCTATTATGATTTGATAACAAATTCTGCTTCTTAATTTTCGGTATTGTATATTGTTTATATGCAATAACTGTTTAATACATAACTAACAGCGGAAACGTGTTTTGTGAAAAGACGTGATTCTTTAGCGGCACCGTCCGCCATTATTGGCGTTTATACGGCGTTCAACGTTTTCTTTCGCTTATAGACGACGAAACCACGCCTATAACCTGGAGTTTTACATCATACTATGATGTGAGTAATATGTATTATTATTCTATTATCTTAGTTTAGTTTCTTTCATTTGATCGTAACCTCATCATTATCGAGTGTTTTCATATGGACGCAGGGCACGCAGTCGTAAAGATAGTACTGGCAAAAGCGATTCCGAAGTAACGGATAAAGAAAATAAGAGAGAAAGAGGTAGAGAAAGAGAAAGAAAGAAGCGTGCAGCTTCATCTTCGAGCAGTGGCAGCAGGTAAGGCAATTGAAAAGTTTTTGCAAAATAATTCAATTCATAATTAAGGTTGTACAATGCTCTTGCTATTGATGTTTTGCAGTTCATCAGATAGCAGCTCAGGATCATCATCTACAAGCAGCGGAAGTAGTTCCAGATCAAGTTCTACTTCAAGCAGTACCTCTAGTAGTTCAGGCAGTTCTTCTGGAAGTTCCAGAGATAGAGGAAGGAAAAGAAGTCGAAGCAAAAGCGTTGATGCTTCTCGCAGACATGATAATAAAGAAAAGGAAAGAGAAAAAGAAAGGGAAAGAGAAAGAGATAGGGATAGGGACAGAGATAGAGATAGGGAAAAAGACAAAAAGAAAAGTAGCAATTCTGTGATCGATAAACCTAAGCCAAAAGGACACTCTAGGTAAAGATGTTTGTCTGACGTGCATAGGGAAAACAGATCCTTTCTTGTATGTAATCTTTTTTATTCTGTTTGATTTTATAGATCACCCTCACCGCGTAGAAAACGCAGAGAAAGATCACCGATTCCTAGACCAACCAAAATACATATTGGACATTTGACACGCAATGTCACTAAAGAACACATTATGGAAATATTTTCCACATATGGTCAAATAAAAATGGTCGATTTTGCCATGGACAAGCTTCATCCTAATCAAGGACGAGGCTTCGCGTATGTGGAGTTTGAAACAGCGGATGAAGCTGAAAATGCAATGAAACACATGGATGGTGGTAAGTGAAGAATTGTGAACTTGTCTAACTTACATTCGTTTTCTGAACGATAACGTTTTGTACAGGACAAATAGATGGTCAGGAGATTACTGCTGCTCCAGTATTATTACCAAAACCACGGCCGTTACCGATGCGTAGGATGTCACCTCCAATGGGAAGAAGACCACCACGATGGGGTGGTGGTGGTAGAAATACTCCCCCACGTTATCGCAGACGTTCACCACCGATTAATCGACGCAGAAGCCCACGGCCACCGAGACGTAGACCACGAACTCGATCGCGAAGTCCCCCAAATAATCCACGGCATCGGCACCGTCGTTACACGAGATCAAGCTCAAGCAGCTCGCGATAGCAACATTTTTCTGTACATATAAGATAAAAACTGAATTTGACCAAACTCAGTTTATCCTGGTTGGTCGTCTTAATATATTAAGCAAAACAGTTTTTACCAATTCATTCAAACGTATTGACAGGGAAGTGTACGCACTTAAAACAATAGACTTGTTCATAACGGTGTTAACAGTAATTTACATTTCAATGATGATAATGAAGGAAGCACCGTTCGTGATTCGCTGTTTTTCAAATATATCAGTTTCACACGTGACAAATACATTGCTGCTATTGATTGGTACCTGAAGCCGATGACCCTGGGCAAAAGAATGTGTTCTAGATATTGTGACATAATAATGTTACGTATAGACACGAAGACTTCAGAAGAAATATTATTCAATAAGTGACAAATGTAATGTAAGCGTAATTTTGTAATTACTGCAAATACTACAAATACTGCAGATAGTGGCAGTATCTGTTGTATTATTCGTATCTTTTTTTCTGAGGTCTTTATGAACTACACAAGATGTTTAGGCTTGGTGAAAGTACTAGAAACGACAAGTTTGATAGAAACTATGATTATTAGACCCTTTTACAAAGAATCAATTTTAGAAAAAACCTATTCACACAAAATCCTCTTTTATACTTCGCGATATCTACAAGAACAGAATCATTGCATCACATTGCAACTTTGTATCGATGAAAAATATCTACAATTTTTAAATTGCAGTATGGTCGTTAAATATATAATAATATACATTTTTTACGATGACTTCACAGTGTGAACGAAACAGTTTAAAGAGTCCGATTAACTTCACGAAAGTAAGTATTTTCAGAGGCACCAGGGTTTGTTTTGAATCTAGCCTGGTCCATGGCACGAATTATTTTATTTTTGTCTGTTTCTTGAGAGAGACCTCGAATTATCTCTCTGGTAACATAACGACGTATATGGCTAATAATTGAGAGGACGATGAAACAAGGGTACAAAACCATATTTCTTTCTCAATTTTTGTTAGGTACAAAATCAGAAGTTGCAATTTTTCTACATAGCGTTAAATGTTTTTTGATTAAAGCACTTTGGCACGGACAAACTGCTTTTGTATTTGTTTACTCATAAATTCCATGTTCCTTGTCAAATACAAATTTTTTTCAATGCAAAAATGCAGCGATACCTTTTTTGTTGAAAAACAATTTGAGTCACATACATTGCATATGTCCTTCCGTTTCCTTCTTTTTATTTTACAAATTATGACAAAAAACAATCGCAACGCTTCTGAATGATCTTACTTTTATATCACAGGAAAGCACCAGAGTGCAATTCTAATTTCCACGTAAATAAAGAAAAAAGCAAGCTTGTGCTGCCAAAAGCCAAAGATATCTGTTCTTTTGCCCTGTTAATTTTTTCACTATTACTTCTACGGTACAAATGAATAATCTCTATAAGAAAAGAATATTTCATAACCTTTTTTTTTTGTTAAGTTATATCGATTAAATTAGGGCAACTTTTTTTGTTTACGATCATATCCGTACGTCGGTAGTAGAGATTCGTTTATACGTCGCAATAAATAAATAATTAAATAATTTTTTTTGAGTAATGGTAGAGATCCGCTTAACTTTTCTCTTAACTTGGATTTCTTTCTTTACGTAGCATCGTCTCGCATTCTACAATATCTATAATATTACACACGATACTTTTTTGTTTTAACTGTACGCATAGTTACCGTAATGATTAAAGTTTAGATCGCTATGAACAGTCAAATCCCCGAAACTCGCAGAGAATCACAATAACATCGTCATTATCTTTTTTATTTATGACTGCATCATTTTAATTGTATGCCTTGGTAGTTTATATTAAGGAACCGCCTTTAAGTTTTGTCACGTGATAGACGGAACCTTAATCGATCGCGAAGGCATTTTCGTTAACGATCTTCTTTACGGGTGCGTTTTTTAAATGTTCTACACTGTTCATCTTTTTCTCGCACTCTCTTTTGATAACTATAAATATTATATAATTTATGTACAACTTTTTTTAAATAACGCCTCTTCTCCATTAGCAAAATATTAGCACCGGGGCCTGAAAACTTTACGTAAATGCTCAGAATGCTGGCCCTTTAGCGCGTTCACTTGTAGAAGCTGAGGACGTGGGGAGGATATATCATCGGGATTGGGATGCATCCTCCTTTTTGTGTATATCCGCGTGCATCAAAGCAGGCTCTAACTGTCGTGTTGGTACTCCAGGTCCAGGCCCTGCTCTATGATGCATGTGTAAATTGCTCAATGGACCAGGACTTGGATCCTTGCTTCTTAAAGAATTTACAGGTGGTGGTGGTGGGTATCCGGCATATAGTTTAGCTCTTTCTTCTTCTTCTGCTCGAAACGCGGCGGCAGCCATCAGTGGATTATAACGTAATTGTTGTAAGGGGTCGTAACGATAATCTCTGAAAGGATCTCCAGGCCAAGGACCGCCTGGTTGACCGGTAGGCGCAGACGGGAGTGGAAAATGTTGCATCGGATGAGCACCTAATCCAGGTAGCATACTTCGTGGCATGGAATGCGGCGCAGGCATAGTATGCGGATGCCTTGCAAGGTATGAATGAGGATGAGGATGATGATATCTCGTGTCAGGCAGTGGACTTGGACCAGGTCCTGTCGCGGACGCCGCTCCAGGACCGGGACCCGGTGGCCGTGGAAGCATCACCACTTCATCGTCTTTGCTTCGTGGCTCTTCTTTAACTCGTACCTCACCAGCATCCATAGGAGCTGATCCATTCCTCAAAGGCGACCGTTCTCGACCTACCACTACATGTTGCCGATTTTGATGAAGCAACCTTTCGCGTTCCATTTCCCGTCTTTCCATTTCGCGGCGTTCTTTATCCCTTCTTTCTCTCTCCCTTTCAGCAGCCTCTTGCTGTTTCCTTTTCTCTTCCTTTTCGCGTTCCCGTCTTTCCCTTTCTCGTTGTTCTTCCCGCTCCCTTTCCTTCTCGCGTCTGATACGCTCACGCTCTCGTTCCCGTTCACGCTCACGTTCTCTTTCCCGCTCTCGTTCCCGTTCCCGTTCACGCTCGCGTTCGCGCTCACGTTCACGTTCTCGTTCTTCAAGCTCGGCTCGTCTGTCGATCGCAGGTGGTTCCGGTTTTAGACTCCACGATACCGTTGTTGGTGGAAAGCCAGTTGATGCTCGTTGTAATCTAAACGTTTTAAAACGAGAACTCGTGATAATCTTTCAACTTTGGAAATTTGTGACACGATCGTTAACAACGTACCCTCTCCATGGATCGTGTACAGAACCCAGCCCACCCAGTGGTGGCATTTCCCTTGATGGAGGAAAAGTAGAAAGGCCAGGGAAATTAGGATTTGGTCCGCCAAACGTTGATGGATATCTTCCAAATGGTGACATTCCTGTCCCTGGATTAATTACAAAATATGATTAGACTCTTCACCTGATATTTTGTACTTATATAGTTACTGCAAGATTACCTAAATGCGAGGCTGGTGTAGATAAGCAACCAACAGGATGAGGTGGTGGTGGTGCAGGATGAGCTGGTGGTATATTAGTAGGAAATGGAGGGGCCATTGGTGGTGCACCTATTCCAAGACCACCTCCTGGTCCTCCTGGATAAAGATGACCCGGTGGTCTCAGTAACTCCGTTTTAGTATTAACAACGCTTCCTGCTTTAGCTTCTGCCTGTTGTTTCTGTTGATGATGATAAATTTCCCAAGCAATGCGCACGTGCATTCGTCTTTGCTTCGTGGCTCTTCTTTAACTCGTACCTCACCAGCATCCATAGGAGCTGATCCATTCCTCAAAGGCGACCGTTCTCGACCTACCACTACATGTTGCCGATTTTGATGAAGCAACCTTTCGCGTTCCATTTCCCGTCTTTCCATTTCGCGGCGTTCTTTATCCCTTCTTTCTCTCTCCCTTTCAGCAGCCTCTTGCTGTTTCCTTTTCTCTTCCTTTTCGCGTTCCCGTCTTTCCCTTTCTCGTTGTTCTTCCCGCTCCCTTTCCTTCTCGCGTCTGATACGCTCACGCTCTCGTTCCCGTTCACGCTCACGTTCTCTTTCCCGCTCTCGTTCCCGTTCCCGTTCACGCTCGCGTTCGCGCTCACGTTCACGTTCTCGTTCTTCAAGCTCGGCTCGTCTGTCGATCGCAGGTGGTTCCGGTTTTAGACTCCACGATACCGTTGTTGGTGGAAAGCCAGTTGATGCTCGTTGTAATCTAAACGTTTTAAAACGAGAACTCGTGATAATCTTTCAACTTTGGAAATTTGTGACACGATCGTTAACAACGTACCCTCTCCATGGATCGTGTACAGAACCCAGCCCACCCAGTGGTGGCATTTCCCTTGATGGAGGAAAAGTAGAAAGGCCAGGGAAATTAGGATTTGGTCCGCCAAACGTTGATGGATATCTTCCAAATGGTGACATTCCTGTCCCTGGATTAATTACAAAATATGATTAGACTCTTCACCTGATATTTTGTACTTATATAGTTACTGCAAGATTACCTAAATGCGAGGCTGGTGTAGATAAGCAACCAACAGGATGAGGTGGTGGTGGTGCAGGATGAGCTGGTGGTATATTAGTAGGAAATGGAGGGGCCATTGGTGGTGCACCTATTCCAAGACCACCTCCTGGTCCTCCTGGATAAAGATGACCCGGTGGTCTCAGTAACTCCGTTTTAGTATTAACAACGCTTCCTGCTTTAGCTTCTGCCTGTTGTTTCTGTTGATGATGATAAATTTCCCAAGCAATGCGCACGTGCATTGCATTCCATTTTCCACTTTTCTATAATTCAAAACATAAATTATAACAAATGCTATGGGTTCACATATTTGTTACATCAGTCAACTATTTCACCTTTGGTGCAAATGATGTTAAGTGATTAGGCGGTACGAAAGGAGTCGAAGGTGGTCCAATTCCAGGATGTAAAAGACCGGTATTAAAACCGGAATAACTAGAAAGATTTAAATTCCCACGAAAAAATGGAGACTCAACACCTCCTAATTTTGGGATATCCTTAAACTAAAAAAGTAATTGTGAATATACTGTTATGATATATACATAATGCATACAAGACTGCTCACTTACTATAGGCGGTGGAAATAACGTTGTTGCAGCTGCAGGTGGAAGTAGAGGTGTGGTGTGTTGATGTACATGAGTGTGCTGATGTTGATGATGATGCATTTCTGTCCTAAGGTAAGGAGGTGGACCTAAATTGCCGACTCCGACTCCAACGTTTCTGTCTTGAGTTGCCAAAAATCTATTGTCAAGCTCTCGCCTTAACAGGTCTGCCTGACCTGCGACATGAGGCACCCCTTGTTTCGGTTAGCATCCCATTCGTTTCGAACGAAGGTTTTACTTTTACTATTTGAGTTAACACAATTGAAGCATAGTTTATAAACTTACTTGTTTGAAAAAGTGATTCGGCAGAGAATGGATTGGGATTGGTCGTTGGCGGTGGTAACGAAGGCAGTGATGTATGTGGACTGGAACTGGAGACGGGAGGTGGTAACGGTGCGGCAAACATTGGTGGAGGAAATGTATGCATTCCAAGTGGAACTGGTGGAGGTGTCGGCCTTGGTACTGATGTTGCTGTTGCTGGAGACAATTGTGACGTTGTGCTGCTACTGCAAATTACAAATTTTTGTAGAGAAAATTTATTTAAAATGTACAGATTTTTCGGTTTCGATTTAATTCATACCCAATCCATCCTTGTGGCTTGGAATAAGCAGGTAGACTAGAATTGGCTGGCGAAGATGTGTTTGGCACACTTACGGGCGTTATGCTACCTCGACTTAAGCTACTGACGTTACTGCTGCAATAAGCAATACCACTATAAGACCACTATAGTGATAAATAAATGCTGGTACATAAATTTAAATTATACCTATAACTCTCCCTTTCTCGATTCGGGCTATGTCCACGGGGGGAATTATTGTTTCTTCCAGTTAAACTGCAGGCTACCATGTCTCTGTGAGCAATAGTATTTGCCGTAGTAACTGTGTTAGTTATCGTAGACACGCATGTCGTAGTGGCAGCACTTAACGGAGTATTATGATTTGTGGTATTATTTCCTACAGGCTGTTTATTTATGTTAGTACACGGGGAAGCTCTACTTCCTCTCTAAAAACAGAGAATACAAATTAAAAGATGAATAATATACTTCCTAAATTTGATATAATTTGATCTTACGAAAACGTGTAACTTACCACCTCTGCCCGTGAAGAAGCAGAATGGGAGGGAGATGGAACCGCAGGTGGAAGGTATGGACTGTGATTGAGAGCAGTGTACGGCGTATAAAGAGGAGGATAAGATGGTTGAGTTTGTGGATAAGCAGCCATGGGTATCGATGGTGGGTAGCTAGTGGTGGTAGCTCCGTTTGATGGTGCTGCTGGGGTAACACCTAAACTTGCTACCGCAGGACTAGTTGTATGACTCGACGAAATAAGTGGTACATTGGGTGGATGTAACGCGGGTATCGTTGTGTGAGGCTGTTGGGAAAGGGATGGAGGTGGCAGAGCAGGGGAAGCTGGCCGCTGTTGAGGAGCTATTGCACGTGGATTTGCTGCCAATGGACTAGTCATCTGAAAATACATATGTTTGAATGTATATTTTCGTATGTAAGAAAGAAACCGAAGAATTACGTTTACTTACAGGTGGTTGGGATATGTGAGGGGGTAATGTAGGACTGGGAGGACTTGGTGCTGTTGGAACTGGCGCAGACGCGGGCACGGGAGGTGGTATAGGTGCCGGAGCATCCGTTGCTGGATTTGAAATTTGTCCACCCGTGTCAGGAGGAGAACCTCCGGCTCCGTTTGCTGGAGGCAAAACGTGTGGCGAAGATGATGGCAATTCGTCTGAAAAATTGACGTTAATTTTATGTATGCATTTAGAATACAAACGAATATTATCGATTTTAACATTACGTACATTTACGTGCAAGGGGTGGTGGGGTAGAAGATTCAAAGAGTATCGATTCAGCATCCGAGCCCTGTAAAACAAATTATTTTTAACAAAGAATTGCTGACTTTTTACCGCGTATTTATCGTATGATTGCTTACCTTATCGTCTTCTCCTTCACTATCACACTATAATAGAAAAATAAAATGACAAAATTATTATAACAGCCTTCAATTTTCATAAATAATATTTTTATTCTCACAACAATGATACTTACGATATAACCTTTACCCGAACTGCAATGACTGCTAGCCTGTAAAACCAATAGAAATATGTTTGAGTTTCAACTTTCTTTTTAACGGTACATATAATATCAATTATATAATTGCTATGTTACTTACATCGCTGAGGTGGTCCCTGGAACTGTCTGCGTCCTGGCAATCCCTAGGTATACCAGGGCCATGCAGTTGTTCAGATGCTCTACCACTATCGTCGCTTGTACCTGCATCTAGGCCCTGTAAAACATATGTAATATATTTATGTACTTCCTCTTTCTGCTATAATATATCATGTGTTCATTTATTGTTTAAGATTTACCTGGTTAAGCGTCGAAGGTGTCAGTATGGAACTGTGTGTATAATGGTTGTGCTTGAAATGATTTTTGATGTGATGCTCGTTGTGTCTATTATTCTGTCCTGTATCCACCTTTGGTTTCTCTTCCACTATTGACAGTAGCGTGTGTAGTTTCTTGACATTATTTTTACCAGCTAACTTTATTGCACTCTGAAATCATAAAAAAGTAATTCAAATTACTATTGTATATAATATGATAAAAAAAGTTAAATACTATTTTTAAAATGTTTATAAAAAGGATAAATTTGTTGTACTATTGTTGAAAAATGGAAGATTTGAGGATATAAGAATTTGAGGATGTAAGATTATGTTGTTAGAGAATTAATGTTATTTACATGAAGCTAAAGATGTTGTTGTAAACGGTATCCTAATAAACGTAACATAATTTTTATACACGATAACTTGGTACAGTTGTTACCACCACGAGCATTAATTAAAATAATTAAATTTCATTCCTTTGAAATCGCGGGATGTGATCATTCGTCGTATCGGATTTACAGCGATATCGGTTGGCTCAGCTCACATTCAACACGTATAAAACTCGAGTAAACCAGAAGAACGATTACGCTGAACGCGTATGGTAAACACTCCACGATTTTCCCACAAATTTATACCGCCTGGTCGTAAACATCGAGCAATTCCTTTTCTATCACTATGAACGCCGATGAATTGTCGGTTCACGTAAGAAGCGCGAGTGAAACTCTGTCGGTGGTGCGCGCACAGTAGAAAAAGTCGTACGAGAACGCCTTTCCGTCGGTGGCTTTAAACCGCGATGTCAGTGCACATTTCTGAACGGGTGGCGCTCAGCCCTCCCCCCACCTCTTTTTTCTCTCTCGGTTTCCCCTGTGTGCATCTAAATACCGTTATCGCGATAAACGTGGTTGCAGTGATTTCGAGCGAAAGATTATCCAGACGGATGTACGTTCGTGATACACCGATTCTCGTTCAAATTCAAGCTATTAAGACAGACACGGGCGTTTGCAAAAGATGACAGCAGGATTCACAGGCAGCACCGTGTCTCGTGTGCGCGATGCAGCGCACGAATAGTGGGGAGAATGAAAGAGGCAGTGAGCGGGGTAATGGTGAAGGGAACGAGAGAGGAAGGGAGGAAGGGGAAGGTAGAAAGTGGGGAGGTTAAAAAGAGAAGAGGGGGACGACGAGGAAGGTAGAGAGGAAGAGCGAGGAAGAAAGAGAAGACATTGACCGAACGAGCAGCCGCGCGACAAGGCCTCCTTTGCCGTGCCAGGCCAGCTGGAAGGAACGAAGCCCGAACCCTGACTTCTCTTTCTCGGCTCTGGGTATTACTTTCCTTTTCTGATAACCATGTACCCACTAACGTTCTTCTCTTTTCTTCTCTCTTTTCCCCCCTCTCCTTTTGTACGGTTGGCTACCAAAGAAACGATGGGAAAAAGCCACTAGAGCTCGCGGTGTAAAAAACTACCACCTAGCCATACTCCACCTGCGCACGTGTGCCAACTGCGAAATGAAACCCCCTAGGATTTGTATCGCGGTCGGATTACATACACTCCGTATCTTAGACGAATTAATTGAATAAACGGAGACTTGAGAATATACATATACAGGAAGTAGTACATAATTATATTACCTCAATATGCGCCCATACACATACATATATTTAGCGTTGAAACTGATACCATTGCCCATATTAAATAATATCGAAAAAGGAAGTGTTAAAAAGTATCGATATCTGTTAGTTCTACGCAAGAATCGATTCTATTGCATACAGTATTAGTTTCATATCGATCGAAGAAAAATCGATATCGATAATTGGTACCAAGTAAAATTTCGATATGTATCGATTCTTTTTATTGAGAACTTTGTTATCGAATCGTTTGGAAGTTATCGATATATTTATATATGTTTCGATATTGAAAAGACTGTTCGATCGAAATAATTTATTGCGAGTACAAGCGAAGTAACAATACTTTTGTTATAAATTAATGGTAAGTAAGCAAATCTTCGACTCAAAAAAGATAAAAGTATTTGGCAGTGCGGGAGGTGAAGTTCCTCGACACGGGACGAGTAAAGGAAGGTCGTCCCCAGACGTGCGGACGTTCCACCGGTCGGCTACTCCGTGCTTTGGCTAGCCGGCTACTAAACTCGTCTGTACAACGTTGCCACGTCTATTCGTTCGGTGTTGACACGATCAGACTCTAATTCAGCTACTACTCACAGTTCGTGTATGCTCAGTCGCGACGTTAATGTGCGAGCCGTATGCACCATTTGTACTGCTACTGATTATCGATAAATTATCAATATCATATCGATACTCCCCGATATATCGAACGTAACATGTAATTCTATTAACATCAATTTATTTTTGTTTAAACTTCAAACATAACCTGATATCGGTACTTAATATGTACACGGTTCGAACAAGTAGTAGATTGACACAATCATATAAATTATTTCAGTCATTTTATGCCATGAAGGCAAACATTCATGGAGTATTTGAAATCGAACATTTTCGCGCGCAATGGCTTCCCACCAATCAGAAGCGTCAAAACTCCCCCATTGAGTTTGACAGCCACGTTTCTTGTTTGACAAATATTAGCGCCAAGATTAAGTATTCTTCATTCTCGTTAATAACAGGCGGATAATAACAGTCATTTGGAGATCTGTTTGACGAAAATTCCGGCTGCTTGCCAGTACCAAATTGACGTGCTGAGCGTGAAACGACGCTGGCCATGGTCCAAAAATTATTCGAAAGTAAACATATATCACGGCAGCATTGTTTATATTCGAAGGTACTGTCTTCGCGTTTCATTTGCTGGTTACTTCAAGCGAAAGAAGTAGCTTGTGGTATTTCAAAACTTTCACTGCGTAAAACCTTTCGTGTAATATCGAATTAACTAAGAAAATATATTGGAAGAAGTAAAAGCAAGTTGCGCAATAAAATTGATTAAAGTGTAATCAATTTCCATTGCTTGTCTCTCTTTCTAGTAACAGTTTCCCATTACATTTTAGGTGTTTATAAAACAGACGTTCGTGAATGTAAAGATGTTAATCAACGGGCGAGAACATGACTAACTCTTGGCAGGAGAGATTCTTATCGGAGATGATGTATTTTAACGCCATTAAGTGACGCAAACTTCGAATGGAATGTGGCGACGAAAAAGAAAAAGAAAATGCAATCAACATTTAAGTGTCAGCGTTCGTGTTTTGTCTAGTTGGTCCAACTGGCCAATAAAGTTTAGTTCTACGAAAACATGTTAGAGGGAGAGGTAGGCTAAAGGAAGAGGGCGGTGTTGCAAGAAAAAACATAAAGATTTAGCGATGTAAATACAACGATAAAGAAACCATTGGCTGCTACATCAAAGCTTGCTTTTTTCATCGATTTACAATATTCCTAGCGGGGAGACACGTTTATTCTACAATAGGTGGAGGGAAATGCATTCCTTTCTTAGGAAAAATGGCGCCCAGTAAATTTTCAAATTTAGAAATTCGAAAGTTGGAATTTTATTAATATGAAAAATGGAAGATTGAATAATATTGAAATTTGTATGTCTGTTTTTCTAGTGGGAGTCTCTGTAACCAAGGAAGCCACCGTTGCACCCGAGTATGCCAAGTACGCGTAATTTAGATGATTTGAGAATAAGTGCCGCCATTATCTCCGTTGTACGATTATTATGGATAATGTCGGTCACGATCACTTCCGCGTGAAAATAATTAGATACAGTTTAGATCAGAAAAATAAAGTAAGTTAATATTTTCAAAGAATGCAAATATATTTTATTCTATATTAAGCTTATCTTTACAGACTGATCTCGTTAATAATTTAATTTCAAACTGGTAAAATTCATAAAGGCTATTAGTCTGAAAGAGTGTCTTTTCCGTGTTAAATTAAAAGAAATAAAACTGGGTCAGCTCACCGTGCAGGTGCACGACTGTTTCGTTCATCATCAATACATCTTTTGTCGTTTTCGAATGCAGTAATGGATAGTGCATTTGTTGCAACATTAATTTTGTATTTCTTCTCAAGAATTTTAATGAAATTTGCATGAAACGCAATTTCTTTTTATAAAGCAAAAGAAGCGGTAATTATAATAAGTGCACTGATACGTGTTTTTATGTTCTAGATGTGGCAAGCAGTAAATTTTGCACGAGTTAACAAGTAATTGGAAACGTGTCGAAATTAATCTATCTGTTACGTGACTGAAAATAAACCAATCCGATGGAACGAGATAAAAAAATTAGAATGCAAATCTTTACGCTGCATTGAGCAGCGTTTTATTTAATTAAGAGCATTATCGTTCACCCAGGTCTCGTTATTGGGGTTTTAAATATATACCGAAAAGCACAGACACGCGATACGAGGACGAGTATTTTCCTCCGTTTATTATTAAAATATTCCGCCTCGTTACGTGACTGCTGATATAGGATACCAATGTATCCTGTAATTCAGTGCGCGATAGAATTATGTATTCGTCGGTAATCGAACGAATTACATATTGCCTTCGAGTGTTTCATTAATTAGCGTAAATCGAGCAATGTAAAATCCAAGCAGAGGTCCAACAAATTCGTTGTCTTGCATTTCCGTGTCCATCACTTTTCATCTTTATAAGAAATTTTTTTATGCTAACCCTTTGCGCTCGAGAGGTGACTCATTATATTTAATGCAATAATTTTAAATAAGATTCTATAACATGACACGTGTGATAAACATAGTGAAACAAACAATAGTGGAAATCATTAGTAAAGAAATAACCTCAAGAAAATTCATTTAACTTTTTAACTAGTTTTAAGTTTTAAAGTTGCTGTTTGTAAACAAATTACCTTCGAGTGCAGAGGGTTAACACTTGCAAAAAGACGCTGTTTTCTTTTAATATATATGTAGCTTTTTATGTACACATTTTGGTGGACATATTATGAACACATTTTGACCCACAGTAAAGTATGAATGCACTAAATTCGAGTGAAGAAAATAACAGACAAAAAGCTAGAATTTTACGTAATGTTGATTCGATTAGAGTAGGAACATAAATCACGAGAGATAAAGATCGCCAGAGAAAAAGCAACAAAAAGTGGATAAATCTCTTGCGGTCGTCCACGCTTGAACACGTGGAAACAATTGTTCCAGCTAGTGTCAAGGTAACGACGGTTCCCCTGTTGCAGGTATAAACGCGAGAAAAATCGTGAGCGTGGAAAAAAAGCAAGAGAGGAGAAGGAGAGGAAACGGGACAGAAAAATGGGTCGCGAGTCAGTTTTGCTAGATGGTGATATGTCTAGCGCGACCATCTCGGAACTCTCTCTGGTCGATTTTCAGCGACGGTGAATATATCCGAGTGAAGGTAGGCGCGCATTACTGGTTCAACTCTCTGTTGACGGATCACGTGGCAGATTTCAGGCAACTCCGTTGGCACCGGCGACCGAGCTGATTTATTGAGTGGCGCGGCGTTGCTGACCTCACCCTCGGTACGGCTAACGACACCGAGAGTTCTCTTGGTCAATGCAGGGCAGATCAAGTGCCCGCCAAAGAACGCACCGATGCGGACACTGATACCACTTTCAAAATTTACAACTATGAAACAACTGATATTCTAATATTTTTGTAATCATCATAGTCAGAATAATTTAATTTAGGTAATTTGTAAATTATAAAATTAATAATATGGATGGATTTTTGTTAGTCACTGCTACGTGTTAATGGTACTAATGTCAGCTATCTTCGAGCATCAGATAAACACATGTTCCATTAAAATCCATTTTCATGTTTCAGTCATTTCCATTGTGTGCAACAATGTGCGAGTGAGTCATGCTGCACTAGGAGTGATGCTCGTGTGACATTACGGTCACGCGTATCAAGCATTATTTGCAAATGATTGTAACAAGTTACACCGGTTTACGATTATTACAGTTCAAAAGTGGCCATCGCTTGAAACAGGGTCAGAAATATACTTTATACAGTACGTCAAATGTACGGCGTAACGTGAAGAATTTAATTCACGGAACCAATGTTTCCCTATCTCCAGAATCAACGATTAATCAAGACAAGAGTAATCAATGTTTAATTCGGTAACACTTATCTTACGTTGTCAAATAATCCAAATTTCTTGTTGAGAAACAAGATATTCCTCATTCAAGACTGATACAGAATTGTTTTGCAAACATGTAGTTTGTGAAAAATATATCAGAAAGGTAATTATTAATAGACCCTAACACAAACAGACTAAATAGAAGAATAATATTATAATAATAGAAGTAATGTCTTAAGTATACTACAGAGTAAAATCTTTTGTAGGTGCATCTTGTGAAGCAAGCAGTGAACGATGAACTTGTTCCATTGTAACCGAATACCCTCACAGCAATTGTGTCTGTCGTGCGAAAACACGTATTCTTACGTAATCATATGGTGACACTGACCTCACTCTAAATCCATAAGTGGCTGTTAATTATCGAGTGGCAACGATTTCAACGATTTCAACGACGTGGGAAAAACGAGGGTAGGTCGAGGGGTGGAGCGTATGAAGGGGATGAGACAGGAGGAGGGAGAGCCGATAGAGAGTGGCCCGCTAATCAGTCCGGTCGGATATCGCAATATGTGGGATACGGTCGGTTGATTCTGAACAGGACGAGTTTACCCTAACGTAATTAATGTTCGTCGTACAATGTGACGTGTAACGACAAATTCGATCGACGTCACAAGCTGGAGAGACGTTTCGAGTGGATATGTTACTATATGAACTTCTATGTACTTTATCTGAGCACAAGGCTTACGTTGATAGAACATTTAGCGCGTTAACACATTGACTGCCACAAACAATTGAAAATTGCATTAAGTAGTTTTAATTTTTAATAGATTTTTAATATTCTCATGATATCTTATTATATTTCTTTTTCATAGATCTATGTAATTAATGCAAGAATTATAAGTGAACAAATTTTTAATAATATGTTAGATCAGTTTAGCAACTTAAGTGGCAGTCAACGTGTTAAAATAAATGGCGATGTACACCTTGAAGCTAGAAGACATTGGTGACAGAAATATTTTCTAGTTTAAAATTTGGAACCTTGGGAATTTAATCTCCCTTTAAAGCTAGTAGCTTCTTAAGTATCTTAGCTTCTTTCCTAAGTGCCATGTAACAACGTCATAATATTTTCAGCAGTCTGAGATATTCGTGATGTAGTAACAGACTTGTTTTTAGCCGAATCAATTATAAATAAACGTCCTATTAAGAGCGTCGTGTATTTTCAGATTCCATTCATCGCATGCATCTCGTTCATGAACGACTAAGTGAATTTACAACGGGTGAATTAATGAAGCGTACGCGCGTTAATTCTTCTTTTGTTTCACGCGTGTGACCGGTTAGGTGATGTTTAATTGGTAGAGTAGGCACAGAGTGACCCGATTGTTTTGCGGTCGCTTTCCTGTGGTTGATATAGTTCAAAATGATTACCAGGGTTCCAATAATTATTGTATCATAAGGTGACGTTCTAAAAAATGTTTAGAAATAATTGGAAGGTAGATATACAATTTTAAAACAGATTACTATTAAAAATAGTTATATTACAATTAAGAAAATATCCAATAATTGTTGTATCATAAGAATTTGATGACCCAAGAAAATAGAAATAATTGAAAAATATATATACAGTTTTAAAACAGATTACTATTAAAAATAGTTATATTACAATTGAGGAAATATTTAATAATTATTGTATCATAAGATGGATTTGATGTTCCAAGAAAATATTTAGAAATAATTAAAGAATATATGTATACAGTTTTAAAACAGATTACAATTAAAAATATTTATATTAAAATAGAGAGAATAGTTTACAATTGAAAATAGTTTACAATTAAAAATAGATATACAACATATAATTATCTTGATACAAGTAATACAAGCATGACAGTCTTCCTTCTTAACAATTTCTAAACATGTCTAACTGCAAATATTTATGTAATCATATCATGTTTGAGATATCTATAATAGCCATCTTTAAAAATTGTGAACAATTTTAGTCCGAACAAATTGTGAAAACACATGCTATTACAATGTTTCAATCAAGTAGCCAGTGATCATTCAAATTAGACTCACTTGTTTCAGAAGCTAGTGGTTGGTGGTTCGAGGATCATTTTTCATTTATACGCTCGGGGGTAATGCGTACCATTGAATGTCGCTAATTACTCATACAGGAGAATCAACATCTTTTTTCTGAAGAGATAAATTAAACGTTCACGATGCTGGACAAGATAATTAAGTATTGCGGAGTACGGTGTTACGTACACGATAATAATCTCTTGCCGCGTGTCAACGCTCACTTGACCCGACGTCTTTCTCTGTGTAGCCCCAAGAATGTGAGAACACCAGGAGTTGAGGAACGCATTGGATAAGAAAGAACCTATGGTATAAGGACACTCAACCCGGGAGAGGTCGAACGTTGCCAGACGAAAGCATTTCCCTGCTGCAGAATTCGGAAGAAATCACTGACATTCTTCCGTGAAAGGATATTTCAGAAACTCAAAAATCCACTGCAAAAATAAAAGAACTCTAAATCCTTGAATTTTAAAATTCGAGCGCTAATAATCTGTTTTAGATTAAGAGTTAATTATCTGGTCATCGTTAAAACGGGAACCAGTCATACTTCCAATTCAGCAAAATTATTTATAATGGGTAAGATCCTAAAACAGCTGACGAGGCAATCTAAAATGTTAAACTAAGTTCAAGCATTTTCTCATATTTGTTCCACTTTCAGAACCGCTTAGACGACAGGATTCCCAAATCGGGTAACGCAGTGTAACCGAGTGAAATTTGCATTTTATCATCGCGAACAGGAAGCGTGTCTTTAAAACATGGCCATCCCTTTCAGAGGTGTCCGTAATAGGAACATTAAAAAAAGGGTCTCTTTTTCTTCCCACGGCTTTTCATAATTAGTCGATCGTGCCGGTAGATGCGTATCGTCGTCTCTCCACTAATTGTTTGACACCGAATCGTTGCCGTTTATATTTCAAATCGCTTCTTGCTCCTTCGGAGAGATAACAAGGCATCTAGCAAGTGTGAACACTGGTTGATAATTCACTTACAGCCAGCTAACGATTTCTCACATTTAATTAGCGAGAGATTGCGAGACATTGTATCACAGGGTGAGAAGTGCTCGCTGAGCAAAAAGATTCTTTTTCCTTCGCTCCAAGTTTTATAATTAACCCTTTAGGTTGAGTATCGTTAGCATCAAAGATATTAATTTTAATAATGCAACGATGACTTGTACGGCATGAGAACTTTATATTGATTTTAATAGGCGGAACTGCTTTATAATTTATGCCAAGTAATTTCATGTTGACTGGATTAATTATCCGTCAGATTTGATACTTTTTATTTCTTAAACAAATTTAATGTATAATGTTATGATTGCTGTACTTAATTTTTGTCTTTCAGATAAAAGGCTTAAATCTTGATGGGAGAAATTATTTTACTTTTCTGAATGAGATGCAATCATTGTAACATTTAGAGCAATCTGCAGGTAATAGTGCAGCTTAATAATATATATAGTAGTTAATAATATAATAATTAATAATTGATAAAAGCCTCAAATCTTGATGGAAGAAATTATTTTACTTTTCTGAGTGAGATGTAATCATTGTAACATTTAGAGCAACCTGCAGGTAACAGTGCAGCTTAATAATATATATAGTAGTTAATAATATAATAATTAATAATTGATAAAAGCCTCAAATCTTGATGGAAGAAATTATTTTACTTTTCTGAGTGAGATGTAATCATTGTAACATTTAGAGCAACCTGCAGGTAATAGTGCAGCTTAATAATATATATAGTAGTTAATAATATAATAATTAATAATATACTAGTTAATAATACAATACTTAATAATATAAGGTTAAAAATATATCCAACAAGTGAATTTATAAACCAATCATTCCAGATGTCCGACAAGAACAACGAACTCCAAATGAAGAATTCAAGCAGGAAGAATATTGCATTTCAGCCGACTGGATTGATAAGCGAAGATCTGGCATTTCCTGCTAAAGCGTTCGCCACCAGCCTTTACAGCTGTTGTGCACCGTCCAGAAGCTCAGGTCGGATCGCGAACCCGTTCAGGAACAAGAGGGACCGGTTTAAGCGGTTTACGTCGTGGCTACTTTCTCCGTGACAATAACAATGCACTTTGTGCCTCGATAATGCACCGAATGAACAAGTAAACAACAAGTATGTCTCAAATGTCTTTCCCTTTTTTTTGTTACCATTGGAATGCCTCGGATGAGATTTATGCAACTCCTGCATTGAAAGCATGTTGTTTAATGTATTTATGAATTAATCAGTCTATTAACACTTTAATTGCTAACATAGATAACTAGGTAATTTGTAGTTGATCAGACTGATCTGTTGGGAAGATTACTTGGTTAATTTGTATTAGTTTATAATAGTGTATAGAGTAAATATAATAATAGAGAATAATGGAGTAATTAATATTACAAATTTGTCTATTTCAGAAAAGTGAAATTTGAATATCTAAAGCAACAGATGAATCTTCGGTTAATGAAATCAAAGTAATACAGTTGAAATCAAGGTAATGAATATTGCTTAGTGGTACGACCACTATCTAATCATAAGTAACGTTTCTTTCACCATAAAGTTCACGAAATTAACTGCCAATTTTATTTTAACAAGTTTCCAAATCTTTCAGGTTAAGAAAATATGTGCACCAGTGCAAAATCTCGAACAGAAGCTAGGTTGCCTTTATCTATCAACGAAAATTATAGCTCGTTAACGAAGACAAGGAGCGTGTCAGTCGGTATATGGTATCGCGGTCTACGGTAAAAATAACGATTAGTGGTTGCGTCCGCGATAAATCATGATAAAAGGTGCTTGTACCGAGAAACAGTTTTCGTTGCTTCGCAGACGCAATCTACAACACTGTGGTCGCACCTTCCCCTTCAAGCTCCAAGATATTAAATTTACGTTTACGTCGATAAGGTTTACAGAGTAATTAAAAACGACCTACGAAATCACTAGACATGATCATACTGCTTTCGCTCGTGACATTGAAGTAAAATCGTACACACTGAGTTTTCTTAGCTTAATACTCCTTTAATCAATGTATCCACTTGGCACGCGTTGTGTAACCTCGCATCAAAACGTACTAAAAGTATATGTAAATAGAAGTACATCAATTCAAATGCTAACAAATGTGCATATCAGTCATACAACCTACTAATCTCGTATGGATACATTAGCTGGTAAACATGTATATTCCTTGACTTAACATTTCAAAGCGGAAGGAGATGCTATATAATATTTTGAAGGTTGTGTTTTATTAGGTACTAGGAGGAAATGAGTTTTTTATGTATGTTATAATTAAGAAACTACACACAGAAATCTTGTGTTTACAATACTGAAAGCAGCTAAATTGTTGTTCAATTAAGACACTAAAAGGGTACAAAGAAAATGTAACATAGTGTAGTTTGGTATTTCAAATACTTCTCAATGTAAACGTTTTTATCTAATGGTTATTCGAAGCAGTATGATTGATCGATTTTCCTAAACATTATCAATTAATTGTTTGGAGTGCTTCAAGGCTTAAATTTTTGCTTATCTACCTGTATCTATGTCGTACGATAAGATTTGCAACAGGAAATTTGTTGAAAATCTTATTTTTCTTTTCAGAGATAAATCCCAGTGGAGAATTGATACCATGAGATTATTGTGGGGTTGACAGAGTAAATAATGGAATCTGTAGAAAGTTTAACTACAAGTATACTCTGGTAAGATCAAGAAGTTCTCAGAAAATCCAAAGGAGAAAAAAAATACTGTGAGCATTTTATTATGATTTAAGGACCTTGTTCAACAAGTTATCTATAAAGTAATTGAAAAAGTAATTTGAGCCGTTTCGCAGGACACGTTCAATCCACTCTCGAAACATTTAGAAATATGATCCCCTAATTATTTGGAGCTACATGGAAAAACGTAGGAAGAAAAAAGGAGGAGTTAGGCGACTCGCAACATCGCGCATGAAACCGCAACACTAAGTCTCGTATTACATTCGCAAGGTCTCGTATCGTTATGATGCAAATTTATGTTGATACCAAGAAACAAAAAAAAGAATGCCACGAACATGCGAATGTTTTACGTTATCATTAGTTTGAGCGTTTAAACGACTTATTCCCTAAATATGCAAACTAGTTTCAATATTCAATTACTTCATTCGAGATTGTTCAATGTACTACGCGTTAGTGTCGGATAAAATTTGTTATTAAAATCTGCTCGAAAAGCAATTCAATTCACGTACACGGTCCGCGCACAATGATTTTTTGTTTGCAACAGCAAGCAAGTAATGCAACCTGTAGTTAAAATGTTCGTAAATTAATCTTGTCGAATCAACGTTGCAAAGTTAAAACGCTGAACCGTTTAATTGCACCAGCAGGCAATTTAACCTAATTGGTTTTTATTACTCTTTTCGAGCAATATTTCTAACTAGCTGAACGAACGACTATGTACGTATCTCGTGCAAGGATAATATAATTTTGAAAAACCCATTTGTTTCTTAACACGTTGAAAGCTGCTAGTAATCAACATCACAAAATTAATGTACTCTAATAATTCAAAGAAATTAAATAAGAATATCATGGTCTGAATACGTATGGCAGTTAAGTACTTTGAGCATTCTTCGCTAAAAGAAATATTAAGCTTTTATTAGGTTATGTTAGGTTTCACATTTGTTGCAGAATACTGTCTGTACAAAAATAAGATATACGGGGCGGGAAAATTTTCACGCGTAATTACCAAAAAATATTCGTTGCAGGTCGAACAGCTTACGGTTTTAAAACGCGATCCTCAACAACATACACACAAGGGACAACGATGGCACGGTGAAAAGAACAGTTGTTGGCCGAGGTGGGTCGCGGGTGAATGGAAGCTATATAAAACCGAGTAAAAAGGCGCAAACGAACAAACTACAAATTGCTCTAGCGGCCGTTTGGAAGAGTAAGGATAAAGTTAGAGGTAGAGGGGACACGGCTTAAACGATTGCTCGTGTGTAAACAAAAATAATCCTGCAATTACCTGAAAGTAGGAAATCCTAAGACAAACGGAAACCGTAATGTCCAATTGTCAGTGTAATAGGTAATACGTAGTTACATTAATATCATTATTATTAATATCTGTATGCAATACAAGAGCTGTTAAAGGCCTATGCCAAATGTTAATGAATTACGTAGAATATTTCACAAAGTATTAAAATTGTTAAAAAAATATTTTTACAAAAGGTGCACGATATTAAAGGGAACATTATGTGATATAAATAATTCGATTCTCGCAAAAAGTGTGGATCCATTTAGAAAAATTAACGTGACCTTGAATTTGTCTCCACTGCACCCACATAAAAATTATTTATATCACACGACGTCTTCCTCTACATCGTACAACTTTTGTAGGAACATGTTCTTAATAACTAGAATTGCTCAGGAGATATTCCACCATTTTCAGTTTAACGAAACAGCCTGTATACGAAAACATGGTCGGCAGGAGCGAAGGGTGAAAAAAGACGGTAGTCCACGGGAAAGGAGAATCGTGTAGTAGGTCTACGCTGATGCACGCGCATATGTATGGTAGTAACACAAGCATGATCCGTCAACAGATGCAACGCCGCCTAAGTGAATCAGGAAAGTCTTCTGCGGAGGGAGAGTAGGTAGACAGTGACAGGTAAGAGGATAAGCGAGGTTTTACTGCAAAAGATCAAATTGAAAAAATAAAGGAGATCCAGTTAGAGAAAGAAAAGCAAGCGAAAGAAATATCGGTATTACCTCAAGTTCCTCGTAGGTGCGGAAGGCGAGTATGGCAAAGCCGTCGATAATGTCCTCCTCGAAGGGAGGCTCCTTCTGGTTGGCAGCCGCGAGGGAAGACTTCTTGCGAGGCCTCGGGGGTCGCGGTGGCCTGGGCGGTCGCGAATGGCTGTCACGAGGATGACCGGTCCTGGCGAGTCCGAGGCCAAGACCGGCGGCGGGGTCCTCGTCCTCGCCGCTGTGGCTGTCCTCCTCGTCGTTTGGCCGTTGCCTCGACTGTTGCTGCTGTTGTTGCTGTTGCTGTTGCTGCTGCTTCGCGGTGGCCAGGCTCTCCCTCTGCGCCAACATACGCTGGGCTCGCTCTCGTCTCCGATTCCTCTGGTTCCGTTGTTTCGCCTCGATCTCCATGTCGAGGGAGACGCGGTGTTCCCTTGCCGAGGGCCGTCGTCGCGCCCTACTACGAGGTACTCGTCACCTCACGATCGAGGAGGTGGCTTTCAGCGCTTCAGCTTCGAGGAAGCCGAAGAAGTAAACGAATCCAGGAGGAACGAGCACGACGAGGAGGAGAAGGATGACGAGCAGCGTCGTATCGCGGTATCGTCGAGCATTCCTACGGGTCGTCTTTGATGCTTGTTCAGCGTGACAGAGAGGCAGAGAGACGGGGAAACAGGAAAAACAGAGAATAAGCGAATAAAAGAGACAGATGGCGGGGTAAGAGAAAGGTGGAAGGAGCGTGAGTAAGAGAGCACACGCACTGCCTTCGAAACACACTCTCACGGGACGTTTACCGTCCTGACACCGCGCATCTAACACCGTTTTGATTCACCGTGTTGGCGTGTTCCAGGTATCAGCGTTCTATGGCAATCAGCGCGAATTCTCGTCGGGAAAAGACGTTCGAACGGTCACACGGTGTCACATCGATCGCGCTGGCGAGGAAGAGGAGAGAGTCCGGTGCGTGGCGAGGAGGCACGCGAAACACGCACGCAGGGCGGACTGACGGAGAGCGACGCACGGAGAGAAACGGAGACACTGGCACAAACGGCACTATCATCGGCGAACACACTGCGGGATTATCACGAATCACAGGCACGCTCGAACAGCTCCATTCGTATTCCGACCGATCGGCTGTTCGAGTTTCTTTTTCGCCATCATCACTATCGTCATCGTCGTCGTCGTCATTGCCATCGTCGTGTTCGTTATCATCGTTGTTCTTCTTTTCTTTCTCCTCTTCCTCCACGTCGTCCTCGTCGACGTCCACCACCAGCACTGCCGGCTTTCCCGAGCTGTCCCGTCGTGCTCGTCCCAACAAATTCCTCCAGCTCCTTTCGAGGATAAACTGGCACGTATTATCGTTGCTCGACGATGCCTCGACCAGTCGTCGTGGCTAGAGGCACCCTGAGAGGGCACGAAGTACACCGATTGTTTGGAATGGCGGATCGAACGGGCACGCACGGTTGCCGCATCGTGTGGTAAAAATGGCCGCGACCTGCCTACACCGTGCTCGCAGTCTCGCACCTCTGTAACGTTGTCGTCACGGGACGATGACGCGTATTCCGCACTGCCACCGGCACATCTTTGATTCGCAGCCACCAGGGAAACCGACCAACCTAGCACACGCCCCGAATTACGCGTGGACGACGCGATCTCTCCTCTATGCGCTGCTGCTGTTCTCGCTGCTGCTAGCACGGCTATGCATTTCTGTCATCCGTCTATCTGTTTCCTTTCCTCTCTACCTTCTGTTCGTGTTCTCTCTTACTCTTCTACTGCCTTCTGTTCACTATCTCTCCCTTCCACTACGACGTTGTTTCTCTCTTGATACAACGACCGAGAACATGGCGTACCTATGCTTCAAAGACGGACATACGAACAGGGATACGCTCGATGTGTTCCCTTTGCCTGGGGTCGTGCCTCTGTTACACCGCTCTGTTCCCCTCTCGCATGCTTTCTTTACTCTAGTTACTTTGTTTTTGTCACTAGACGGTTGTTCGTAGCGCAACCTATATACTCGAATCGAAGGTGATTCTTTATGTCGCAGTGCGCGCCATTTCCGTTAGTTGGCGCCACTTGCTGCATCGTCATAATCGGCGGGTAAGAAGTGTCTACAGGAAAAATTTCGATTCGAAATTGTGATATTTTCAAGGATATACGGAACAAGATTTTATCTCTAACCACTGACAGATTGACTTTTAATTGGTAAACCACTCTCGTCTTTCTTTAATATTAAAATATTGTAGGTAGAGTATATTATGGATGTGCAACGGGAAAAAAATTAGAACATTTAATCACAGGATACTTTGCTACGATTCTAATAAGTAGACAGATAGTTCATGTTTTGCTAAGAACAGATTGCTCTTATATTTTCTTCGACGTTTGTTTGTGGCGCTCTATTCGAATTCCACTTAATGATTCATTTTACGATTATCAATTATACATGGTTCAGAAGGATGAAATAGGTAATACGGACTTTCTTTTAATCGTTAACTTTATTTTCTCTTTGATTAATGATATCATAACTCTTCCAGGGAATGGAAACGCAAGAATTCCTGGAAAAAAGCCGCCTCGATGCATTAGACCGGCGCACCTGCAAAGGCGCGCCTCTTTTGAACCAGTTCACGGGACCAATTATGCTCGCCTCTGGCAAACTTGTCTCACCGTATCTCGTCGTTGATTTTGTTCGACCGCTTTTGGCGATGGCCACGTTTCCAAATCCTTATAGGTAAGGTTGCTTGGTTCCCAGGTCACGTGCTCCATCTTCTTGCTTACTTACATACATATGAAGGTCTAACGTATCAACATACTGTCAACGTATCGTCAACCGTCAGTGTATGGTCAATGTTTTCTTTCATGACCACTACTCTGTTATAGATCATAGTCTGAACGAGGTCGAACACGTTTTCGCTTTTTAATTATATGGGTCTTGAATTAGTATGAATGTACTATATGATGTAGTACTGCAAGTTTATACTTTCCTAATATGTGCACTCTGCTTTATATAAAATAATGAATCTGTACACCGATAGGTTGGATTTTTATCTTCCCTCTGTTGCAGGTAAACGAGCAACGTATCAAGGAGTTATATCGTATCTAGGATACGACTAAATTACTAAATGCTGTTAACCACGTTATTGCACCACTGTATCGTTCTCGCAATTTCTGCTATTGACATTGGCATGATTGCTGAGGCACAGTCGGTAATACGGGGACCAACGACGCGTGCTTTGCTCCAAGGATACTACAATCTGTATATAGAGAACGAGATTAGCGCCAAGGAAAACCAGGATAATGAGATTGCGGAGGGAACGTTTGCTCGACATTCATTGCTTTCGAATTTCGAATGCGTAAATAGTATTTCTTTTTTCCCTTATTATTCATTATTTTATATAACTCACATATTGTTATTCAAGTGTCTTTGTGACTTGATTTACAATTAAATACTTAGTATTCTCGTGCTGTTCTAGATGCTTCTTTTTACCTCGTTGCATCTTACATAAGCAGAATGCAAAATTCTTTGAACGAGAGTACTTTTAAATCGTGCAACCACGTCAATAGCGCCTATTACGGCTTTACTGTTGACTGTAAACAGAGCGCATCGATTGAGTCATAGAATCTGTGGTTAATGTTAACGATAATTATAAGAACGATTGTAATCGTTCAACCGCAACGGTAGTATTAGCGAAATCAATGAACGTTGATTTTTTAATGTATGCAAACTCCTTTCCGCTTATTTCTAGACAACCTTTTTTGGACACCGGACAAGGCACACAGATATTAAGATATGATATTTTGATTATGTCCACGGATGAATCACTTCACACGCACGCGATATAATGTTATTCACTTGGAACCTTGCATTTGCATATTAACGACCTCGAATGTTAAGAACTGGTCTCTGAAAATGCACCTCCTTTCCAGATACAGTTTTCACGATAACCCATTTTAGGATACGCGACGCAAATCTTATTAATTATTTCACTTTACCTTGCTACAGGGTTATGTTACTATTTTACTATTTCATTATGCAATTGCACTATCTTGCTAACCGATCATGTAACTAGTGTTACTATCTTTCACTTGTTCGTTTAATTCAATCGTAGATCAGGTTCTACTAGATTACATAATGGCGTCTTGTGATTGAAACACTATTCTACTAGTTTCAATGATAACCATGCAAAAAGTTATTTACCATATATGTAACATATCGTGATTCATGTTTGTAGGACGCCTTATTAGGATTCACATCTTTTGAATATATTGACGAATCTGTTAGAATATTGCGAGATGACCTGCTGACCAATTTCGTCGAATCATGTCCTCGATTCTTGTGACCACATCCCTTACAAGCATTGTCCCTGATTGGATCGTTGTCCTTCCCGCGACAAAGGGATCCTACAGCCTTATAGAGGTACCATTCAATGGTTACTAACAATAAACATGATTCAAGTGCCTGACTTATCAAGGCTATAAAAATTTCTTCTTGTAACAAGTTCTATTTTACAGGTATCTGAATATTTTAACTGAAGGGATATTCTGTCAACTGTACACCTAGAGAATACAAGAAAATAACCTATAAAAAAATGGAAGCTTAGAAAATCTATAGAGTACCAGAACTTTGGGACACTTAAAGAACTTTGTAAAGTGTGAACCTTAGGAGATGTATAGAAACCCAGAAGCACTTTGAGGCACTTAAAGAACTTTTTAAAGTTTATGAAACTTTAGGAAATCTAGTAGATTATAAGAACTGTAAGGAACCCTATTTAAGAGATCCTAAACGTTGAGTATTATGATCACAATTAAGTTGAAATCCTAATTTGTAGTTTGTCAAGCCACCCGAGGGACGTAGGTGTTAATCTATAATCTGGCAATCCGTATCGCAGATTGCCCATAGAAAGAAAGTATCAATCCCTGCAGGATTCCAGCTTGATCTCATCACTGCCGATAGTTCGGCCGTGCTTCGTGCTGCTCCGGCGATCTTCGTCTCCCACTGGGAGCCCGATGCTGGCGGATCAGTCAGAAAGCGCTCGACGGACGGACAGTATCGTGTGCGCTGGCCACGACAGCATGCGCGGGAATTTTGTTTGTCGCTCGTTCCACGATCGTTCACGCGACTTGTTTGTCACTCGACGGTGACAATAATCAATTAATACCTGGTGCACGTTCAAGTTCTGTAGAAGCGAAAGAACACGAAGTCGTTTGATCCATTGAAGGATTTAAGATCAGCGTCGATACAGAATCAGGTGAATGTAAACACGATTCCTTTCCTTTTTCACCGACCATCCTTCGCATTGTCCGGGCATCTTATCTGTAGCAGTGCCTTCTTTCATGCCTCGTTCGAAAACCGCGTGTACTGGCCGCTCCATCGGATAGCTTTTTCCTCGAGGATGTTACGAGACTGGCATTGTCAGCTTCTTACGTAATTCACCGTGCAACCGATGGGAATCTTCCCAGTGCATCGGGTGTAAAGACACGTTTACAGTCCGCTGTTTTTACCGCCAACGAAATTTGATTTTCCACGATTTCATCGATGACTCGCGGTCTTGCGTTCACCAGGCGATTGAGAGATTGAATTACAACGTTCCACCGGCGATAAATTGATGAGATATCTGGTACAGGAGGTTGAAAACAGTGGAATAAGTGTTTTTCCTTGACTTATGAAACGGTCATTTGTGTCTTGCTGTTAAGGCTGCTTTTATTTTTTCTTAAACAAATTCAGCAAACAATTTATTAACTCTTTAATATACATGAAGTCACTAAAGCCAATATCATTAATAATAAGTATTATAATTATATAACAGTGATATTTATGATATTAAAAAAAGGATCTTTGTAATCACAGCTATTATAATTATATATTTTAACAGTGATATTTATGATAGTAAGAAAAGAATTTTTGTTTGTAAGCTGTATTAGAATGATAGTTTTTTGTAAGTGACAAACACGGAAAACGTGGTATTTATAAATTTGCCGCGCTTATTATTTTCTCTCAAAATGGCGACGTCCTTGTCGAGGTCACGTGTCCATCGCATTGCACACATACCGCCCACGAGTGTCCACCTGTTTTCCGATTGCTCTACTTATCTGTCGCTTTTCGTTTCTCAGCCATGCATTTAAATCGCTGACTCGGTGATTTAAACGCCGTTTGCGAACAATTGCGTTCTCCATACTTGCGAACCGCGGCAATTTACGATGCGATTTTAACGTTACGCTCTTAATCTGCGGAAATAGTTCTTAATTAGGTATTTAACAAAAATAGGTACAGACTCTTTAATTTCATTACGAAGAACCTCTAATTATTATTAATGATATTGGTAAGATAAACATCTTAACAATCACGTATTTAATTTGCATAAAATTTTAATAGGTAAAAGATGTTTGACGCTGGTAACTTGTTAAGGAACTCGACGTATATATTCGTTTGACGACGTAAAAGAAGCACGTGACAATCGAGAAGGTTCCTGTGACAATAGAGCAGAAAAATGTCCTCCGATGGATAGTTTTTACTGGTTTCATCCGTTGTACCGGCATGACGCATCTCTGACGTCACGCGCATATCCAATGAGATAAAAGTCGACACGGTCGTATATAGAATCGTCGCGATGCCAGCGTGATGTCAATACGAATCGCACCTGCTTTTCAAATTCCTCATCTCTGCTTTTACCACGTGTTAGACTTATTGGCATCACTCACTGTGCTATGCAGAAACCCTCAATATTTTAACTTAATTCATTAATAATTTAACTGTATTTAATTCATTTAAGCTTCTGCATAACTTAACCTAATAATGATCGGTTAATCTTGTCAACTGATCATTCTATGTCACGTGTTACACTATATAATTTGATCGCCACGTGTTGCGAGTTAAGAATTTATTACGTTCCTAAATATTTCAAAATCGGACAATCGATCGAAATAGCGTTGATTTGGTTAACACAAGGGTGAAATGATTTTTTCCTAGCCGTTATTGCAAGACGTTATAAAGCGTAGATTCTAGGGGAGGAAAAATGGAGATACATACGTACCTGTTCCAGCCAGAACGGGGAGAGCCCGTGCGTAATTCCAACCGCAAGGACGCGAGTGTTCAATGGCGTAGGCTGACACTTTTCCCTCTACTGTGCAATTTTCACGAATGTTCTAAACCACATGGAATTTGAACCATATTCCTTAGGTACACATTTAATAATACTCTTAACTGTTCATTACCAATAACAATTAACTGTACACATTTAATAATTACTTAACTGTTCACAACCTAGGTGTAAACTTTTGTCAATTACAAGTGGACCTTTTGCCTTTGATCCTGGACACCTTCCTACAGCAAAGCCTTTACCTTTTTAAAGTGTGAACCTTAGATGGAACTTGCTAGTGAAAAGGTTAATAATTAGGACACTGGTACACCATTAACTCTTACAAATTAAATGAACTCTTTTGTGATCTTGAATGATCTCATACTGGAAGAAACTCCATGTAATCTGGACTCTAAGGAATCTAGGCAAAGTGTAGACACTTCAAGTGTAATTACTCCATGAATTATAATTACAAAGTGTTCAATTATAATTGGTAATTCAGATCTTTTATTCAGTTAGATTGTAATGCACAAATCTTGTAGGGATTGGTAGCTTTGTAGCGAGTGCCTAGGTGCGCGGGAACCCCAAGGGTTAAACGGTAGAACAAATACGCCACTGTGATCGGCAACTGGTCGTACGTGGCGCACGCGTGTCTTTAACCATCTCGATATCGTATCGCAGCCCATATCGAGGTGGTCGCGACCACAGGCCCGCGTGCCACTGCGGCCTTCGACTTCCATGCAGAAAAGAGCGTCCTGATGAATTATTATGCCCCGCCTATGCACGTATACACGGACGTATGTGGTCGTGATTACGTTACAAGCGTTAAATAGGTTGCATCTTCTTCGTTCGCTACTTGCGTCACTTTTATCTCCCTCGTTTCCGGAAATAGCGAATCTCGTTATTCATGGAGAACTGAATGAACCTTATTTTATTGCCTATTATTGTACTTGACGAAGTTGTATAAATGAATCTTCTTGTAGGGTTCTGCAGTAAAATTCGTGAGCCGCTTCCTGAACCTCTGAGGACTCAAGCATGATCGAATGATGGAGGTGATTTCGACACGCCGGTACGAGGCTCGTCCACCGATTATCGTGAGTATTGTACTTTTTGTAATTGTTTCAACTCTGTACTGGTGCACAATTAATGACCATTAATAAACAGTAGTTATAGTTTTCATCAAGATAAGGCGTTAATTGGATTTCTAATTAGCCGTTTATCTTTATGAAATGCAGTCACGCATTCCAGCATCTAACCGTACAACTTTTTATTTGCAGATTGACCCTGAGAATTCTGTGGCTTTGGTCAAAGAAGGTAATTCCTCGAACGTAATTGTCATGCATTGTTGCGAGCATATTGAGTCGTGATTCAAATAAACCAGATAGAAGATAAGAATGAAAGGCGTGTCGCTGGCTAAGTGACGCCTTTAACGACGTACTTTATAGCGTATATTAACGTGAACGAGGCTTCTTTTATTCTTGTTCGACGTCGCGAAACGGATCGTTGCATCGGCCGATCCTTCATTCTTTCTTTTCTCGTTCGGTCAGATTGTTTTTGCGCAATAACAGAGCCATTGTGCCTAAATCGAAAAAGTACGCTTCCGCTTTCCAGAGGAATGGGAGACTCGCAAGAAGAAGGAAATAACTACCACCCGGCAAATAGAGACCAGAGTCAAGCGGCAGGTTGTGCTCGAGGACGGAGAGGTTGTGGTAGACTCGGGTCCTTTGGTCACCACCAATACCACCGAGGATGTCGAGCAACAAGAACACACCACTCAAGAAGTACGATTTCTTCGATTTACAACAGAAAATTGCCGTTTAATCTCCTTCTCAGAAATCTTGCTCGTAACTCTTTGTATAAATTGAAACCGATGCAAGAACATTCAGAACACTTATTACAGTCAGAATGTTATCATGACCTTAGGAATTAGTGAGAATATTGGGAGGGTCTAGGAAAAGTTTCTATGTACAGGCTTGTCTCTATTGTTCACAGTGAAGGATACTAGGTTAGGTTTTCCCTGAGTTCACTCAAAATTGTCTAAATTATATCACTACAAAGTACTGTATACACAATGTTGCTTATACAGCTTGTTTCAAAGTTGGAGACCAAGTAGAACATTGTCTATGATACATAAAATTAATTGTTCACACATGATGAGTTATAGCAATGACATTATATTATATCACTGCAAAGTAGTGTATACACAATGTTGCTTATATAGCTTCTTCCAAAGTTGGAGACCAAATAGAACATTGTCTATGTTACATAAAATTAATTGTTCACACATAATGAGTTATATCAATGACACTATATTATATCACTGCAAAGTACTGCATACACAATGTTGCTTATATAGCTTGTTCCAAAGTTGGAGACTAAATAGAACATTGTCTATGATGCATAAAATTAATTGTTCACACATGATGAATTATAGCAATGACATTATATTATATCACTGCAAAGTACTGCATACACAATGTTGCTTTTATAGCTTGTTCCAAAGTTGGAGACTAAATAGAACATTGTCTATGATACATAAAATTAATTGTTTACACATGATGAGTTACAGCAATGACACTATATGATATCACTACAAAGTAGCATATGACAATGTTGCTTATATAGCTTGTTTCAAAGTTGAAGATTAAATAGGAGATTGTCAACCATACATTAATTGTACATAAGTTATAGTAATGCCATAAAAATGCAGAAATAATAGAGTGTATATTTTCAGAGACGAACAACCGGCGACCAGCCGCAGGAGGTTGAATGGCCAACAGGTGGAAGGAGTTCCGCGGATGGCGGTAGCATAGTCCAAAAGGAATTAAACGAGACAGTGGTGAGGAGTCGCGAGGAGATCGAGGAGCGACTGGAAACGGAGGATCGTCAACAGCTGGGAGATATCTCAGACGAGGTACAATCCACGCGACACACCCACACCTAAATTCCACCTGCGCGTGCCACGATACACCGTCTCTCTGTATACGTGTGCACGTTCTATCTCTTTGTTGGCGAGGCTTTAAGCGCCACGAAAAGGTCAGTTCGCCTCTGGTCGAAGGATCATCCCACGTGTATCCGAGCTGAGAACAAATACGGAGCTACCTTTTGGCCAGCTTCCTTTCATGGCGAGTAGAAATTTCGGATTCTGGAGCGACCTCGATACTCTCCGGTTTCTGATTTGGTCAAGGACTACTTGGGCGGGGTATTCTCGAAGAAATTATTTCTACGGTTTATTTTGGTCTAGTGACCAATTTCTAACATCCTATCACCGGACTTGTTTCTTACACAACCATATGATATGCAAATTGAAGTACTGTACAGTTTTTGAGGTTGCTAGTATCTAACACAAGATATAGGAAGATTATGAGAAACTTTAGAGGAAATTGTTTGTATATTTCTTTGACTAACTTCAAAGTTGCAAGGCTTATAGGATACCGAGCTCATAACTTGAAGGAGGTAAAAACTGTGCACCACTAAAAAGTAATCTATTTCTTGCAATTTGCATAACTATTCCTTGATGCAATGTTGAAGCACACTGTCCAAACATTAGAGTTATGCATACTTGATGTTCAACCACCCTTGACAAATGATAAACCTAAGGATTGTATTGATAGAGTGACTCAATTTAAGATATAGGGTTATCCACATGTGTACATATATGTTAGTCACAGTGAATTTTTATGTCAACTATGACAGCAGATATTTCAGTTAACGTCAAAAGATGTTAAGTGACTTTCTCTTAGCGACAAACGTTGTCCAAAATAATTGATGAGCTCGTGTTTGCGCAATGATGTTTAAAAGTACTTCTTTGTTAAACGTTGAGAACCAGGTCCACATTTAATTACACCGTGTTAAAATTGCGTTGGCGTAACTGAAGTTTCCACCCTTAATGGCTGTTGCACACCGTTATTGTTCAGTTTTAGAAAGAATTGTACACACTTGACCCGGACACGCTATATTCGAATGGCAGGCTACTATATTTAGTTCGAATGTTTGTCTTGCGAGAAAGCTCTGCGGCGATTGGTTACCCAATTCGCGTTTGTGTTTCACGCCTTTGTATCCTTGGCGAGAAAGCGAATTCCACGATCGATCGTGAAAACGTCTCGAAACACTGCATCGGTCGAGGGATGATTAATGAAGAGAGACGAATGCGGAAGATCGAGAAGGCAACAGGTGTAGCGTGCCATTTGTCACGAAACCAGCGCTGATAACGCGTTGTATCATTGCTCATAATATCTTCCTTAAATCATGGTAACGGTACAAGCTGGCGTAAAATGGGTGAAATAAAGGTTGAGCTCGAGACTGGCACGATAACATTTCAAGCGATTGTTGGAATTCGGTCGAGGTCAAAAGTGTTAGGTGGTTCATAGAACCAAGAGGAAGTACATCCCATAAGGATGCAAATGTATTTCTGTTATTTAAACAAATTTTTATGTAATCAGTCTAAGGACTGAAGAAGCTTCAAGAGGTGTAGGAAAACGTAAAACGTCATGAAATTTGTTTAGACCTCAGTATTTATATGTCATTTAAAAAGCAGATCCAATTTCGAGCGATATTCGAAGCGAATCGAAGCGATTACCGAGTCCATCGCTAGCAACAGGTACTCACGTTCGCGCACGAGCGATTCAGAGACAAAGAGGTCCAAGAAGAAACGAGAAGCAACGCGAAGTAGGGATAATGCGAACGGGAGAGAGGAAGAGAATCGAGGAGAGACGGGAGAACCCGGTTGAGAAGTGGAAGTCGATGATCTTTCAGCTTCGTTCTCCCTTCACCTAAGATCGCAGTCATAGCAGCTGTTTCGGGCTGAACTCGACGCTTCTGTCGTTTCACGCGTCGGAAACCGATTGCTGATGGGGACATTATGTGATCGTTACGAGTGAACACCTTCGTCCAGGAGCTTTTCACGCCCTAAAATTAGTGGACTGAGTCTGGTGTACATTAGTGCGCAGGTTTGCGAAAATCTGTCCTTGTAAAATGATTTTACAAGAGTCTTAGGCATATCTATTTTTAACTGCGGTAAATGTCAACTTACCTTCCGAATGAAGATTTCGAAGTAATTTATTTTAACGAGCCCCTTTAATCGCAAAGGTTTAATTAAACTGTACCTTAACGTCATCCGTAATCTCAAGGAGACTTACACGTAATTGCTGGACGTCTCCGGCCTTTTGTATTTATTGTCGCATCGAGTGACCTTCGCAGAATACACCTTTCTTTCCACTTGTTCGCGAGGGGGCAAGAGCCGGACGATCCGGTTTATCGCGACGAGATTTCGGATCGCGAGGTGATTTCCACGGGGATAATAACTGGTCCAGCCGTCCTAATAGCGACCCGTCTTGCTTTCAGGCGTATCAGAAAGCGGTGCGAAACAACCGGGGTGATCTCAGAGTGGCTCTTGCCGAGTCATCCAAGCAACTGGCGTCGCAAACAGGTCCCAGGGTTGTGCAGCACACGACCAAATCGAACAAGGTTATCGACACGGAGAAAACTTTGGAGAGGAAGGAACTCAAGCCTGATGGACTGATCGTCACGGAGAGGAAACGGACTGTCGAGCACGAGGAGGTTTTCTTCAATAACATTCATTTGACTAATTCATTAGATTCAGTAGATTTATTAGATTGATATGTTTTAGATAAAGGACGACGAGGTGCCCGACGATGGAAAGGATGTAGATAACGAGTCGGAGATCAGAAAGGAGAGTTCTCAGAGGTTTGTCAAGAAAAGGGACGAGGATATAGTGGATTACATCTCTGGCGGCGAAAGAGTTGGTCGAGAAATGCGCTACGTCGCGGAGACAACCGAGGGAGAACGAATCGGCGACTGGACACCATCACCGACGGCCATGAGAACTACTCGCTTCCACAAGCATTCTGGTACCTCAGATTCTTCAACTCTCCACAACCAAACACTAGTCTCCAACTGCCTACACATGTCATTCACAGATTATTGGTTCTCCACTAAGAATGAGTCCTAAGAACCTCTGATATTCTTACTGTACTCTCCACATATCAAATCTATCTATACTAAGAATGAGTCCTAAGAACCTCTGATATTCTTACTGTACTCCCCACATATCAAATCTATCTATACTAAGAATGAGTCCTAAGAACCTCTGATATTCTTGCTGTACTCTCCACACATCTAATCTATCTATACTAAGAATGAGTCCTAAGCACCTCTGATATTCTTACTGTGCTCTTCACACATCAAATCTATTTGTACTAAGAATGAGTCCTAAGAACCTCTGATATTCTTACTGTGCTCTCCACACATCAAATCTATCTGTACTAAGAATGAGTCCTAAGAACCTCTGATAATCTCACTGTACTCTCCACACATCAAATCTATCTATACTAAGAATGAGTCCTTTCACCTATGCTTTGTTTCTTGCTTTCCAAAATTAGTCTTAGCTCTACTAACTCCTCCAAAGGTTAAGCACCCTTGTAACGTGTAACGAATCCTTCCAGGTTTTCCAGGAGAAAACTTTTTAGCCCGTAAGGACGTGTTAACGAAGAAGCCATTGGACTTCGAGGAGGAAGACGAGGCGAGAAAGTTTGAGACGTCTAAGTGGTTGGAGAGCCACTTCGGCAGCGAATCGCGTTCCTCTCATGGTTCCATCGACGCTGACGACTCTCCTATTCCGACCAGCACCAACACGAGCTACATTAACGTTACCATGAAGTCTTGTACGCCCAAGGAGCGTGATTATCAGAATGCTAATAGGCGACGTACCGGGCGAGACTCGACGTCTCCTTCTGGGTATTTTCACGGGATAAGTGATTGGTCTGAACGATATCAAGGAAGAGGTAATAGCTTTATTCTATAAATGATAGGTGTGCAATTCAGTAGGTTTGTAGATTAATTTGTTACGTTGTTTAGAGAGGCAGAATCAGGTGGGAAGTTCACCGTCGTACGTCGAGACGGTTCATACGAACGGACATGATCATACAAGGAATCAAGTCGAGTCGACGTACTCGAAGACATACGAGTCCGTCCGTCGCGAACACCAGGAATCGTTTCACGAACGACAGCGTGTACCGTCGCCACCTGTTCGACGGAAGTCCAAGGAGCAGGTGAGAACAAAGTCACAAGTCTAAAGAACAGATGAGAAGCAAGTATTACAGTAAATAAAAATGAACTTCAGTGGACCAGGGAAGAGAGGACGAGTCTAAACGATTCGCCAGCCAGAACCTCGAGTCCTGTTCACGTTGTGCAGAGAACCTGGGAGAACCGTAACCGAGATGTCCACGGATCCGTCAAACGAGAGGATCGTAAGAAGTCCAGATCACGATCAGCTTCACCGGCAGAGCCTAATCCACCCAGTGGTAAAAAATCGAGCGAGAAATTGAACGAGACGCCCGTTCGTTCTACAAAGAGTAAATATCACAGTTAGCCCTGCTGTTTGTTTGAGATAATATTCATGTATGTATCGCCGCAGGTTCAGGACATTCCAAATACAAGATTGGCGAGTCGTTCAGAAAACTGGTGGGGAAACTGCGCTCAGCCAGCAGCGAAAGGAAGAACAAGCGCGCCAGTAGCAGCTCTACCTCTCAACTGACCCAGACGGACGACAACGGACCGACTTACATGCAGTACAACGTGATCGACAAGAACATTCCGTTGGTGCACGAGACCGAGGAGAAGCCTCCGGAGAGGCCTCCCAGATCTCCTAAAAATGCCAACGGCAAGGTCACGAAAGTGGTCAGAACGAGCGACGCGGTTCAAGAGCAGTGGCAACGCAGCGAATCGACGCCGCCTGTGCATAGGTATTATCTGGGTGAAGATCCTTTCGGCGGAAGTATCTACGGACGCGAGAAAGGGTACCGTGACGCGAGAAGATCGGGCAAGCCACGGGGTAGGACTAGCGGCGAGACCGAGTACAGGTAATCAACCTAAGCAAAAACTCTGTTAAACGGCTATGGGTTAGTCCCCTCTGTCGTTGTGCAAGCTAATTGTAAAAATAGCAGACCGGTATCGTGTCGCCCGACTGCGACGGAAAAACGCAATCGTCGAAAGGTATTCCAGTAAGCTGATACACGTTTACATAATTGAGACGGTGTGCTTCGCTTGTTTGAAAAGTTCGACTGCTGGGTGAAGGCTGCATGAAGGGGAGCATGACTGTTGCCGCTATGTAGTTTCGCCAACTATACCTGGGGAACCAATTTTCTCAGTCAATCGGCGCGTTTCAGCGTCGTGTCCAGTTCCCTCGGCAGGTTTAGCAAGTCCACTAGTCGGCTGGCCAATGATCACGAGAGAGAGGACCACTTCAGGACCACGCAAACCTTACCGAGGAATCTGCACTCCGGTGGACATGCCCGAACGCAGGCCCACTCCTCGCGACGACCGGCTGCTCCCAGCGGAGTTAAACCAACGATACATTCCACTGCTCCGGCCAACCAGTCTCGCCAGTACGGAAGCATGATCAATATTTCTATAAGGAACACGATCACACCTCCGAAGTTCACCGTGCAGAACAATGTTCAACCTCCTGCTAAGCCGGAAAGGACCTACAAGTCGTCCTTGTCGCGTAGCAAAAGCTTCAACGTGGAAGCGGCTAGAAATGGCGCGGACACGCCTCCACCGCGGATACCTTATACCTCTAACTTGCAACTGAACCGCTTAGATGAAACGCCGCCTCTTAAGAGTCCGGGTATCTTGGCCAGTATAAGTCGTAGCAACAGGGATTTACTGAAGGACACTAGACGCGAGTATTAGGCAATCGACATAGAAAGTTGCTAGTAATTTTGTAACGAATTAGACGTCTGGTTTTGTCTTAGTACAATGAAGTGAAATTCTGATGTTGATTAGAGACTTATAACAGTGGTTTATTTTAATAACTTTAGCAGGGTTTATATTTGTATTGTTTTTCTTTAACTCGTGCAGCCAGTTACAAATCCAAGATTACATATCAGTTTAATAGAGTGGAATGAACGATAGAATTCATTCTTAAATGCGCGTCATCGTTGTATCATATCAGAGTATTTGCATTTATATTTTGAACAGGACAATTTATTAAAATAGAGTACATATGTCTTTTAGTACAATGTGTAAAATTTTCATAAACGAAGGTATACGTAGGTTTTAAGTAAAAAATATTAAAATCATAATGTAGATAATATTTTTAGAGATTTTACAATAATCGATATAACCGGAATCTCTTTTTGTCTACTTCGACTTTCTCTTAGCTGTGCCATGTCGAAACAGTTTTCGATGCTTTTTAACGGCAAGTATTAAAAGTATAACATTTATGATGTAAGTACTAACACAGACCACGCAGATGTTGTTTAATTTGTATAAAATATAGGCCAGATAAATCGTGGCGATGTTCGATGCGATTGCTAACATTAAAACGAAGGCTGAAGCGATATATTTGTTAGACAAACCTAAAAAATTAAAGCTTAATTAAAATCAGTTCAATAAAAAAAGGTGTAATATTTTACTAAAAAATAATTCTACTATAAGATTTTGTAGTCACATTATAGTAGAAATGCTAATGTAGTACGTACTCAATATTGCAACCAAAGCATAAAATATTAATCCGTATAGAGAATTGGCTATATGAAATATCGATGTTTCTGGAATTATTCCAAATCCTTTTCCGTATCTGTAATAAAATGAATTGCTTAACACATTAATTATAATATATTCAAATTTAATGATTCTCGAATACAGAATAAATTGAAATTCACTGCGAGTGCGCATGCGCTAAAATCCTAAAGGCTTATTTCTACACGTGTTACTACTTCTATGTAATTTTATAAAGATATCTCGAATGTGCCGACATTTATAAATTCTGTCTGATAAGTACTACAATTTTAAGATTAAATCACATATTAAATGGCAGAATTCATTTTTACTTTTAAAATTGTACTTCGATTGCGAAAGTGTTAGCGCATATTCTCCGTATGGTCGACTACGAAATCAGACTTATACATAAACACAGTTTTCACTTTAATCCATAATCATATTTTTGCATATTCTGAATGTAATTGTAGACTTACTCAGATGCAAATGCTTTTGTGCAACTAACGTGTTCGCTAATGTCACACATTGCTTCATACGAATCATCATTTTCAACTTTTGTTTCGACGATGTAGGCATAATACGAAACAGAAAATCCTAATATACACGTTAAAATAATTGCAGTGTTTATTTTACGCGCAGATTTTTTATTCGAAGACATGATTTACTTGTAAACTTTTTACTTTATTGACAGGAAATAACTGATAGAAATTAACACACTTGAAAATTTAAACGCAATATAAATCGAAACTAATGTTCCTCGTGGCGGCACCGTATACGAACGCGATGACGATCAATAATGAAATACGTGTTTAAAAAGCAGTAATACACGTTGATCGGTCACATTAAGACTGAAGCATTTGCGATACTGAGCAAGAACTTTGTTCCACACCTCCCGCGAAATTATCATTATTCGATAATGTATGTACGATAAAATCCGACGCGTTTCATCAAAGTTAAATGTGAAATTAAAAGATCTGGAATATTTGTTTGTCTTCCACTCTTTATTTTTGAGAGTTACATCATTTTTAATTGAGGATATTAGAATTAAGGTGACCTAGAATACTTTATTCCTTAAGATTTGTACAATGCTTACAAGATTTTCAAATACATTTTTGAAGGATAATGACTTGAATAATGATTTGAAATTTGCAGAAAGAAGTGTCAGAATAGTATTGTTTATCTTCCTTCGCGTAGCTTACCTCAAATATCATCCTAGATACTAGTAATAGCTACTAAAACTTATGAATAAATTGTACCTTAAATAAAATGCTTATTTTCAAATCATACAAAGATACGTGAATGTCAATAAGGAAATTTGGTTATAGTTTAATACCATATTATGCGATATTTTTAAATGGAACATAATATCCTGTTTTTTGAGTTTTCGAAAATTAGCATCATGTCTATAGAGGATGTAACGATTATGCTTAAGAATTTTACCACATGAACAAAAAATGCAAATAGTAAATTAGATACATTATATATTAATGTCACTTATAAAAAAGATAAGAAATATAGATTGATATTAGAATATACTATGGGTATACGATAACCTCTGTATATAGTTGGAATATCTGAATTAAGGACTTAATATAGTCTTATTCCTGTGGAGCCATCGCTCTAGCTTGGGCTCTTACACGTTTCTCATATTCCAAGCGATTTTGACTGCAAGTAAAACACAATATTTTTACTCCTAGTTCTATGTTAATTCACATTTATAATTATGTAAAATAATTACCAATATATTGTGTACGCTTCTGCTTGAGCTGGATCTTTAACATTAGGTTCATTTAACAAATCTTGTATACCAAGTAAAATTTGTTTGATCGTAATAGCAGGCCTCCAATCTTTTTCCTCATCTAAGAGTGACAAACATACGGTTCCTGAAGGATAAACGTTTGGGTGAAATAGAGGAGGTTCAAATTTACATTTTGGTGGACTAGAGGGATAATCATCCTTGAAAATCATGCGTAACTTATATAATCCACCCTCCCATGGTGTCTGTAAAATAAACACTTTAAGTAATATAATACCATGAATCTCAACGACAGTTTCAGCGTTATGATATAACTTACAGATTTCTTTCCAGGTATTGCACACTCCCAACTCATCAAGTTAAGAGATCCATCTTGATTTTTAATTGGTCGTGCTACAAATCCCTATAAACAAAATTTCAATTCATATTTCAACTCATGTTATCACAAATCATATCAACAAACTATTAATTTAACATGTACATTAAGTATGTCAAGAAGCTAAACAAGAGTGCTAATACCGAAAGGTTAGGATTCTGACAATGTAACTGTTCAATCAAAATCGTTCCCTAGATCTTTATTTCAGAACCATTGTTTATGTTTAAATTAAGCTACAAACAAAAATATTTATTTACAATACGGTTTTTTATAGCAGAACAATCTAGAAACGTCATTTGACGTATCGCAAAGTAGTAACATGTGTAACGGTCGAAATCGTGAAAAGTAAAGCGTTAAAACGATTTCTTACAAAAGGGTGATCCTTCCTCCATGCTTTTCGCTCTTCGGCGAGCCTGGCGATTGCAATTCCTGACATTAATCTGCAACAAGTTTACGTTGCGTTAGGGCACTGTATTTAGACACGAAATATAATCGAGACAGTGTTTAAACACGAATTATGACATTACCACGATGTTTATCAATACTGCGTGCTTAAATTTGAATTCCAAACACTTTTCGCACCGATATTACATCAAATACTTAGCGGCACAAGGGTGAAAGCGATTTTACAGGGTGCGTGTTCAGAAAACCTATGAATTTGTAACCGTCTTCGGCGCTGTACGAATCTCAACCTGAATTCTTCTTCGCAAAGGCAACATTTGTTATACTGGGACCTCTGTTGGTAAGCGGAAATACATGTTTTGGACAAATTTTGAAGGACTGTACCAATCAAAACACAAGTATATTGTGTTTAACTTGAGGCCATACTGACTGCACTTATCGTATGACAAGTCTTCATTTGTTTCGTGTAAATCAGCCACCATTGGTTCAACCATGCAACCAAGAGTAACGTGCACATCATGATATTTATAACGCCGGACATTTATACTCGACGATTTAAATTTTCAAATTTCCAAAATCTTTCATTTTCAATTTGCAAATATTTTGTTAACTGTTTGTTGATAAACAGTATGCATATTTGTCAAATAATTACGACAATTTCTAAATATTGTGTTACTTAGAATGATGTTAAGTTAGGATATAAAAATAGTTACACAGCTCATTTGAAATTTGTTTAAAAATCGGTGACATTTGTCATATTAATAGAACATTCGTTAAAGTATAAGATAATATTTATTTTATACACCTATAACGTGTACGAATTAAACGTACATGTACATTGCTGTATATACATTATTAAATTATTCACATTTTATCTGTTATCCAATAATTAATCAATATGTATGGATTCAATTAAAGCGATGTCATGCACAAAACATTTTTTATTTATTACTATCCCCCACCCAGAAAAGAGAAGTACAAACTTAATTTTATTCTACATTGTTCGATTTCATATCTGACTGCACTTGTACTTTGGTGTTATTCATCGTTCAAAATAAGATAATCGCGAAACTCGACTCAAAATCTACTTGTATCACTTGAATAACATGAGATGCGAAGAGGTAACCTAAACAATAGTACGCTTCCATAATTAATCTGACTTTTCCCTCCAAAGTTACTTCTTGTATTAAGATGCTATGTTTCGTGAGGAGGTAATAATATACATTGTAGATGTCACTTTTGTAGCTATGATGAATTGGCTGTCAAAATTCTAACGGAGTATTAGGATAACATGATCGCGGAGCGCCATGCGTGCTAGGCGTGTTACGATCTAATATTCGATTTGTTCTGAAAACATATTTCGGCACTTTGACGACGTAGTATGGTTCCTGAGGCATTTAGAAACAAATTTCTATTAGGGTTTGATGCGATTTGATGCCTAATAAAGCCAGAAAATCAATTTTTGTCGAATTCGGTTCAAAACGGTACAGGTGGCGCCATCTAGCGGCGAGCGGCGGAACTACGAAAAACTAAAATCTCGATTTTCTCGAAAACTAGGGACTTTTCCGAAATTCTGAGATATACAAATTGTTCCTTATCGCCTACGGAATCGAATGAGTACTTTCATAGCCCTCTAGGACCTTTAATAAAGAAAATAGAAAAATAGCCCATTTCATGGACCAAAAAATTGGCGTCCATCTAGCGGCGAAAGTTGGAACTACAAAAATAGAAAATTTCGATTTTCTCGAAAACTAGCGACTCTTTCGAAATTCTGAGATATACAAATTGTCCCTTGTCGCCTACGGAATCGAACGAATGTAATTACAGCCTGCTAGGACAAGTATTAAGGAAAATAGAAAAATAGCCCATTTCATGGACTAAAAAATTGGCGTCCATCTAGCGGCGAAAGTTGGAACTACAAAAATAGAAAATCTCGATTTTCTCGAAAACTAAGGACTTTTCCGAAATTCTGAAATATACAAATTGTTCCTTATCGCCTACAGAATCGAATGAGTACTTTCATAGCCCTCTAGGGCCCTTAATAAAGAAAATAGAAAAATAGCCCATTTCATGGACCAAAAAATTGGCGTCCATCTAGCGGCGAAAGTTGGAACTA